CGGGTTATTTTGAGTGAGGAACGACCTTAATTGAAAACTTGCGTTTCACGTACATGACGCCACGTCACACGCTATTTTAGGAGATACGACTTCGTTACACAGACACAATGGAGTTATAGGCGGCAGGCCTACATAAACTGTGTAGTCTTGGTCTAAAGACTATCTGGTATACCTTGCTTCGCGTTTTGTAATGGTCATCGACAGAGGGCGCACTAATTATTGGTGGTAAGCCATGAATAGAAAAAAAGGACAATGAGCTCGATTCCTTTTAGAGAAGGGGGAAAAACACTGAAAATCAAATATGGTAGAGTCTTGACTGAAAGAGAAAAAAATGTTTAAAAATATCTGAAGGTATTTGAACCAAGACTACATAAACTACTGCTGTTGAAGTTAAAGTTACATGCAACAACAAATATTTCAGCTTTATTTTTTTTCTACGTACGTTTGGCACCAGCAAAACTGTAAGAAATTATAAATATTACAAGCTTGATTTGGAAAAATTAAAATAGTTTTGTTTTGACTGAGGTACGGAGGGATAATAAAGTCAGAGAAGTTACAAAATATACCTGGCGGAACTGCAGTGAATACTTAATTGTTTCATTAGGCCCCCCCCCCAAAAAAAAAAATAGTTCTGTTTCCGATTACATGGCATTTGAAAATAGGGTAGGTATGTAAAAAAAAAAAAATGTGTACGACCACATGGAGAGGGTAAAAGGTAGTAATTGAAGATTTTCGGTTTTTTCCCCCTCATTTTGCCCCAAGAAAGCAGAACAATTTTTTTGGCCTGAGGCCTATTGCTGAGCGCAAGCAATAACATGCATTAATTTCAGGAAAGAATCACCCCATTGATCACATTAAAAGAGACACTGGGGTTCACATTAGGTTTCCTAAATTTTGCTTTACACTGCATGGATCAAAAAGCCAGAGAAGTAAGAAAATCTACCTCCATCGCTGTAAATACCTCTGTTATTTCTATCGCCAAACTCAAGCCAGACTCTGTCTCCCGTAGCCAAGATAAGGACTGCAGAATTGCTGGACTGGTGGTGACTGTTATGGGTGTCATTAATCGAAAAGACAAGCTCACCGTTCTTTTTTAGCTGTACATAAGGCTGCCTTGCTGAGTTCAAACTAAGAATACTGGTCGTGAAAAAGTAGACTCCAGGTTGTGAACATGTAAACACGCCCGACTGCGAATCGTACCTGTCTCCGATATTCGTCATGATGTTGTCAAAGATGATGACATCGCCAGTGCCGCTGGTGACACTTGCTGTGCGGTAAGCGCTGAATGCGACGGCAGAGGGCGCTGTTGGTGTCACAAGGGTAGCTTCTCCCGGTTGTCCCTTCTGCCCCGTTTCACCCGGGGGACCTTGCGGCCCCTGGACCCCTGGCTCCCCCTGGTCACCTTTCTGCCCCTCACCGATGTCTCCCTTGCGACCTGCAGGTCCCAGCTTCCCCGAAGGTCCCTCCACCCCTGGCTCGCCTTGATCCCCCTTCCGTCCCTGTTCGCCGGTCTCTCCCTTGGGTCCAGCGAGGCCATACCCGGGGTCACCTTTGGGGCCAAGAGGTCCTTGAACTCCGATTCCCCCCGGATTTCCTGGGATCCCAGGTACCCCAGGGTGGCCTGGGAGGCAAGCACTGCAGCAACTTGATGAGCCTGTTGGTTGTCCTGTAGTCTCCGAATCACGTTGACAGTGACTGCTTGATATCAGCAGCATTACAATCATCGCAAGAACAGAATGTTCACGTCTGACCTGTACATTATGACAACCAAACGTTTGTTTTTTGTTTTTAATACTAAATATGCAAACGAGGATAACTTATAAACAATGATTAGATACAAAAAATCAAGTACAGCCAACCAGCCGGATGGCTGTCGACCAGCTTGTCAGCAAACCTATCAAGCAAGCCAACTGGCCTAGGCCTATATCAACTACATTTCCTGAATTATTTGCAGCCCAGAATAATTTGTATTTTTTGTGCGTTATGGGTGAAAAAGCAACAGTCCGTCCAGAGCCATGAGTCGGAAATAAAAGGGGAAATTTATTTAATTGAAACCAGGATTTAATCAGAAGAAAGAATGAAAAAAAAACCAACATCTTATGTAAAAAGGCAAAAAAGGTGAGCTTGCTGCAAGCATTCTATTTCTCGGCCGCTTTGCTTCGTCTAAAATCACGTGATATATTATTTGTGCCCCAACCCAACAAAATGAGTCACAAGTAAATTTATCCGACGCCGGAACCAGTTTTGAGTACTAAGCCTTTTAACAGAATGTTACACAATGACAATTATAGGAACAGTCACCATTTTCTACCCACATAGCATCTGCATAAATTAAGGCGTCAAACTGAGTGATAACTAAAATTAAGAAAATTATTATCGAAGAAAAATGACTTTAAGACTCGTTTCGTGGGAACACGCACATTTTGTTCAATCATGTGATAATATGTTCGCATTCGTATATAGCCCGGTTCGTACTCGGCGCGTAAGAGAAAGCGAACGCGAATTTGTGACGTCATGGCAAGTATTTGCGAAGCGAATTTGACGTCATGAAACATTCGCTGCGAAATTCGCCCGAGTTGAAATATGTTCAACTTTTACGAATTCGCAGCGCGAATACTTGCCATGACGTCACAAATTCGCGTTCGCTTTCCCTTTCGCGCAGTGTATGAACCGGGCTTTGGAACAGACGTTTCTCGTTCGCAGAGCTAAACTGCGAACATATGATATATCTGTGCGTGAAAATTTGATGTGATCCCTCGCACCAGCCAATCGGAGCCGCTTTTAGAAGTTGTGACGTCATTTAGAATTCGGCCTTAGCTACATGTAACTGCTTGTTTTTTGGGGGTTTTTTTTGGGGGGGGGCATACTAACATCGGGTTACCGAAGACACGATAGAGGGCGCCCGCTGAATGGTCGGAGTCTGGAAGTCCAATCCGATCAAACCTATCACTGAACGCTCACTACTGATGCCCCTTCAATGGCGAAATCATCGTTCAGATAGTCCTCAATGGGCAGCGGCGTAGCTAGGGGGGGGGGGGGGGAGCCGTGGGGGCGCAACCCCCCCTCTCCCGCATAAAAAGTTCGCCCCCCCCCCCTCCCCAGTCGCCTCCCTTAACTGGAAATTCGTAGAAAAAAATTTCCCTTTTTGCACGGATAAATTTTTTGAGCGCCCCTCCAATGTAACCTCAATCCCCCCCCCCCCCCCCCCCGGATGAGAACCCTGGCTACGCCGCAGGTCATGGGTCATAGTCATATCTATGTACAATAACTAGCACTTATGCTTTCCATAAATGTAAAATCAAAACATGAACCTCAAAAGCAAAATATTGTACGTGAGTGCATATTTCTGGTTTAAAGATGTACTGTCCAAACTCTTCATCTTATTCGATTTTTTTTCCTAACGAATTTCCAATTGCATGTATTACTTCAAAGGAATCTTTTTGGAGACTGCAACCCTCTGGAAAAAAAGAGACATTTAGTGTGGGTTGCCTTCGTGCGTAGAGTCGGGATCCAGTCTAACTTGCAAGAACTGGATCATTTGCAGGCTGCAAATAATTCGAAATTTGTAGAGTAACTCTCTTATTTTGAAAGATTGAAAATACACTATATAATCAAGTGAAACTAGGACGAGACAATTAAGCATGAAATTCATTCAATAATTATTGAACTGTTTGAGTCTTCACTCGAGTTGCGACTGAAGCATGGGCGTCGCGGGGGGGGGGTGGGGGTGGGGCAAGGGGGCGCTTGCCCCCCCCCCCCGGAAAACGAAAAAAAAAGTGGGGAAAAAAGGAACAAAGAGGTGCGAAGCCATGTTGCTGTTTATTTGATGGGGGGAGGGCAAATGCTCCCCTGCTCACGCTCGGAAAATGATAAATTGAGAATATAATGGAAAAGTTAAGACATTTTGGGAACCCCCCTGGAAAAAATCCTGGCGACGCCCGTGGACTGAAGTTATAATTTTTAAAGCATTTCAATATGAAAGGTAAAGTAATTTTCACTCTACTCTCTAAATTCCAAAGAGTGAAACTTCACTCCATTCGAGTGAAGATTGACTCCCACAGTCGGAAACTTGGGACTAGACGTTTTGGAGTGAAAGTTCTTCAATCGTAAAGATCGAGCTTTCACTCGAGCTTCGACTGAAGAGGTTCATTTTTCAGACTTGTTCAATCGAAAATGAGAGTGATTTTCACTCTAAAACGTCTAGTCCTTAATTTCACTCTTTGGAATTTAGAGAATACGTCTAGCAAAAGCAATCATCTATAAAAACTGACGAAATCTTACCGTCAATGCCATTTCTGTCGTTCTAATCGGTGAGCTCAGTAGTTGAACTTTTCCTCGCAGATTCGTTTCTAGTCTGACTGATCTGCTTGCTGTTGCTCCTTAGGATTTAACCTTTGCGAAGGTTTGAGTTGAGATTTTATACATAATGTGGTGGAGGATAAATGTCAAACCGGCCCGAGGCACAATGTTTGATCTTTCAGTTTGACAATCCGGGTCTCGAAGGAAGTTCTCAAGGTGACATTTTTTACTAAAATCGCTCGGTGACCTCTTGGCTAACTTATCCAAAAGGTCAAAAAAAAAATTTAATTGAAAAGGAAATACGTTGTTCCAATTAAAGTAAAACTGAAAAAAGTTTGAACTTTCAAGATCCGGCTTATAAACGTTTGAACTTTAAAAATCCAGGATATGGAGGAAGTTCATGTCGTGACGTTTTACTGAATTCGGTCAGTGACTTCTTGGCATATCTATTCCCAAGGTATAAAAAATGAAAAGGAAATACGTCGGTGTAGGCCTAATCAAAGATAAAATGAGTAAGTTTGAACTTTCAAATTCCGGCTTCTAATGCTTGAGCTTTAAACATCCAGGGCATGGAGGATATTCTCGTGGTGACATTTACTGAATTCGGTCAGCACCCCAAGTCAGTCTAGAGAGGAGGGAAACAACGCACTGAAATGCTGATGACGGCGCAGTACTCAGACTCCACCAAAGCTTATTGTAACACATGCTTTCTGTAAGGATTATTTAGACATACATTTTATCATGTTGCACCGAAATATCTTCCGTGGAGGTCAATAATCTGTGTATCACCCACGAGGTCTTAGTCTGGTTTATGTTGTGCATGATGCAATAGTTTCATGCTGTAGAGTCAAGACACAGACATATGCTAGTGTGCACATTGTTTCATGTGGGCTTCCTGCATCAACGATTTGGGAAAGATAATCTGCCCAACTTCTTTTGTTTTAATCAATAAGTAAGAAAGCGACATTCAAGGCAGTTTGACCTGACGTCTTTTCTGCTAGTTTGCTGTAGTTGACCTGTGCTCAACAAAGTCGTGAGTCTTTGGTTTCATGACTATTTTGCGTGCAATCATTGTTAGGATTGGGACTCTGAGGGGCAGACACGTTTGGGGGGAATAACACATGGGGATTTGTAATGCTGTCACATTCCTGATTTTGTTATCATATCTGTTCGACACTAAATTAACTGAATAATTTACTCCTCATATGGTTATGTTATGTATGTTTATTGTCATGAAAACATACTTACAAATTGTTATTTGATCTGTGGTTAATTTCAGATTAAACCTAGTTATATTCCACAAGTCCATTTGTGTGGAAAGCGTCAATGACCTCAAGAGAGTGCAAGGGTTTATGCAAACAAGGCAGCAGAATTGCGTTACAGTTTAATGACTTTGAGTCACTCTCCAAGTTATTGGAGTAATGGCGTTCCAGTCAATCGTTGGCGACCAAAGTTGAGACGGCTGCCCGCCACCAGTACTTACCTGACATTGTGACAACCACCCATGATGTTCACAGTCCAGGGGTTGTGTGTATTGCACCTGATGTTGAGTGTATGCAGTTGACTGACGCAACTTGCGCCCTACATGGTGAGACTGAGAGCCGTAATCATCAGGTATTTCCTCGTGGTCCAGATGGGGACAAGATTTGAATCGTGAATCATCTTGGACAATTTGATTGCGGCCAAGTTCGTATACCTGTACATGTACTGTAACCTTTGAGCTTTGGACGAGCACCTGATTCTGTGTTTCGAGGATATCCCAAGTTCATCGTACTGTGACCTGTAACCTTTGAACTTTGGACGAGCACCTGATTCTGTGTTTCGAGGATATCCCAAGTTCATCGAACTGTGACCTGTGACCTTTGAGCTTTGGACGAACACCTGATGCCGTGTTCGAGGATATCCCAAGTTCATCGAAATGTGATCAGTGACCTTTGAACTTTGGACGAGCATCTGACCGTGTTCGAGGATATCCCAAGTTCATCGAACTGTATACTTTGAACTGCACATGTGTTTGATTTATTGCTTGATTGTTGTGTAATTTTCTTGCTAATTTTCAAGTAATTTTACTTGTAGTGTTTGATATCTCACATAATTTACATTTTCTTCACATAATTGTGTTGATTGATTGATTGACTGGTTGGTAAAATCTTTTCTGATTTATATAATATTGGTATTGATCATAACGTACTGCTATTCCATTTTCACTGCTGTAATTTGATAGTTCACAATGTCAGTTTCAAATGCCAGTAAATCCAGCAAAGCTGGTACTTCCAGTTCAATTAGTAGTGCTAGGCTCAAGGCAGCTGCTACTTTAGCAGGCCTTCAGGCAGAAGCCGCAAGCAGGATAGCATTGAAAGCCATTGAAGAGGAAGAGTTGAGACTTGCTCAGCGTAAGCGAGACTGCGAACTCCAGCTGGAAATTGCCAAGGCAGAGGCGGAGCAAAGGGCTCTGGGAGACATTGAACAATCTTCACATGAAGAGGAGCCTAAGCTAAGTTTACATGGGTCGACGGCTGCAGAGAAGGTGGATCAGTGGTTAACTGGTAACCCGCAGCCATCTGCTCCAGTGCAGCCATCATCGCCCATGTCAGCGATTCCTTTGCAACGTGAGATGATTGACACGCTGCTCTTGCCGAAGTGTGAGCTGGTCAAGTTCAATGGGGACCCTCTTGAATACTGGATCTTCATCTCTAGCTTTGATGCAGCTGTTGGCAACACCAGCGTTGGGGCCAGCGCCAAGCTAAATCGCCTGTTCCAGTATTGTTGCGGAGAGGCGCTGGCAGTTATCAGATGTTGTGCTGTCATGCAGCCGGATGAGGGCTACACAAAGGCAAGAGCATTGCTTCGTGAACGCTTTGGTAACGATTACAGGATTTCGGAAACTTGGGTCAGTAAACTTACAGAGGGCCCGCGCATCCTGCCAGGGGATTGCAGAGGTATCCAGAAGTTAGCTGACGATCTTCGGAGTTGCACACTCACTCTGACAGCGATGAAAAGGCTTGGAGAAGTTGACACTAAAAGGAGCCTTAGCCTCATCGTAAAGAGACTGCCACAATACGTGCAGGGTAAATGGCGTTCGAAAGCTGTGGGCATTCTGGACAAGACTGGCCACTACCCCAATGTTGCAGAACTTGTCAAGTTTGTCAGCAAGGTAGCTCGAGAGGCAAATGATCCTGTTTATGGTTTGGAGAACCGGCACAGCGATGAGAAATCACCCAAGAAGAAGGGATCCAACTACAATATCCAAGCCACCGGTGAGGTCGACCACAGGTCTCGGGTTGGGACTGACTCGTCTAAGCGTCAATGTGGCGAGAACGAATTGGTGAAAAGGACAGCTTGTCCATTGTGCTCTGGGGGACATGCACTCACGGCATGCAACAACTTTGGTAAGATGTCTCCTACTGACCGAGTCAAAGTGGCGAGTGAAAACAAGCTGTGTTTCAACTGTCTCTGCAGTAGGCATTTTTCAAGGCAGTGTAAAGCAGCTCCCTGCGGTTTCCAAGGATGTAGAGGAAAACACTCGAGGTTGTTACATGGTGTATTCCAGAGAGCGAATTCTGAAGATGGAGGTGCTCCTAAAGAATCGCCTGATGATCAGAAAGTCGGAGCAACAAGTCTCGCTTGTGGGTCCAGTCAAGAACACTCCAAGATAGCCCTACCAGTTGTCGCCGTGATGGTGAGAGGTGCGGGTAGTGGGGAGTGGCTCAAGACAAATGCTCTTCTTGATCCTGGGAGCAACAGGTCGTTCTGCACAATGGAGTTAGTGAAAATGCTGGGTGTAAAGGGCACCCCACAGTCTTTGTCTCTGGACACGTTGAACGAGAATGCACAGGTTCAAACAGTTGTGCTTTCGTTGGACGTGTCTGGAACTGTCGGCAAGGCCCATACCAGAAAGTCTTTCTGCATACCAGAGATTCACGCTCTGAAAGAGTTTCCCACTCTGCGAGATTCCTGCGCTACCCTTGAAGATGTGAGGAAGTTCAAACACTTGAGAGACATTCCTGTTCCATGCGTGGCTAAAGATGGTGTAGCGATTCTCATTGGACAAGATGCCCCACAGGCCCTGGTTCCATTAGAGGTGAGGCGTGGTGCGGAAGGCGAACCCTACGCAGTCAGAACCTGCCTTGGATGGACGGTGAATGGACCGTTAGCCAGTGGGAGTCCAGCAGCAGCAGTGTCCAACTTTGTTCAAGGCGGCCTTGAAGCTCAGGTCGAGCGATTTTGGAAGCTTGACACTGCAGACCTATCAGATGACAGAACCATGTCACTGGATGACAAAAAGGCAGTCAAGACATGGAATGACTCAGTCAATCTTGTTGATGGCCACTACCAGTTAGACATACCATTCAAGTCGGACACTCCCGATTTGCCTGAGAACAGGATTGTTGCAGAAAGGCGCTTGCAATCCCTTGCCAAGCGGTTTACCAAGGACCCCGGTTGGCACTCAAGATACTGTGCAGAGATACAAAATCTGTTGAGCAGAGGGTTTGCTGAGAGGGTGCCTGAGCACGAGCTGGCATCATCAACGGGACGAACTTGGTACTTACCTCATCACTGTGTTCTGAACCCCAACAAGCCTGAAAAGCTTAGAGTTGTGTTCGATTGCGCTGCTAGATGCTGTGGTACTTCGTTAAACGACAGAGTATTACAGGGGCCGGACATGATGAACAAGTTAGTTGGAGTCCTTACCCGATTCCGAGAGCACAAAGTTGGATTGATGGGAGACATCGAGCAGATGTTTCATCAGGTTGGAGTCTCCAAGGAACACAGAGATGTGTTACGATTCCTATGGTGGCCTGAAGGGGATGCTACTCGACCTCCTGAAGTGTTTCGTATGACGGTCCACCTTTTCGGAGGGGTATGGAGTCCGAGTTGCGCTGCATTTGCTCTGCGGCGAACGGCAGATGACAACGAGGATATGTTCAGCAGTGATGCAGTCCAGGCGGTAAAAGAGAACTTCTACGTTGATGATCTTCTTAAATCCTTCAAGTCGGAGGATGATGCAGCATTCATGGTGAAGCAGCTGACGCACCTTCTAGCTAAAGGTGGCTTCCACTTGACTAAGTGGATCTGCAGTAGCAGAAAGGTCATGGATTCCGTACCGACGGCTGAAAGAGCCAAGACAGTCACCGACTTGGACCTTGATCATGAACGTCTTCCTGTGGAAAGGGCCTTAGGAGTACGTTGGGATACCGAAGGTGATCAGATTGGAGTCAAGATAAAGTCAAGGCGAGGATGTCACACTAAGAGAGGTCTGTTAAGCATTCTGAGCTCCGTTTACGATCCTCTTGGGTGCGTGTGTCCATTTGTTCTGTTGGCCAAGCTCATGTTCCAAAATGAGTGTAGAATAGTTGGGAAGGGCTGGGATGAGCCATTGGAAGTCAGTACGCAAGATCAGTGGACCAGGTGGCTGGATGATCTTCCCAAGCTGGAGCAGTTTTCAGTTGATAGGTGTCTGATTCCTGGTGATTTTGGAATTGTTGAGGAATGTCGTTTGCATCATTTTGCTGACGCTTCACAAGATGCCTATGGCTCCGTTTCTTTTGCCCGCTTTGTCAACACTGACGGTGATATTCACTGCAGCTTTCTGATTGGCAAATCACGACTCGCTCCGTTGAAGACCATGACTATCCCTAGACTAGAGCTATCTGCTGCCGTTATTGCAGTGAAGATGGACCAGATGCTCAGAAGAGAACTAAGGGTTCAGGTGAAAGGGTCAACGTTCTGGACAGACAGTACGGTGGTACTCCAGTACATAAGTAACCAATCAAAGCGTCTCCAAACATTTGTTGCAAACAGAGTTGCCACAATTCATGATAGATCTACCGCCAGTCAGTGGAGATATGTCAATACACAGCAGAATCCTGCTGACGATGCATCTAGGGGGCTCGATGCCCAGAGTATGCTTGACAAGATAAGATGGAGAAAGGGTCCTGATTTCTTGTGGCAGACTGAGGACAGTTGGCCTGTGACTCCACAAATTCCTAGTCTGCAGGAAAAGGACAAGGAAGTGAGAAAGATAGCACTGTCCCGAGCCATAGATGTCGTTGATCAGGATGACCCCATTCACAGGTTGATCAGCAGATACTCATCTTTGTATCGACTCAAAAGGGCGGTCGCATGGGTGCTCCGCTTCATAAAGTGGCTGCGACTCCATAGGCCCAGGAACCTGGATAATGAAGATACGGGAAACCAGAGGTTGACTGTGGGTGAACTGCAAGATGCGGAGCTGGCCATAATCAGGAGCGTTCAGAGAAGGCACTACAAGAAGGAGTTCCGTGATTTGTTGGCGGGAAAGACTTCGGTGCAGAGACAGAGTCATGTGTATAGTCTCGAACCGTGCGTAGATGACCATGGTGTATTGAGGCTTGGTGGTAGACTGCGACACTCTCCAGTCGGGCCCACTTGCAAGCGTCCAGTGATACTACCTCGTGATAGTCATCTGGCCACTTTGATAGTTCGTCATGCACATGAATTGCTATCTGGCCATTCGGGCAAAGAGCATGTGCTCTCTGTGATAAGACGACAATATTGGGTTCCCAAGGTGCGACCTTTGATCAACCGCATTTTGAAGGAGTGCGTGCTCTGTAGAAAACTTCGGGGACTGCCTGGCATTCAACGTATGGCCGATCTACCTGCCTACAGAGTGACTCCAGGCAAACCACCGTTCACCCACGTTGGGGTTGATTGCTTCGGACCGTTTCATGTCAAACGAGGGAGGAGCAGGGAAAAGCGATATGGCTGTATTTTCACCTGTATGCGAATCAGAGCAGTCTACCTGGAGAAGCTACACTCTCTAGAAACTGATTCATTCCTCAATGCCTTCCTAAGGTTTGCGGCAAGGCGAGGAACCCCGGAGAAAATCTATTCCGACAACGGGACCAACTTTGTTGGAGCAGAAAGGGAGCTAAGGGCAGCTATCGAGCGTCTACAGGAAAGCAAACAGGCGGAGGGTTTCTTTCTCAGCAGAAAGGTCGAATGGCAGTTTAACCCGCCAGCGGCCTCCCACATGGGAGGCGTTTGGGAGCGCCAGATTCGTACCTGCCGGAAAGTTCTGAGTTCACTTCTGCATGATGAGGTGCTTGATGACGAGAGACTCGACACATTGTTCTGCGAAGTGGAGTCTATCGTAAATGACCGACCCATCACAGCAGTCTCCGACGATCCGAAAGATCTCGAACCCCTTACTCCCAATCATCTGTTGAAGCTTGGACATGGGCATCCAGTTTCACTCCGTGACTTGAAAGCAACTGACCAGTATGGGAAGCGATGGAAACACGTACAGTTGCTGGTTGAAAGGTTCTGGAAGCGTTGGACTGCAGAGTATCTTCCCACGCTTCAACGCAGACAACGTTGGCTTGAGCCACAAGCCAATTTCAAGGCTGGTGACCTGGTGTTGGTCAAGGATGACAATCTGCCCAGAAGTCAGTGGCCTCTAGCGAGGATTTTGAAGACCTTCCCTGGAGCCGATGGTCTGGTTAGGAGTGTGGAAGTACGGACAGCCACTGGAAATCATGTCAGGCCAATCACCAAACTGTGTCTGTTAGAAGGTGTTAAAGACTAGAAGCATCTCCTTAACCAATTGGACCAATTAGTTATAAGGCAACACGTTTAGGTTCCAGTTTAAAGTTTAATCGTTTTATAAGGTTTAGTGTTAAGCTTGGTTACTTGTTGTGATTGTAAATGTTCGTTGATTACTCTTACATTTAAGGGGCCGGAATGTAACACATGCTTTCTGTAAGGATTATTTAGACATACATTTTATCATGTTGCACCGAAATATCTTCCGTGGAGGTCAATAATCTGTGTATCACCCACGAGGTCTTAGTCTGGTTTATGTTGTGCATGATGCAATAGTTTCATGCTGTAGAGTCAAGACACAGACATATGCTAGTGTGCACATTGTTTCATGTGGGCTTCCTGCATCAACGATTTGGGAAAGATAATCTGCCCAACTTCTTTTGTTTTAATCAATAAGTAAGAAAGCGACATTCAAGGCAGTTTGACCTGACGTCTTTTCTGCTAGTTTGCTGTAGTTGACCTGTGCTCAACAAAGTCGTGAGTCTTTGGTTTCATGACTATTTTGCGTGCAATCATTGTTAGGATTGGGACTCTGAGGGGCAGATACGTTTGGGGGAATAACACATGGGGATTTGTAATGCTGTCACATTCCTGATTTTGTTATCATATCTGTTCGACACTAAATTAACTGAATAATTTACTCCTCATATGGTTATGTTATGTATGTTTATTGTCATGAAAACATACTTACAAATTGTTATTTGATCTGTGGTTAATTTCAGATTAAACCTAGTTATATTCCACAAGTCCATTTGTGTGGAAAGCGTCAATGACCTCAAGAGAGTGCAAGGGTTTATGCAAACAAGGCAGCAGAATTGCGTTACACTTATAATACGGACGTGACGTCACACAGGCGTTGTCTCATTTCCCTTTTCTTTGGGGAAGGGTATCTTTCAAGACTGTAAAATTCCATGTCATCTATGGGGGTGTTTTCTATCCATGTCTTAAAGTGTGATAAGAATGTTTTGTTGGCGGACAAACGGTGGGAAATACATCGTCTGCTATTGTGAATTTTACAGTCTTACAAAATACCGTTCTCCAAATAACATGGAATTTGAGCGGACCCATGATTAATTGTTTAAATAATTTTGAATACCAATTGCTTCAGTGAACATTACTACTGTCAGATTAACTTAACTTTGATTCCGTTTGTCGGTGTTAGTTCAATGACTAATGGTGGAATGTCATTCTCATCCTCGGGATTGAATTTCGAAGTCTTGAAAGGATATGGCAAAGCTGCCCAATATCGTAAGGAAACTCAGCTAGTCTTTGCTGTCTCGTGACAACCAAGCCTGTTCTCAACGTGTTTTTCACTTTTACAGTATATTCTAAACTCATATTCATCGTCCCTGCCAACATTAGGGTATTATCCGATAGTGTTATAATTTACTCGGTTGCTCAATTCGAACGAACTTGGATTTAGATATTGACGATGAAGCTAATATAAGGTCAGTTTATACTCGGCGCGACAGCGAACGCCAACGCGAATTTGTGACGTCACGGCGAGTTTTCGCGCTGCGAATTCGCAAATGTTGAACAAATTCAACAACTTCAACTCCGATGACTTTCGCAGCGAATGAACTACCTTACATACCTAATGTGGACATTCCTTTGGCTTCTTTTAGTTCAGAAAAACCGGAGGAACACTCTTTCAACCCAATTTCGGTATCATGATTTCCTTGAGTGTTCTTGAGATTTCCTTGAGTGGTCCTCTTCATTTTGCGACGGATGACCCTAACCTGATAATGCCTCTAAATCTGTTTTCCAGAGAAGTGAAACCTTGTGTGAGGCCCGGTTCATACTCCACGCGAATACGATGCGAATGCGAATCGAATTTGACGTCATGAAACGTTTGCTGCGAAATTCGCCAGAGTTAAAATTTGCCCAACTTTTACGAATTCGAAGTGCGAATACTTGACACGACGTCAGAAATTCGCGTTCGCTTTCGCTTTCGCGCCGAGTATGAACCGGGCTTTACTTGGCTTAGTCCAAGTGCACAGAATTTTTACACAACCCGCAATGCGTGGACCAGTTTTGTTTTTAGGTCCACACAAATATGGCATGGTTGGCACACTCCGTATAAAAGGCCTTGATGAGCGCGATTGGGCAACAACCAACTGTGACTGGGCAGGGGCGTCGCTATAGGGACTGGAAATCATGGAACAGGGGTCAACCACTCCCCCCCCCCCGCATTATTAGTTTTTGTCGGCAAAATCGTCGAATTGTCGGCAAAATCGTCATTGTGTCGGCATTATCGTCATCCTGTCGGCAAAATCGTCATCCTGTCGGCAAAATCGTCATTGTGTCGGCAACATCGTCATCCTGTCGGCAACATCGCCATCCTGTTGGCAACATCTTCATCCTGTCGGCAAAATAGTCATCCTGTCGGAAAAATCGTCATCCTGTCGGAAAAAAATCGTCATTGTGTCGGCAACATCGTCATCCTGTCGGCACAATCGTTATCATGTCGGCAAAATCGTCATCCTGTCGGCAAAATCGTCATCCTGTCGGCAAAAATAGATTTGCCGACATATAAGCTTAAATTAATATATAGGGCCACACAATATTATCCGATACCAGTATTGTCCAGTTTCGTCCACTTTAGTTCCCCATTAGTGATTATGGAGTCCAGCTCCCCCTTGAGTTTGGGGCAGTTGGGTGATCGGGGGGGGGGGGAATTGCCACCTACCAGCAACGAGTGGTCTGTCGGCTATTTTACTGACGCCACCTCCCCTGGCCCTCTCCATTTCAATGGAGTTGCTGAGCGGAAAGTAATATTGCATGCTTGGTGTCAACTGCCAAACATGTCTGCCGAGGACTAGTTCCAAGCGGAAGTCTATATCGGACGACCGTTGACCGATAACGCTTTTTTGGGCATATAGATATCTTCTTTGCGATAAGCAAACTTTCGTGCTTATTATCTCCATGAAATCGACCCCTTTTGTCTGATTGGTCAAGGAAGGGTTACTTTTATTTGTTTATTTTTTGACAGGGGTGGCGGTGGCGATGGTGGCAGGCCTGTATTTGAATAAAAGAAAGTATATTTAAAGGGGACACTGTTATCAGATACTGAATTGAATAGTTTATTTACTGAATGAAGAAAGTAGAAGCAAAAAACATTATCGGCTTGTCACACAGCTCACACCTCCACACGGTGCCTATGTCATATCATGCAATAAAATATGTAATTTTTATTACCTAAATCAGGCTAACTGATACAGGCTACGTCAAATTACAACTACACGTAACAGTATTAGTTCAGTGCAAATAAAAGCGTTTCTCATTTTTATTGCAAACGCCCATGTATATGCAGCTTCAACATTAAGGTATATATAGCTTTTAATTAGGATCAACATAATTGTAGTCTTGGTGCAAGACTCAACGGTTACTATCTGGTACGTCATGTTTCGCGTCTCATGTTTGAGCTTATGCGTTTTGTAATTGTCATCGACAGAGGGCGCACTAAATACTGGCGCTACACTATTTTGATAAACTGAATTGTGTAAGCCATGAATCGAAAAAGTACAATGAGCTCGATTCCTATCAGAGATAGGGGAAAACCACTTAAAATCAAATATGGTAGAGTCCTGAGTGAAGAGAAAAAAATATTTAAAAACATTCGAATGTCTTTGAACCAAGACTACATAAACTGCTGCTGTTGAAGTTAATTCAACAACAAATATTTCAGCTTTTTATAATAATGTGTATTTTTTTTATACGGACACATGTGGAACCAGCAAAACTGTAAGCATTTATAAATGTTACAAGCTTGATCTGGCTCTTGGAAAAATTCAAATGAGTTTGTTCCACACTGAGTTGCGTTTTAAAAAGTCAGAGAAGTAAAAAAATACCTGGTGGAACTTCTGTGAATACTTCTTTCAATATTGCGAAACTCAAGTAATTATTAATTTCATGAAAGCTAGCTTTGCATTTACAATGTACTAGTTTTTTTACCATTATTGACTAGGGAAAAGTGTAGCAGAGAATCGCAGGGTCACATTAGAAGAGACACGGTGGTTACAGGTCTCTCAGATTTTGCTTTACACTGCATGGATCAAAAAGCCAGAGAAGTAAGCAAATCTACCTCCAGCGCTGTAAATACCTCTGTTACTGCCGAAAAACTCAAGCCAGACTCTGTCTCCCGTAGCCAAGATAAGGACTGCCGAATTGCTGGACTGGTGGTGATAACTGTCATGACTGTCATATATTGAAAAGACAAGCTCACCGTTCTTTTTTAGCTGTACATAAGGCCGCGTTGCTGTGTTTATTCTAAGAAAACTGGTCGTGAAAAAATAGACTCCAGGTTGTGAGCATGTAAACACGCCCGACTGCGAATCGTACCTGTCTCCGATATTCGTCATGATGTTGTCAAAGACGATTACATCGCCAATGCCGCCGGTGACAGCTGACGTTCGGTAAGCGCTGAATGCGACGGCAGAGGGCGCTGTTGGTGTCACAAGGGTAGCTTCTCCCGGTTGTCCCTTCTGCCCCGTTTCACCCGGTGGTCCGTGCGGTCCCTCGAGCCCTGGCTCCCCCTGGTCACCTTTCTGCCCCTCACCGATGTCTCCCTTGCAACCTGCAGGTCCCAGCTTCCCCGAAGGTCCCTGCATCCCTGGCTCGCCTTGATCCCCCTTCCGTCCCTGGTCGCCGGTCTCTCCCTTGGGTCCGGCGAGGCCATACCCGGGGTCACCTTTGGGGCCAAGAGGTCCTTGAACTCCGATTCCCCCCGGATTTCCTGGGATCCCAGGTACCCCAGGGTGGCCTGGAAGGCAAGCAGTGCAGCAACTTGATGAGCCTGTTGGTTGTCCTGTAGTCTCCGAATCACGTTGACAGTGACTGCTTGATATCAGCAGCATTACAATCATCGCAAGAACAGAATGTTCACGTCTGACCTATTATTTGGAAAACCAGATATTGTTTGTTTGGCTAAATAAATATGCAATCAAGGATAAATTCTAAACAAGGACAGCTCTCCAGTCGACTAGCTAACTGATTGGCTGTCGACCACCTTGCCAGCCATTCGAGCTCTCAAGCTGAGTGGCCTACATCAACTACACTTTTCGGATAATTTGCAGCCCGGCAATAATTCAAGCCAGATTTAAACGAGTCACTGATTTTTGTAACTCGAATCGGACTCAAGTCCAGTCATTGCCTCGAGTCATTACAACTCTGATTCAAGACAATCTTTTCTCTGCGTTATGGGAGCAAAGGCAACCCAAAATAAAAGCGTATTCTCAGCAGGTTAAAAAAATAGGGCAAAAAGGTACGTGCCTTTTACTTTTACTAGTAATAAAAACATACAAATTTGAAATTTGTTATGAGAAAAAAATGGAATGTGCTAAAGATTTCGGAATATGTTGAAGAGTAGGCCTAAGGAAAGAGAAGAAACCCTAAATGTGGCCGTAAATTATCGGTGGGTCAATGGGCTTTCAAAGGGAATGCACCCACAATCCGCCTGGGCACCAACAATAAGCTTGCCCCCACCAAGGCGATTGTGACAGTTGTAAACGGAATGATTCTTGGACTACCCCATTCAAAACTTCCCATTGAAACATTACATTTTGTCCAGAGCCACTTATGAAACGGAGATAAAAGGGAACATTTATTTATTGAAACTAGGATTTGATCAATCAAGCTTAAAGAAAGAGAATTGACATTTTGTGTAAAAGGGCAAAAAGGTTAGCTTGCTGGCATTAACCACTCTGCCACATTGCTTCGTTTCAAATCAAGTGACATGATTATTTGTTTAATCATGACGTTTCACCCATGGCAAGCGTATCTACTTGGTTTGCAGAAGAAAACGCTCGCCGCGTGCCGCTCCTTTTACTTTCATGCTCAATAGTCTAAGAACCAGACGTTCACGTTTTGCAGAGCCTCATAACGAACGTCTAATGTATCCGTGAATGTAAAGTTTACAAGCCCCGCGCGCCAGCCAAGTTGCCTTTAGAAGTTGCGAAGTCGTTTGCAGCAGAAATTCGGCCAAAGCTGTTGACTGGTCAATATAGCTGCCATGGTTTTGTCGTAAAACACCGATTTTTTTTCATAACGAATTTTAACTTGCATGTTCATTTAAACGGAACTTTATTTTCTTCTTCTATTTTAGTGATTGCAACCCTCTGGGGAAAAAAAACTTTTTAGTTTGTGTTGTCTTCGCGCGCGTAGGGTCGGGAACCTGTCTACCGTGTGAGAACTGGATCATTTGCGGGCGGCAAATAATTCGAATTTGTATTAGCTCTCTTATTTCCAAAGAATGAAAATTCACTCTATTCAAGTGAAACTAGGACAAGACAATAAAAAGCATGAAATCCATTCAGTTGCACTGTTTCCGAGTCTTCACTCGAGTTTCGACTGAAGTGATCCTTTTAAAGGGAATGTACAACATTTGCTTTTGGCATGCAATTTTCATAAATAAATGGATTTGGAGAATTAGTATGTGATAGCAAATATTGTTACACTGATTTGTTTCACGTTTTGGGTTCGTAGAAAACCAAAACATATTCTTGTTGTCTGGTTCCCTGACCCCACTTAAGATGAAACGGGGCAATTTATAGACTTTGGGGAATTGTAGGATCAGAGAACAGTCTAGCAGGCTGGTAGCCCTTCACATGTGTAATCAATTGCAAAGAAAATGCAGACAAACTAAATATGAAAAAGTAGGCGCACTTTTTGAAAAAAGCCAGTTTTCTCCAACGCTGGTCGGCCGACCAGCGTTGGAAAAATACAAGTTTTTTCTTGAAAATGTTAGCACACCAGGAGCCACAACTTTACAGGATGCCTTAGACTGTCATTCCCGATCAATCCAGTAAGGTATTTCATGATAATTTGATCATTTCGTTTTTTGATGTTTGCAAATGTTGTATCTTCCCTTTAAAAGCATTTCTTTTAAAAGCATTTCACTCTAAATCGCCTGGTCCTTCCATAAGTTAACTTTGGCCAAACTATTTTCGTTCGATGTGTAATTCAAGAGTAAATACTCGTAATTTTACATCGCGAGGTCAAAAAAAGGGACTTCAACTAGAAATCGGGGTGTTTTCTTCCAGGATGAAACTTGAAAATACAATACTTAGTTATCTTTAAAAAAAATCAAATCTTATTTTAAAAGCAATTCAATATGAAAATGTAGAGTAAACTTCACTCTACTCTCTAATTCCAAAGAGTGAAAATTCACTCCATTCGAGTGAACATTCACCCCCACAGTCGGAAACTAGGGACTAGACGTTTTGGAGTCAAAGTTCTTCAATCGTAAAGATCGAGTTTTCACTCGAGCTTTGACTGAAGAGGTTCATTTTGTAGACTTTTGCAATAGAAAACGAGAGTGATTTTTAGTCTAAAACGTCTAGTCCTTAATTTCACTCTTTGTAATTTAGAGAGTACGTCTAGCGAAAGCAATCATCTATGAAAACTGACGAAATCTTACCGTCAATGCCATTGCTGTCGTTCTTATCAGGTGAGCTCAGTAGTTCAACTAGTTGGATTTTTTTCGCAGACAACTTTCTAGTTTGACTGATCTGTTCGCTGCTCCTCCTTTGGATTTAACCTCTGAGAAGGTTTGAGTTGAGTTTTTATACAAACTGTGGTAGAGGCAAAAAATGTCAAACCGGCCTATTAATGTTAGATCTTTTAAAATCCGGGTAGTGAAGGAAGTTCTCCAGATGACATTTGACTGAATTCGGTCAGTGACATTTTGGCTTATCTTGTCAGATGAAAGATATAATTTAATAAAAACTGAAAAGGAAATACGTCGGTGCAATTAAAGTTAAAATGAGAAATTTTTAACTTTCAAGATCCAACTTGTAAAGGTTTGAACTTTCAAAATGCAGGATATGGAGGAAGTTGTCGCAGTGACATTATGACTGAATTCGGTCAGTGATTATTTGGCTTATCCGTCGAATAGGTGAAATAACTTTAAAAACAAATTGAAAAGGAAATACGTATAAGTGCAATTAAAGTTAAAAAGAGAAAGTTTGAACTTTCAAGATCCGACTTGTAAACGGTTTTAATTTTAAACATGCAGGGCATGAAAGATATTCTCGTGGTGACATTTACTGAATTCGGTCAGCACCCCAAAGCCATTCCAGAGGGTTGGAGGGAAACGACACACTGAAACGCTTAGGCCTATGATGGTCTAGGGGCTACACGTTGTTTTGGTTTGATACGCGATAACCCGCCACTGCGATAATCCTCCGCCGCGAGAGGGCGTTATCACGACCAACCAATATCCATCCACGAACTGTACGAGCCGTCAACGTCTAGGCAAATTCCTAAAATCCCCCCCCCCCCGAAAATGGGGAAAACTAGAGCGCATGCGCGACGTCTGCAGGCAATTACGGTCCATTTTCAGTCCCACACAAGAGCTGACCAGTGAAAGTTGCACAAAAGACTTGCTGCATCTTTTATATTACTGGAAGAAATTTGAGAGTTTACTGCGGAACCACTATCATATGATTTTTTTTTTGAATTCGCGCTGCATATTGTTATGGCGCTACCTGCACCGGTCCACATTGTTCTTTGTTAATTTGCCACGATCTTCGCATAATGCGAGTTCGCTCAGTCTTTAAAATACTTTGTTGCATAACGCTTATTTCTCTGTGTGTTATAAAAGGGTTGGGCTCCGGGCACGCGGGGTCTGTGTCCCTCTCAACGTGCCGTCGGGTTGCTCCTGCCTCCGAAGCTGTATCAGAACATGCAGGAATAAGAACATTCCTCCATGATCAGAATAAGTCGTATCGTCAAATTGTTTGAGTTGTTTTAATTAAAGATAGTTGGTTTTGTTCTGCAAAACCTGTCTTCAACTGTCAATCTGTTCGTTGTGTCGATCCCCTTTGAAGTGTGACGGTGTAGCATGAATTTAGGTTTTATGAAATACGGACTCATTGGTGGTATCGCGCATGCTCGTGCATAGATAACTAGGAGAGGGACCGGTCAAGTGAGAGGGTTTAACCAATAAAAGGGAAAAAGAGTCAGATTTTCATACGGGTCCAATTTTCATATGACAACGGCCATGATGCATGACGTGCCGCGCTGCCACACAGCCATAATGCCAAACAGGTGTGCGCGCATTACATAATCATGGCCTAGACGTTGTTACTGACGGATCGTGATGGTAGCAGACCAGTAAATAAACTTCCATAGACCCCAATGGTAAATGCTCCCACTTCAAAAATTCGGGAAAATTACTCACAACTCTCCAAGGTGTTCGAGACACACATCAAATGACTTTTAGGATAACTTAAAGGAGAAATTTCCATCTGAAGTTGATCACCCCTGAAAATAGTCCTGAAGCCCATTGCCATTTTGAAAAACGATGCCTACACTCCATTGCAAAATAGAGCGCTTTTAGGGACCAAATTATATCCAAATTACACAGAACTGCAAGCTCCGAGTCCTGTGCACGGCTTCCACCCATATTTTTTACCAACCTTTAAGTTCATGGCCCACAGCATGCTCAAATGCTGAAGATTTTGAGGGCATGCAAATCGTGATTTGGCCGACGTAGGCAATTTCGGACCGATTTACTGGTCTGCACCCTATAAAGAAGCAAGGTTTTGAAAAATTTCCCCAAACCACTTGTACGGCACGAGGAAGGATGGATGACTCATATTTCATCCAAAAATTGCGAGAAAAAAATCTCTGACTGCGATTTCTGGCGTGAAAACAAGCCTCCTGTTTGCGGCAACCTTGCTGTAGGGCGCCCCCAACGGGAGTTAATTGAGTTTTTGCTCCTTCCGACCCCAAATTACCCCCCCCCCCTCGAAATTGCTGTGATCGGACGACGGTCCATCGGCCCCATTCAGATTTTGGGCGCATTTGTTGCAGAACCGCTATTGCTGACCCCTTTTGAAACGCTGCCCCCCCCCGGTTCCGCCCCCCTGAAAAAAAAAAAAACAACGCCGTCGTGGAATGTAAAGCGCCTGCGCAAACATTTAAAAACAAACGATGGAAGGCGCCATTTTGAAATTATAGGTAGCAGACCAGTAAATTAACTTCCATAGACCCCAATGGTAAATGCTCCCACTTCAAAAATTCGGGAAAAAAACTCACAACTCTCCAAGGTGTTCGAGACACACATCAAATTAAAGCTTATTTCATCATCTTTCATTTTCTTTTCAATTTACAGGGGGGCAAATCGATGACTTTTAGGAGAAATTTCCATCTGAAGATGATCACCCCTGGAAATAGTCTTGAAGCCCATCGCCATTTTGAAAAACGATGCCTACACTCCATTGCAAAATAGAGCGCTTTTAGGGTCCAAATTACATCCAAATTATACAGAACTGCAAGCTCCCAGTCCTGTGCACGGCTTCCATCCATATTTTTTACAAACCCTCAAGTTCATGGCCCTCTGCACGCTCAAATACTGAAGATGCAAATCGTGATTTGGCCGGCGTAGGCAATTTCGGACCGATTTACTGGTCTGCACCCTGATGATATTGGTTGGTCGTGATAACGCCCTCTCGCGGCGGCGGATTATCGCAGCGCCGGATTATCGCGTATCAAACCATAACAACGTCTAGACCCTAGACTACGCTTATGACCGCGTAAACGTGTTTGAAAAGTGCACTTCTTTAAACATTTAAACATTGTCCATGCTTTTCTGGACAACTGAGGGTGATGTTGGTGTGATGTCATTTCAGGAAGACACTGTTAAGTTTCAGGGTTTTCTGTTCAATCGAAAAATGTAAATCGAAAAATGAGCTTAATGAAAGCATTTGTGAGAAAAGTTTGCTCATTGGCATACTGCCATGAACTGACACAACAACGAATGACAAAAGATTACACAATTTGCGACAGCGAAATATCCAAAATTCTGTCAACCTTTGGCGCTGAAATAGCTGTAACAATGACGTTTCTGCCTGAAATGACATTACACTTTTGTTCATGAATATGGATATTCGGATTAGCATAAAAAAGAACCTGACAAACTCACAAAAGAGATTTGTCACATGGTGCTATCGTAACACGTGTTATTCCTATAAGTGTAACACGTGTTAATCCTATTCAAGTATTATTGTTCAATATACATGTAGTATTATTGGTATACACCTCCCTCCAGAAAATAAGCCCTAGCGCCCTCAAAGTGGAGCCCAGTTATGCCATTGAGTAGGCCTATATGCGCATCTGAACTCGAACTTTATTGGGAAGGTTTCTCATCCCATTATGTCATGCTTCACATGGAATTGGAGCAGAAAATGTTAAGTTACTCTGATTCCTTGTTCAATACACTGCTTCAGTGAACATCATGCAGATTCACTTAAGTTTTTGATCCAGTTTGTCTGTGTTAATTCAAAGACCAATGGTAGAATATCATTCTCCTTACAACGGAAGTCTTGTGAAGGAAATGGCATAAATGCCATGACATTAATATCGTATTAAAAAAAACTCAGCTACAGTCTTTGCTGTTTCGTGACAACCAAACCTGTTCTTGGTAATTTTCCCCTCACTTTTACAGTTTATTCTAAATTCATCATCATCATCATCCCTGCCAACTTTCAAGGGGACATTATCCAATAGTGTTGTAATTTTATTCGGCTGTTCAATCATAGTAAACAGAGCGTAGAAAGCCATTACTTACTTCTTTATATAAAGGTAACCTGGATTTAGATAATGATGGCGATGAATCTGATATACGGTGGGTTTATACTCGGCTTTATACATACTTCGACATACTTCGCTTCATACTCAAATTTCGCAGCGACTGTTTCCCGACGCTCGCTTCGCATTCGCAGGAACACACACTCTTTTCAGAGCACATGACGAGCGCGCATAACTGGGAAACAACCAATTGCGCCTGGGCAGGAGCGTCCCACTGTACCCCCCCCCCCCCACATATTTTAGTTTTTGTCGGCAAAGTCGTCATCCTGTCGGCAAAATCGTCATCCTGTCGGCAAAATCGTACGTCTGTCGGCATATAAGCTGCGGAGCCATGCAATTATTATACGATACCAGTATTGTCCAGTCTCGTCCACTTTGAACAGTTCCTCCGTTGGTCGTTATGATGTCCAGCTCCCCCTACCACCTCCTCTTGATTTTGGGGAAGTCGGGTGATCGGGAACTATATTGGCTGCCTTCCAGCACGAATCGGTATGTCGGCTATTTTATTGTCGCCACCTCCACAATTCAGTGGATTTGCTGAGCACAAAGTATAATTGCATGTTGGTGCTAACTACTAAGTAGAAATCTGCCGAGGACTAGTTCCAAGCAGTCTACATGCGAGCGTTGACCGGTAATGTTTTTTCTTTTGCAAATAAATATATTTCTATAAATCATAACTTTCACGCTTATTATCTCCATGAAAATTACCCCTGTTGCCCTATTTGTCAAGGATGAGTTGCTTTTATTTGTTTGTATTTTGGAGGACGGGTGGTGGCGATGGTGGTAGGCCTGTATTCGAAGCCCCCCCCCCCAAAAAAAAAATAAATTCCGTAAAACAAAAGGCATTAGCAAAAAGAAGGATTAAGATGTACATGCGAACGGTCTCCCCCTAAAGAAATAGTCGTGACAAGGGTGCATTTGTAGTTAATATAGTGTGAATGATTTTAGGATTGTATTGGCGCTCCCCATTGAAAATATTGCATGAGCCCCCCCCCCCCCTCCCCCCCCCCCCCCCCCCCCCCCACACACACACACCCACACTTACCCACCCACACACCTTTTGATTTTCGGAGGCGTAAGTGTCCGGAGAAAATAAGCGGTCTACATTTCAGCACGCCTCCCTGGAAAAAATTCTGGATCCACCCTGCCCTCCCCCCCCCCCCCCCCCCAATATCGGTTCTAGAACCGCGCCTGGTGGTAGGCCTGTATTCGAACAAAATAAAGTATATTTTAAAGGGGACACAATTATCAGATACTGAATCGAATACTTTATTCAGTGCATGAAGAGGGAAACGTAAAAACATTTCTCTCGACTTGACTACCTCTACTGATCATGTTCTTATATTGTCATATCAATATGTAATTAAACATTATATCTAAATGATATAGGCTACGTCAAAATACAACTAATAATGTTAGTTTGGTGGAAAAGTAATGTAGCGTTTGTCATATATATTGCAGACGCCCATGCAGATACAGCTTCAACATTATTATAATTATTATTATTAATTAATATTTATTCGGCCAACAAATGAACAAAAGTACAATGACAAAGCAAATATATATCATAAAGTAAACAAAAATTGGAAATGTTACAAGCTTGATTTGGAAAAATTAAAATGGATTTGTTTTGACTGAGGTACGGAAGGATAATAAAGTCAGAGAAGTTACAAAATTACCTGGCGGAACTGTAGTGAATACTTAATTGTTTCATTAGGCAAAAAAAAAAATAGTTCTGTTTCCGATTACATGGCATTCTAAAATAGGGTAGGTATGTATATAAAAAAAATGTGTACGACCATAATGGAGAGGGTAAAAGGTAGTAATTGAAGATTTTCGGGTTTTTTCCCTCATTTTCCCCAAATACAAATTAGGGAAGGGGTATCAAAGAAGGGTATGTAGGGTAACCTGAAGCAGAACAATTTTGTTTTGGCCTAAGGCCTATTGCCGAGCGCAAGCAATAACATGTATTAATTTCAGGAAAGAATCACCCTATTGATCACACTAAACGAAACAGGGGGGTTCACATTAGGTTTCCCAAATTTTGGCTTTACACTGCATGGATCAAAAAGCCAGAGAAGTATAACTGGGAAACAACCAATTGCGCCTGGGCAGGAGCGTCCCACTGTACCCCCCCCCCCCCCACATATTTTAGTTTTTGTCGGCAAAGTCGTCATCCTGTCGGCAAAATCGTCATCCTGTCGGCAAAATCGTACGTCTGTCGGCATATAAGCTGCGGAGCCATGCAATTATTATACGATACCAGTATTGTCCAGTCTCGTCCACTTTGAACAGTTCCTCCGTTGGTCGTTATGATGTCCAGCTCCGCCTACCACCTCCTCTTGATTTTGGGGAAGTCGGGTGATCGGGAACTATATTGGCTGCCTTCCAGCACGAATCGGTATGTCGGCTATTTTATTGTCGCCACCTCCACAATTCAGTGGATTTGCTGAGCACAAAGTATAATTGCATGTTGGTGCTAACTACTAAGTAGAAATCTGCCGAGGACTAGTTCCAAGCAGTCTACATGCGAGCGTTGACCGGTAATGTTTTTTCTTTTGCAAATAAATATATTTCTATAAATCATAACTTTCACGCTTATTATCTCCATGAAAATTACCCCTGTTGCCCTATTTGTCAAGGATGAGTTGCTTTTATTTGTTTGTATTTTGGAGGACGGGTGGTGGCGATGGTGGTAGGCCTGTATTCGAAGCCCCCCCCCCAAAAAAAAAATAAATTCCGTAAAACAAAAGGCATTAGCAAAAAGAAGGATTAAGATGTACATGCGAACGGTCTCCCCCTAAAGAAATAGTCGTGACAAGGGTGCATTTGTAGTTAATATAGTGTGAATGATTTTAGGATTGTATTGGCGCTCCCCATTGAAAATATTGCATGAGCCCCCCCCCCCCCTCCCCCCCCCCCCCCCCCCCCCCCCCCCCCCCCACACACACACACCCACACTTACCCACCCACACACCTTTTGATTTTCGGAGGCGTAAGTGTCCGGAGAAAATAAGCGGTCTACATTTCAGCACGCCTCCCTGGAAAAAATTCTGGATCCACCCTGCCCCCCCCCCCCCCCCCCCCCCCCCCAATATCGGTTCTAGAACCGCGCCTGGTGGTAGGCCTGTATTCGAACAAAATAAAGTATATTTTAAAGGGGACACAATTATCAGATACTGAATCGAATACTTTATTCAGTGCATGAAGAGGGAAACGTAAAAACATTTCTCTCGACTTGACTACCTCTACTGATCATGTTCTTATATTGTCATATCAATATGTAATTAAACATTATATCTAAATGATATAGGCTACGTCAAAATACAACTAATAATGTTAGTTTGGTGGAAAAGTAATGTAGCGTTTGTCATATATATTGCAGACGCCCATGCAGATACAGCTTCAACATTATTATAATTATTATTATTAATTAATATTTATTCGGCCAACAAATGAACAAAAGTACAATGACAAAGCAAATATATATCATAAAGTAAACAAAAATTGGAAATGTTACAAGCTTGATTTGGAAAAATTAAAATGGATTTGTTTTGACTGAGGTACGGAAGGATAATAAAGTCAGAGAAGTTACAAAATTACCTGGCGGAACTGTAGTGAATACTTAATTGTTTCATTAGGCAAAAAAAAAAATAGTTCTGTTTCCGATTACATGGCATTCTAAAATAGGGTAGGTATGTATATAAAAAAAATGTGTACGACCATAATGGAGAGGGTAAAAGGTAGTAATTGAAGATTTTCGGGTTTTTTCCCTCATTTTCCCCAAATACAAATTAGGGAAGGGGTATCAAAGAAGGGTATGTAGGGTAACCTGAAGCAGAACAATTTTGTTTTGGCCTAAGGCCTATTGCCGAGCGCAAGCAATAACATGTATTAATTTCAGGAAAGAATCACCCTATTGATCACACTAAACGAAACAGGGGGGTTCACATTAGGTTTCCCAAATTTTGGCTTTACACTGCATGGATCAAAAAGCCAGAGAAGTAAGCATATCTTTGTGAACTGCTGTAAATACCTCTGCTACCGCTGCCAAACTCAAGCCAGACTCTGTCTCCCGTAGCCAAGATAAGGACTGCCGAATTGCTGGACTGGTGGTAATAATTGGCATGACTGTCATGAATCGAAAAGACAAGCGCACCGTTCTTTCTTAGCTGTACATGAGGCCGCGTTGCTGTGTTCAAACTAAGAAAACTGGTCGTGAAAAAGTAGACTCCAGGTTGTGAGCATGTAAACACGCCCGACTGCGAATCGTACCTGTCTCCGATATTCGTCATGATGTTGTCAAAGATGATGACATCGCCAGTGCCGCCGGTGACACTTGCTGTGCGATAAGCGCTGAATGCGACGGCAGAGGGCGCTGTGGGTGTCACAAGGGTAGCTTCTCCCGGTTGTCCCTTCTGCCCCGTTTCACCCGGGGGACCTTGCGGTCCCTCGAGCCCTGGCTCCCCCTGGTCACCTTTCTGCCCCTCACCGATGTCTCCCTTGCGACCTGCAGGTCCCAGCTTCCCCGAAGGTCCCTGCATCCCTGGCTCGCCTTGATCCCCCTTCCGTCCCTGTTCGCCGGTCTCTCCCTTGGGTCCAGCGAGGCCATACCCGGGGTCACCTTTGGGGCCAAGAGGTCCTTGAACTCCGATTCCCCCCGGATTTCCTGGGATCCCAGGTACCCCAGGGTGGCCTGGAAGGCAAGCACTGCAGCAACTTGATGAGACTGTTGGTTGTCCTGTAGTCTCCGAATCACGTTGACAGTGACTGCTTGATATCAGCAGCATTACAATCATCGGAAGAACAGAATGTTCACGTCTGACCTATTATTTGGAAAACCAGATATTGTTTGTTTGGCTAAATAAATATGCAATCAAGGATAAATTCTAAACAATGAGTAATTGATCAGCTCTCCAGTCGACTAGCTAACTGATTGGCTGTCGACCACGTTGCCAGCCAATCGAGCTCTCAAGCTAAGTGGCCTACATCAACTACACTTTTCGGATTATTTGCAGCCCGGCAATAATTCAAGCCAGATTTAAACGAGTCACTGATTTTTGTGACTCGAGTCGGACTCAAGTCCAGTCATTGCCTCGAGTCATTACAACTCTGATTCAAGCCAATCTTTTCTGTGCGTTATGGGAGCAAAGGCAACCCAAAATAAAAGCGTATTCTCAGAAGGTTAAAAAAATAGGGCAAAAAGGTACGTGCCTTTTACTTTTACTAGTAATAAAAACATACAAATTTGAAATTCGTTATGAGAAAAAGTGGAATGTGCTAAAGATTTCGGAATATGTTGAAGAGTAGGCCTAAGGAAAGAGAAGAAACCCTAAATGTGGCCGTAAATTATCGTTGGGTCAGTGGGCTTTCAAAGAAAATGCACCCACAATCCGCCTGGGCACCAACAATAAGCTTGCCCCCACCAAGGCGATTGTGACAGTTGTAAACGGAATGATTCTTGGACTACCCCATTAAAAACTTCCCATTGAAACATTACATTTTGTCCAGAGCCACTTATGAAACGGAAATAAAAGGGAACATTTATTTATTGAAACTAGGATTTGATCAATCAAGCTTAAAGAAAGAAAATTAACATTTTGTGTAAAAGGGCAAAAAAGGTTAGCTTGCTGGCATTAACCACTCTGCCACATTGCTTCGGAGTTAGTTTCAAATCAAGTGACATGATATATTTGTTTAATCATGACGTTTCACCCATGGCAAGCGTTTCTACTTGGTTTGCAGAAGAAAACGCTCTCCGCGTGCCGCTCCTTTTACTTTCATGCTCAATAGTCTAAGAACCAGACGTTCACGTGTTGCAGGGCCTCACAACGAACGTCTAATGTATCCGTGAATGTAAAGTTTACAAGCCCGGCGTGCCAGCCAAGTTGCATTTAGAAGTTGCGAAGTCGTTTGAAACAGAAATTCGGCCAAAGCTGTTGACTGGTCAATATAGCTGCCATGTTTTTGTCGTAAAACACCGATTTTTTTCATAACGAATTTTAAATTGCATGTTCATTTTAACGGAACTCTATTTTCTTCTTCTATTTTAGTGATTGCAACCCTCTGGGAAAAAAAAGCTTTTTAGTTTGGGTTGTCTTCGCGCGCGTAGGGTCGGGAACCTGTCTACCGTGTGAGAACTGGATCATTTGCGGGCTGCAATTAATTCGAATTTGTATTAGCTCTCTTATTTCCAAAGAATGAAAATTCACTCTATTCAAGCGAAACTAGGACAAGACAATAAAAAGCATGAAATGCATTCAGTTGCACTGTTTTCGAGTCTTCACTCGAGTTTCGACTGAAGTGATCCTTTTAAAGGGTATGTACAACATTTGCTTTTGGCATGCAATTTTCATAAATAAATGGATTTGGAGGATTATAGCAAATATTGTTACACCGACTTGTTTCACGTTGTGGGTTCGTAGATGGTGGAAAAACCAAGAAAACCAAACATATTCTTGTTGTCTGGTTCCCTGACCCCACTTACGATGAAACGGAACAATTTATAGACTTTGGGGAATTGTAAGATCAGAAAAACAGTGTAGCAGGCTGGTACCCCTTCACATGTGTGTAATCAATTGCAACGAAAATGCAGACAAACTAAATATGAAAAAGTAGGCGCACTTTTTGAAAAAAGCCAGTTTTCTCCAACGCTGGTCGGCCGACCAGCGTTGGAAAAATACAAGTTTGTTCTCGAAAATGTCAGCACACCAGGAGCCACAACTTTACAGGATGCTTTAGACTGTCATTCCCGATCAATCCAGTAATTTATTTCATGACAATTTGATCATTTCGTTTTTTGATGTTTGCAAATGTTGTATCTTCCCTTTAAAAGCATTTTTTTTTAAAGCATTTCAATATGAAAAGTTAGAGTGCTTCTGACTCTAAATCGCATGGTCCTTCCATAAGTTAACTTTGGCCAAACTATTTTCGTTCGATGTGTAATTCAAGAGTAAATACTCGTAATTTTACATCGCTAGGTCAAAAAAGCAACTTCAACTAGAAATCGGGGTGTTTCCTTCCAGGATGAAACTTGAAAATACAATACTAAGTCATCTTTAAAAGAATCAAATCTTTAAAAACTGACGAACTCTTACCTTCAATGCCATTGTTGTCGTTCTTATCAGATGAGCTCTGTAGTTGAACTGGTTGGGGTTTTTTTTCGCAGACAACTTTCTAGTTTGACTGATCTGCTTGGTGCTGCCCCTTTGGATTTAACCTCTGAGAAGGTTTGAGTTGAGTTTTTATACTAACTGTGGTAGAGGCAAAACATGTCAAATCGGCCTATAATGTTTGATCTTTTAAAATCCGGCTCGTGAAGGAAGTTCTCCAGATGACATTTGATTGAATTCGGTCAGTGACATCTTGGCTTATCTAGTCAAATGAAAGATATAATTTAATAAAAATTGAGAAAAGGAAATACGTCGGTGCAATTAAAGTTAAAATGAGAAATTTTGAACTTTCAAGATCCGACTTGTAAAGGTTTGAACTTTCAAAATCCAGGATATGGAGGAAGTTTTCGTCGTGACATTTGACTGAATTCTGTCAGTGATTTCTTGCCTATTTCTATTCAAAAGGTTAAATATTTTTATAGACATATTGAAAAGGAAATACGTTGGTGCAATTAAAGTTAAAAAGAGAAATTTTGAACATTCAAGACCCCACTTTTAAAGGTTTGAACTTTAAACATCTAGGGCATGGAGGAAGTTTCCTTACTGAATTCGGTCAGTGATTTCTTGGCTTATCTGTTCAAAATGTATTTTTTTTTAATTGTAAAGGAAATACGTTGGTGCAATTAAAGATTAAAGTTAAAATGAGAGAGTTTGAACTTTCAAGATCTGACTTGGAAAGGCTTGAACTTTAAACATCCAGAGCAAGAAGATATTCTCGTGGTGACATTTACTGCTCGGTCAGCACCCCGAAGCTAGTAGAGGGGAGGGAAATGACACACTGAAATGCTTATGACTGCGCAGTACTCAATCTGCACAAAGGTCCATGAAATGAGTTGTTTTTAGAAACATATTTTGTGCAAGTTTCTACTCCTTTGAGATGTGTGAAATTGGTGGTTTTTTAAAAAAGAGCACTATTTTCAACATTTAAACATTTTCCATGTTTTTCCGGACAACTGAGGGCGCTGTTGCTGTGATGTCATTTCAGGAAGACTCTGTTAAGCTCAGGGATTTTCTGTTCTAGTTGTAACCCCCCCCCCCAAAAAAAATGCTCATTGAAAACAGTTGTGATGGTTTGCTCATTGGCGTACTGCCATGAACTGATACACATTGAATCAAGAAAATTTACAACTTTTGGTGCTGAAATAGCCGTAACATTGAGGTTTCTATACTTGAGATTACATCACACTATTGCTCAGGAATACGGACATTCGGATTAGCATAACAAATAAAAAGGCACCAAAATACCCTCGAAAATGGTAAAACGAAAATTGAAAATGGGGTTTGATTGGATAAAAAGGTGTATTTTCACGGATTTTGCATTGTTTTGCATTAAAACAAATACATTGCATGAGCCCTTTAACGGGATATTACGTCCTCGAATGCGCCTAATTGGCTACAAAACGCGTTTTAAACAAAACGATGGCAATTAGAAAGAGCATTTAACAGTAAACGTCCACACAACCATCCATTAAAAACTGGGCGTACATTGAATGGACACGGGTTTACGTATGCACACTATAACTGAAATTCGTAAAATTTGGGAGTTCATAAGATAACTATTTTTGCCGTGATTTATCGAGGAAAATCCATACGTGAACCTACCATTTTGACGTGCGATGCAGACACGCCGTGCGAGTACCTTGAAATTTACCTCACAAAATGATGACGTCATCCACAGTTTTTCCGAGCTGCACACGCATCCCCTATCTGCACCGTTTTCTAATGGTCCCTAATGTCCGCCGCTTCCGATGTAAACACCGGTTTATTCGTCTTTTCTCGAAATTGGTAAGACAGTAGGGGTTAGTTTTCTTTCAACCAGGCCTTTGAAATAGGATAAGTAAACAATCCAAAACATAACAGTTTCGGCCGGGATTTCAGGCCGTATATATACGGACGTCACACATGCGTGTCTCAATCCTCTTTTCTTTGGGAAGGATATTTTTTGATGGCTGTAAAATTTGTTGGCTCTTCATAATAGCATACGATGTAGTTCCCACAGTTTTTCCGCCAGCAAAATATTCCATCACACAAGATGGATAAAAAAGAAACTGCATGGATGAGTGGGTGTGGTTTTTAAAATCTACTACGATTTCGATTTCTACACTTTAATTTTGCACAACTTTGCTTAACTTTCCATAGAGATCAGAGTTGTCAGAGATCGAGGTTTGGTGTACTATAATTAAGCAACATTTTTGGGAAAGACGTTTACCCCCAACAGTCCAACGATAAGCCGCAAACCTTAAACGGCTCACGTAATGTAATTTTTTTATGCATTCCTTGAAAAGGCAATTTTTAAGGGATATTTTGGTGCCTTTTTGGTGTTTATGACAATTTCCATATTCGTGAGCAACAATATGATGTCATTTCAGGCAGAAACCTCAATGTTCAGTGCAGAATTTGTATTGCTAGAAAAATATCAATTGAGAAATGGAATCTATTTTTTTTTTCGGAATAAAACTTGAAACTAGACGAGGAATGCGTCTTTAAGTGTGGCTTTATATTCTTAGATGTCCCCTAACGTGGCACACTTTGATTGTTTTTGTTTCTGGTGCCTTGCCGGATGGAAAAGACGTTTTATGTCAAATTTCACAGTAAGTGAAATTCCATGAAATCTGCTCGTATACTTTGAGTTTATCTACTCATTGCAAATCTCAAAGGCGTATAGGATCGTTCATTTTGCTTTTCATGCATTTTGTTCGATTCCAATAATAGCACAATTTAAAATCCAAAGAAGAATGTAAAATAAATTTGCTAGTTTGTTTTTGCAGGCCTTTATAGGAGCCTACAGTTTTCAAAATTGGTTTTAAATGGCGCGCTCCAGTTCAGAAATTTCGCACACTATTCAGAACGAATTTGGAATTAAATTGAAATTAATTGATTGACTACTTGTCATGGGCAGATTTTTTTTGCGCGATATCTCATTGGAAAGCTCATAACTAATGTAATGCCAAAAATATCAATTCAATTTTATAAATCTATTTTTCAAGGTGCCCACCCAAAAAGCACGTATACACCAAGAGAAAAGATTTTATTTTGAAGTTGGCAGGGAACCCTTTTTAAAATGCAACCCCCCTTAAAAAAAAATTTAAAAAATGTTCTGACAAACATGTATTTGGATAAGTGGTTGGAGATAACAATGGTTTATCAGAATTTGTCAACTTTGAAGAAATTCTAAAAATAGTGTCCACTTAGGAATTTCTGAGATTTGTTTAAGTGCACCACGATAGGGAACACTCGGCCGATTTTGTGCCCAATTTCCGGACGCCACCGTGTTTTTTTTTTTTTAATTTCGGAATACATTTCATGATACTTAATTGTTCACAAGTTCAACACGTGTTGTGAAAGTAATAACACACCGGTATTTAACTGAATGAATTTGAAGTTCGTCAACCAGGTGTTTTGGCAACACCGTCATGAGGAAAATCGGGAGAAACGTCACGCTAGGGACGCCATTACAGATGTTCAGGCACCCGAATTTTAAGGTGAAAATTGAAAAAATAAGATACAAAAGTACGGTGGCTACGCGTATCAACAAAATATGAATACATTAACTTTTAAGGAGACAATTATATGGGTGATGAATGGTGGACGCTAGGCTAAAATTTAAGGCTTGCTTACAACCCAGTCGTTGTTATAAATACAAGATATTGCCACTTCTGATGGAAGTTGTACGGTTATTTTGCTATGTTCCGAGGGGTCTTTAGATAGACATTTTTCTTCAGTAAAAGATGTCGCTACAGTGGATTTCGCCCTCTCCCGACTGGGTTTGTTAATTACGGCCTAAAAAAAGATACATGTATACCAAATTTTCGCCGTCTTTCAAAGAACAAAATCAGTTTGCTCGGGAATTTCCGAAAATGATATTTATCAGCAGGTGTACCGTCATTTAATTAAAACAAATCCATTCACTCCTGCAACTACAATAAAATGAATTACTCCAACTGGATGTCGTCCCAGCGTGCACATCCCAGCGGGGGGAACAGCAATAAAAGTATTGGCTGGGTGGGTCGCGGTAGCTCTGTGACTGAATCACCTGCAATACCCACGAAATTAACATGACAATGAACAAAGGTCCGAGTTCAAACGCAATCAAGCCGACAAAAGTGAAATTCCAGAGCCGTCGGATGATCGTGTTTTCAGCTGTGATGTTTATTACTGCTTGCCCTGATGATTATTTTCGTTTGAGAGTTCATTGTTATAGGTTCAATGGTTTAACAGGTAGGATATATGTCGGACATACCAGATTTTCATTGCAACTGATGGAAAAAGTATATCATGTATATCGATACAGGATATAAACACTGGGCATTGTTTCATTTAATCAAGATTGAGGTTAATGCTCTAGTTCCTAGTTTTTTTTCCACTGGATGATGGCAATTTATCTTGATGTAAATCGTTTCTTTGTTGTTATCTCCCACTTTATCTCACCATGGTTACACAGCAGTCAGCAGTGAAAAGACAAACGCGAGAGAAATTTGACACCACCACCCTGCAACACAACGAAGGAATGCAGTGACGCCATTGGTTGCAACGGACGCCGTGCACGTTGGCTACGGGTGCGAAAACAAAATGGCGACTTCCAGTTACACGATTTCAAACGTTCGAAATCTACAAAAGTGAAAGTTTTTGTACTGCATTGAAAAGACTCACAACGTGGATTTATTAACCATGGCTTCGTGTGTGTGGATTAATAGCAGACTTCCGTCTGCACTAACTGGTGCTGGAATTTTCTTAATCGTGTTTTTGAGCCACCTAAACCCTGCCGTTTGTCAAGGAGTTTTTCCGCAGTTGATCAACGCGGCCGAGCGGAAGCCAATCTCCACCGCGCCTGCAATCGGCACCTGCGGGTACAGCCCGTCGACGGGCGGGCTGCTCACCACGGCGTTTTGCCGGAGTTCAACTTTAGCTTCCTCGGTCACGACGTGCCACCAGACTATTTGCTCACAGGGGTGCCCGAGTAGGACTAGCTCTCCTTCCCCTACCCCGATTTTGTCGCCTGCTTCCCCCTGCATCAGGCGAGATTCCCTGGACGTTCGGCCCTTGTCACTGGCCGGGTCCACTTCCCATATCTTTGATGCTGGTTGCTTCATTTCCCCGGGAGTTGTGCCAACCGTTGGGAGCAATGGAAGGTTTACAATGTCTGTCTGGTTGAAACCAGATCCATCTCAAACTCAAGAAGGGTGAGTATGAATGGGGGGGGGGGGGGGAATCATCCCATCAAACGTCATATCACTTATCAGTCTTTAAAATAAAAAATTGGTAGACTTTCCAGTTGCGGCACACTTTATAATTTTGTACTTTATTTTGCCAAACTGTTAATTGACAAACTTTGAATGTTTTTCAAAATCAACTATTTTTAAGCGGTACACTTGAAAAACGTACGGATGCAAAAAGGTTTCGCGTTGGTATCATCACGGCAGCCATAGCGCGATTTCCAACTGCTATGTCAGGATTTTTGGCTGCCGGAACCTGACAATTAACCGAAAAGTTCGCGAGTTCTCAGATTTTATTTCCCTTTTTAAAAAAATCATCCAAAGCCTCTGATTTTAAAGAAGAAAGTGAACTGTACCTAAATTAAAGGATGATTCGATTAAAAAACATCAAATTAAAGAAAACTATTTGAAAGAAAAAAAAAAATGTGGGCAGTGCGAACCGGGATCGAACCCGGGACCTGCTGCATGCTTGCTGAGCATTTATCCACTGGAACTACCGAAGTAATCTGGTTGGTCATGTTGGTTGTGTACCCCCTATACATTCCCATTGTGTTTTTACAATACCGTAATGATAGTATTTGAAAATTGCTTCACAGCTGTCTTTTAAACGATAGACACTACGAAAAGTTTTTGACAGTTTCAAATTATGATTACTGTTATTTCGCAAAGTCATGTTTGTTAATTTTTTTCCCTGGCATATTTTGAAGGGGTCCATTGTCCACTGCATATTTAGTTTTCTTCCTCAGTTGTCTAATTTTTTTCTGCTTTTTAAAAAAAATTGAAATATTTCTTCCTATTATTAGAAATCACCAAAATCTCTTTTCTTTAGAAATGTTGGGTACAAATTGAATCCATTGTGGCTGCTACAGAAAAGTGTTCCAAGTGAACAAATGCAACCCAATAACTTTCAGTATTCTAGTTTTAAAATACGAGAAACCGTGAACTGTGATCTTTAGAGCTGGAACCCAAGTCTATGACAAGGAAGAATCTTTTGAAAGTCTTCATTTCCAAACAATTGTTGACATTTCTTTCACTTTCTCCCACTTTGACTCTAGCACTCTACTGGAGAAGCGATCAAGCCTGACAGGCAGAATTATTTACACATTGCTTGTATCGCAGACCATGATAGCCTTTGAGTATAGGACGAGTCCAGACACTGCATATCTAATAAGTGCACAGGCAGACATCTCCCCAACACAGTGGACGCACTTGGCCGTTCAGGTAGAGTATTCAGTGACAACAATCCAATAGGGCTAGTTCTAAAGCCCCAGTCACACATTCACGGTTTGGAGCTACGGATATCCACCGTTTAAAATTGTTGATGGACCGTGGGAGCACCGTATTCATCTTTAGTACCTCCGTGGTTGTCCGTCATCTTAGTATTTCCTTCCTTCCTTCCTTACAAGTGCAGACTTCATGGCTGAAGATAATCGCACTGCCAGAAACACCGGGGCGAACCCCTTCTCTTAGCGATAAGTGTACTGGGTTCTTTAACGTGCATTAAACATTATACAACACACGGGACCTACGGCTTTACGTCCCATCCAAAGGACGAAGCAATAATGGTTAAGTGCCTTGCTTAAGGGCACAAGTGTCCGCGCCCAAGCTCGAACCCACGTCACTGTTGCCTCTGAAACATTTGTGCAGGGGCTATGGAAGTTTCAAACTGTTCCAAACTTCTGTGGTGAATCATCATGAAAATCAGTCCGTAGTGCAACCGTGGGACATCTGTAGGACAACCGTACTGATTTGTAGTGTTATTCGTGGCTATTGGTACATATTCTTGGAGATTAGTAACTCACTCTCGGTAAAAATCTCTACGAATTTGCTACGGATGTCTTACGGATATGCCTGAATATAGCATACTGCTGAGGTTGTACAATGTGCTACGAATATATATGCTTTATTCATAGGAGAACCTTGGTCATCCATGGCTCAATCGCAGACAACCGTGGCGTTAACGTCATTCTTCTTAGGCCAAAAAAAAAAGTCTCCAGTTTCTGGTATGCGCACGCGTCGCCTTAGCCATGTGCGTCGGCAAAATGAAAAAGTTTTTTTTTCAATGAAAGATGATGTCTCAAAACCGCCAAACTCACTGGTTTGACTGGAATCCTGCTGCTGCACAATTTTAACGTGTTTTTAGATTGGGTTATGGTCGAGCATAAGCTTTATGTGGCATCTCTGGACTCCCATATATTTGCACTAAGTTTAGTCGGGCACCATTTGCAGTCATCAGCCGACATTTGAAGCAAAAAAATCGGGTAAAAAAAAAAAAAAAAAGCCGCGTCACCGCACCACTTTTTGGGCAAGCTCCATACCAGAAACCGGAGACTTTTTTTTTTTGGCCTTAGTAATGCCGTCAATATTTTTCAACAATCAGTCCATATTCCTGACAAACCGTAATGCATTCTGAGAAAGTCGATTTCTCCACGAATCTCGATTGTGAATCTCTACCGTGAATGTGTAACTGGGGCATAAGCTAGATGTTCTTAGAAGCTAGCTGTTCGCTCATTAAAGAAAGGTATTTGTGTTGATGATCAGCATTCTGCTGGTATGTTTTCAAAACTCTCCCCACATTTTTCTGCATATCATATGTTTTTTCAGTAACCTGGCAAAAATACAAATAACGATGTTTTCCGATTAACCAACCGACCCTAAACTGTTGGGTGTAGCAGTTGAGCTTTCAAATTTATTTTCTATTATTTTGCAAACTTTATTGTTGATATTTTTTTGCATTGTGTGTGTGTATTTTGCAACTTTTACTATTAGAAATATTTCCTAATCAAATTGGAAAGGTTTCACAGTTTAAGTATGCATGCATGCATTTTTTCCAAAAATTTTGAAAGGACTGACCATGATCCCAGCGTTTATAATTATGAAGAAAGAAGTAGTGTCATGATGAGTTATTTTTTTTCATTGAAAATCACATTTCTTTTTTTATTATAAAAAAATGATCCAGGGATGTGTTCCATTGAATCATGCAGTGGACACATAACTTCAAGCATAGCTGTTGTACATGGCATTTAAAGTTGCAACTTGCATACCCTTGTGCTCTTCAAAAAATAGAGTGTTTTCTCGTTACAAATTTCAATTTTTATGTTTTGTTTTAACAAAAAAAAAACCCTACTTTATTCCGCATCTGCAACCCTCTGAAAAAAAAGGCTTCATATTGCACGCAAATGAACCCGCCCTGCAAGAGCCAAGTATTTTTTCTGGCAGCTAATGATTCAAATTTTGTGAAAAATATTCAATAACAAAACGTCGCTTCTTCGATGTCTCATTAAAAAACAAAATCTAGAAAAAATAGTTGGCTTTTTAGACAAAAATAATATGGAAATTCTAATTAGCAGATCAAACATTAATACTGAGAAGAAAATCATTTTTACAAGTCAGTCGCAGTAGTAGTTCTGACTTCGTGAGTTCTCATATTAAATTTGTTTTATGTATCTCTCCGACTGTCTTCAAGGTGTATGACACAAAACTCAGTTTTTTCGTCAATGGCCTGGCGGCAGATGGCACAGCACTGGAAACGCAGACCTTACAGGGGCAGATGTATGATGAGAGCAATGCACAAACTAGAGTTGGACAGAGAATTACAGGTACGTTAAAGCTATAGTCCATCATTGATTATTGTTGAAAATCATACTTGGTTTAAAGGGAATGTACATCGTTGGCTTTTGCTGTAATTTTCAGAAATGAACTATTTGAGGGGTTAGTATAATAGATCAAATTTTGTTACACTGAAATGTTTGAAGTTTTTTCTTCGAAAATGCTGGAAAAACCAAGAAAAACAACAAACGTTCCAGTAGTCTGGTTCCCTGACTCCACTAAAGATGAAATGGATCAATTTCCAGATGCCGGAAAATTGTAAGGTAAGGGAACAAGTCTAGCTGGCCTGCACCCGTTCATGAACATGTAACCAATACCAAACAAAATTTGAACTGAATAAAAAATGGTAAATTTTGAGCAGTAGTTGCACAATAGTTGGGTTTTTCCAACGGTGGTCGGCCGACCACCGCTGGAAACAGATACAAAAATGCCATTTTCTTGAAAATGACTTCACACCAGGTGCCATAATATTACAGGGTGCTTTAGACTGTCATTTACCAACATCCTAGTAAGGTATTTCGTAAAAACTTGGTGGTTTTATTTTTCGATGTTTGCAAATTGTATATTCCCTTTAAAGATAATAATGAGACTAAACTCCCTGTAAAATTATTCTTTCTGGCAAGCTGTCATTTTGAAGAATCAATGAAAGAGAGCCATTCCAATGATGCGTCTTAACATGCATTCTTGGAAATTTTTGTTAGTAGTTCGTTTTTAACGTGCGCACAGTTGCTATAATTCGTCATTTCAGTGCGTGACCTCACGTAGCTGCAGTCGGCTGAATGAGAACGTTTCCCAGGCGCTGATTTCGGGTGCAACTCAGAACATGACTCAGCAACTTTTGATTCGAAATTGAGATCCTAGAATATTGTTTTCTTAGAATATACAGCATTCACTGAGCTAAAACTTCATCAGGTTAGTTGTTCAGCACCCTTCTTTAGATTTTGAGCGCTTTGGTTGATTCAAACGAACATAATACACAAATTACAAATGATGGACTCTACCTTTAAAACCAGACTGCTGCAGAAACTGAAGCTTGCTAAAAGGCATATAGGATCTTTTTGCTTTTCATGCATTTTGTTTGTTTTCAATTTAATAACGTCACTCAAAAATTCAAAGCAGAATGTTCAAAACCTAACCTGTTGGCGTTTGAGCTCAGTGGATATTACACTTTTTGTGAAAACATTGAAAATTATGCACAACCTTTTCATCACGAATTATGATTTTGTCAATAAAACTCCTTATATCCAACGATCAGTCAATTGACTGATCATTGGAAATCACCTACATTTCCTGATTTTTTTCTAAATGACGGCAAGCCAACAGAAACTTTTCATGGGTTGTTCAGTACCACAAACACACTACACTGCCACAAACATACTACATGTATGTTCAGCCTCGTGTAGATAGAAAGCAAAATTCAGAATTTTGATTCATATAGGCTATCAGCTTTGGTCCAAAAATTGGGCCACTGGTATCAAATGACCAAAAGGAGCCATGCTCAAAGCGATTTTTGACAAGGTAAGCACATCTAGAATTGGAAAATGTGTGATAGCTTTGCAGTGTGAGCGGTGGCAGTTTTTTGGGTGTTATCACTTTCAATTTTTATTTTTCGAAATGGCCGCCAATATGCTTGTTACCAGATTAATTACATGCGGTAACAAGCATGTTTTGGCCGCCATTGTTTAAAAAAAAAAAAAAAAGGGATAGCACCCAAAAAGCTGCCACCGCTGCAATGCTATCACATATTGTCCAACTACAGGGGTGGATACCTTGCCAAAAATCACAATTCTGAGCATTATTCCCCTCATTTGATACCGACCAAACCCCCAGGCTGATGGCCTAATAGCCAAGCTTGTGTGACTTGTGATCATGTGCAGTGAAAAAGTACGTATAGTTCAATTGTACATTCCTTGTCATTGCTGCATGAATCAATTATTGCGCATGAAACTATTTTTTGTGATATTGTTGATTATAACTTGAATAATGATGAGAAGTCTGAAGCAGAATATTGGCCACCATTTTGTATCCTTTATCGGAGGAAAACTCATTACTGATGGATTTCAAGCATACATTTTGCAAAGCGTATTGGCCCAAGAACATAGAACATGTCTTATTTCTTCATTTTTCTCAAATGAACATGAAACCTTTAGTTTTGTTTTTCATCGATATTACATGTACGTGGTCAATTTATTGATTATCAAAACTTCTGATATCCATAGTGAAGATCTGAAATTGAGAATTAATAAGCTGCATAAATATATGTTAGGCCAAAAAAATAAAATAGTCGGTCTTTGGTCAGACCGAAGTTCCGGAATTGATGTGGCGACGCGGTTTCTTTTTTTTTTTTGGTGGCTTTTTTTTTTCAAGCTTGTATTGTACAGACAAAGTGGGTACTATTTTGCTTTTTTGTGTCCTCATTATACATTGGTGTCCTCCATAATTTGCCTTGGTGCCCTTTATCATTTGCCTTGGTGCAATTTCCCCATTCCTTGGTGCTCCTTGGTACAAAAATTTGAGGAGGCGCAGCAATAGCTGTTGTAGCTTCCGTGTTAATTTGAAAAAAAAAAAAGTTGACGCGCATTCTGATTAAAATCGACGCGCGCGCTGACCAGAGACCGAGTATCTTTTTTTTTTTGGCCTTAGTCACTATTTTTTTCTGTTATCTCCAAAAGGAATGCCTAAATGTTCAATACAGATCATAGAGAGGTTGCTGTGAAAAATATAAACTTATTATTTTTTCAAATATTTGCAAATCATTGTTTGCGTTCATGTTTCATGTATTAGTGATATGACATTACGATCACAGTTAAGCCTGTTTTGGGACACACCCTAAAATCATCGAGTCCACCATTCGTATTATTATTCAATCGTCAAACAAGAATGTAATTAAAATCCACCCATCTGGTACAGCAGCTGGTCATAATGTGAATTTCAAATGGCACACTTTCTGGGGGAGCTTTTTTGCTTCAACGCGAAGGACTGGACAAGCTGGTTGGGAATTCATTCACCGTGGGTTTTGTCAAGGTCCAGAATCCAACTGACTCTTGCGAGAGCTTGATTCTGTAATTTGTTTGGAATAAAAATATTTCGCTGTCCAAACCAATATGGTTCTTGACCAAGAATTTTTTGGGCCTGATTTTTGTTGAGCAATGAATTCTAGTGGACCTTTTTTTGGCAAAGTTTATTTCATGTTGAGACTCCTCGAAAATTGTAGTTACCATTTTAAAACTACTTGCCATTTACCCATTAGCACCTGTATTACATTGTGTTTATTCTCTGAAAAATCAATGAAATCATAGGGTGCTCTGGTGGTTTCGGGCGCTACAGTGAGTAATAGGCAGGGCATTTTTGGGCGCTACAGTGAGTTAAGGGTTAATGAACTGTAAAAAAACACTTTACTTTTTTTGGGGGGGGGGGCATGGAGGCATTTAAAAAGATTTAAATGAGCGGTTAACTCCTTAGCATCACAATTTCTTCTTTAACTTAAAGTTGTTGGTATAAGAGCAGCTTATTGTTCATTATCAGTCAGTGTTTTTTGAAGGTTGTTTTCCTTTTTCCTTTCTTCCCCTAGTGCAATTTATTTCAAACTTTATTCATGTTCTGTTTTCAAAAATGGTAATTTCAAGCCAAGAACCAAGTGCAGCAAGGCCAGCATTTACATTTCTGCACAAGCGTCGCCTCTGGGCACAAATTCTAAAGAAACCTCTTAACAAAACATTCATTTTTTTTCTCCACTTTTCATTAGGGGGAGACCAGTACCTGGGGCGAATGCAAGATTTCTACATATACTCGGAGACACTGACCAACCGAGAGATTGTTGAGTTGGCCACAGGATCCTTGCCAGAGGTCCACGCTCAAACTAACTGTCGCTGCCCTGACTCTCATCCACGGATCCACCCGCTGGATGACAGGTGAGCAGATGATTTCTCAGTTTGGTCCTTTGAAGGCAGGAATTGAACAAAGCAGGCATTGTGCATTGAACCTGTTTACACTGCTTGCTTTAACAGAATTCTAAACTCGTAATGTGTTCTTTATGTTTGTAACCTGAACTTCCTGGATTTTTTTAGGCCAAATTGCCGACCTCAAACATTTCATTGCCACATTTGGCCAAAAATTGACAATAAAGTTTATTTTGAAAATTACAAATTCTTCCCTATGCCACTTTTTTGTGTTATTGGTTAATTAAACAATTAAAACAGGTTAATCAAACAGAATACTGTTATAGGTATCCTAAAATAAACAAAATTAGTATAAAAGACAAACAGACAAACATAAACAAGTTACAAAATAGAATTATTTTCCTACCTACCCACCGGGATAATTTTCAATCACACAATGTACAATGTGCTGCTTTCATTGAGCCAGTTAACACTGCGTGTGTACAAATATTGAGGCGGAGTGAGAAACTGCTATGTAAGCACCGTCGATATATCGATATTACTCGATTATTCGATATTATTTTGAGGTCGATATCGCCGATAGCAATTTTTTAATCACATCGAAAATATCGAAATTTTCGATATTGAGGAATCATATCAAAAATATCGAAAATGCATCAGATTATCGTCACAATAAATCTTCCATAAATTTGTGCTTATACTTTGTGTTTATCGTTTGCTGTATAATGAAATAAAACTCGGCGGCAACTTGTGCTTGTGACTCAAAATAAAAACATTGCGAATGCCAAGCGGCGTCGCTTTGTGCTCTGCGTTCCCTAGAATTTGCGATTTTCCCCAATGTAAAACTATTTTGGAAAAACTCTCTTAGTTGAGATTTGTTGTAAAAAGTTTGAGCAATTTGCTCCAGAGAAAGCCTTGGAAAATTGGGACTTAATGTTTAAATTTTTTTTTTTTTTTATCAAAGTGTGATCTTTATAGTCTTTAACTTTTTACATGGGATAATCGATATATCGAATATTCTCAATATTGGATTTGTGATATATCGATTGTTGAAAATTCTGATATCGATGGTACCTACTGCTATGTTTAGAAACCTGAGCGATAAAGATACTGTGCGATAAATCTGAATGCCAACCAATCAGAGCATTGGTGGATGATGTTATGTAGCTGGCCATGATGTCACCCTTTTAATCTTCCATTCATAAATACCTCAGACAGTTTAGCCATTCCTATTGGTGGAGAGCCCGTCACGTGGCTGGTCTTAAACGGATGATAAAGACATGGCTAGCTGGTCTTAAACACTTTTCCAGTGTCACATAAAATGTGGACTCCTAAAAATCCAGTGCCTCTTACCATTTTATTGTTTGAACGTTCACAGTCCTCACGTAGGCATGCGCAACACTACCAGTGAGTCAGAATTTTATAGTTCTAAATTCAAAACGCAACGCCCCAGGTGCGTTCTGCGCGACATCGCGCAGAACATGCTACGCGCGCGTCAATCTCCATAAAAGGGTTGTTTACATCTTACTCGCCAGCTGAACACTCCATTATTTTGCTAGAGGGGTGTTTCAAAAAGCATTAAGTGAACTTGTTGAACAAAATCGGGATTTTTTTACCGAAATATTATTTGTTTTTGACCGAAAAGGTATTTATGAATGGGAATAAATATGTGCTCGGTCGGTATTAATCACTCTGTTAAAGACCCCTTAGAGTCTGGGTGCTGATAATTACCCTCGCCTCCGGCTCTGGTAATTATCAGCACCCAGTCTCTAAGCGGTCTTAAACAGAGTGATTAAAACCTCTCGAGCACACATTTATTCCCTTATTAATTTGCATATAAATAAACATCATAATTCCGCACACTTTTCTTACTGCCTATGTTTAAATATTATGATTCACTCTTTTTTTGTATCCGCTTGACGTTAATCATAGTATTGTGCAACAAAGGCCCTAACTTCCAAATATACTCAAGTGTATGATGATTATCTTGGCAGGTTCTGCCTGAGGAATGGGGATCCAGACACGACCCCTGACCTTCAGTCTCGTCTGCGGCAGGACGCCTACCCTCTAGAGTACGCCAACGATGGAGACGTCGGAAGTAGCTGGGTTTCCACCTTCACCGATGACATCATGCTCTATGTGGATCTCGTCAGTGGAGAGTTCCAGGTATTTCCACTGATTCATTTGTGTTTGATTTTTATATCGCCTCGCCTGGAGATTCTGTCTTTTAGTTTTTTTAGCCGAGAGTGCACCATGTGGAATTTGCTACACTGAATATTTTTCTGTGTAAAAGTCTTCCCCATCACGACAGTCTCATTGGGAAATATTTGTTTCAAACATATAATAAATAGGAGGAAGTTAAATAATGAAAGGTTTGCGGAAACACCATGTGCAAATAATTTCTAAACTAAGAAAATGGTTCTGAAAAGAACCAGAGGTATAAACTCGACGTTCCGGTCAGTTTGCTCTGACCGTCTTCAGAGCAAACTGACCAGAACGTCGAGTTTGTACCTCTGGTTCTTTTCAGAACCATTCTCTTAGTTGAGAAATTAATCGCACATGGTGTTTCCGCAAACCTTTCATTATTTAGTATCTCTGCCATGCAAAGCCTCAAATCTTACTTAGGAGGAAGTTAAGTTTAACTAAAGTATTTGAAGCGGTCAGTATTTATATACAGCCTGTCTAAAAAAAATGGTACAATTGAAAAAAAAAAAAAATTCTCAATATTAACTCTCAGCATAAGTAAGTCGTTTTGAGCATCACATTAAAGAAAAAAGACCAGGCTTTCCAATACTTTTTGTTTCATCTCATTTGCTTTTGTCAATCCAGAGATAACTCCAGTTTACTGCGGAACACAAAAATCGAGTGTGTGCCACTTTCTGGTTGAGTGAGAACGGTGAAAGAATTAGTGTATTTCATTAAAACATGCAATAAATATTTTTATTTGTTTATTATTTATGAAAAGAAAATATTTATCATTGAACTTATTATGTTGACTATTAAAGCTTGTATCGAGAAAACCAGACTTCCTTTGTGAACTTTAATCTGTGTTTTGTTTCTTTTGCCAAGTTGCAATTTTTTTGTGAGCTTCAAGACAGCATGGCACAGTACTCGAAACAACTCTGCCCATGCATAAAAGTGGCACAAAATCGATTTTGGTGTATCGCACTAAATTGATTGTATCTCTGAATTGACAAAAGCAAGTAGGATCAAGCAAACACTATTGGAAAGCCCAGTCTTTGTTCTTAAATATTATGACAAGTAAGAATGACTTATTGTGAAATTTCATATTTAACCAATTTTTTTTCTGATTGTACCTTTTTTTTTTGAGACAGGCTGTAGTAGGCAATTCCAGTGTTATGAAAGGAAGTGTAATGTGTGTGACAGAGCCAATTAAAGATTTGGTGTGAGTTTGGTCAAGAAATCATGCAGAGAAGGATAGAGCAGCAAAATCTGACATTGTGACTGAGTAAATGTCTGCAAGGGTTCATATAAAAACAATACTTTAACTAATTGCGAGCACAGCCTGGTTTTGTATCTAGTCTGTGGATAGACACTTGCACAGCAACTGATATGCGTGAATATAATGCAAAACATCACTGCATCTTGACCTCAAGATTCTGACCATTCAGCACACGCCTTCTGTCGTGTCTTCGGTAGCCAGATGTTGTATTGGAAGCTATTGGCCAATCAACAGCTTTGGCCCAATTTCTGCTCTAAATGACATCACAACTTCTAAAAGGTGGCTCTGATTGACTGATGCACAGGGTCGCATAGAATTGACATGCAGGGGTATATATCAGATGTTTTTAGGGAACGTCTGATTTTCAGACTAGGTTTTGCAATGGGGCATAAAAAAATGTTTTGAGTCAAATCCTGTTATAAATCAAAGTGGCCCATCAAAAATAGAGGCCTTAATTTTCACACTAGAGCCTCTCAACCCGGGTTGAACTCAACCCTAGGCAAACCCTGTGCTGCCCAGGGTTGAGTTTTAAATTTTTTCAACTCAGTGTTTAACCCCGCATCCAACCCTGCCATGTTTCATACTTGTTTCATGCAAACCAAGCTTATTTCGCCCGGTTAATACTGTTTTGAATGTTGACAAGAGTTTTAAGCCGGGTTGAAAATCTCACCCCTGGTCTGGAGCAGGGTTGAGTTTAACCCGGGGCAAAATAAATCTCTGGGTTGACACAGGGATGAAAATATTCAAGTGTGAACGCCGCTTGTTTTCAACCCCACGTCAACCTTGCGTCAACCCCAACATTTGTCTAGTGTGGAAAGGCCTTTTTTTAACCGTCTGTTAACCTTTCCTTTTTTTTCGTGCTTGAAGGTTTTCTACGTGGTTCTGCAGTTCTACAGCCCCCAGCCCACGGCAGTCACAATATCCCGCCGAGCTAACGACACAGCGGACTGGACTGTCTGGCAGTATTACGCAGAGGACTGTACCACCGCTTTTGGCATGCCAAATAACGGACTGCTCTCACTGCCCACCTCGGTCAACTGCTTGCAGTTTTCAACGTAGGTTTCCCCTTCAACCACTTAAGCCCGGTTCATACTCGGCGCGAAAGCGAACGCGAACGCGAATTTGTGACGTCAGGGCGGGTTTCGCGCTGGGCATTAGCAAAAGTTGAACACATTTCAACTCGGGCGAATTTCGCAGCGAATGCTTCGTGAGGTGAAATTTGCATCGCAGTCGCTTTCGTGCCGAGTATGAACCGGGATTTAGTCTTATGCCACGACACTTTTGATATATATGTAGATACACCAAAAAGAATTTTAGAAAGTATATAACCAAAAAATGCAGTTCCATAATCACTGAAATTTTCTCTAAGGAGGGGTACTTTTACCAAGAGCTCATTAGCCACAATGCACAAGGAGTGTTTCAGGATTTTGCCCAATACTTGTCACTTTAAATAAAAATAAATAAAATTGAGGATTTTAGAGGATCTATGAAGGTCCGGGGAAAAAAAACGCTTTGGGCATTGTGGAGATTGAATCAACATTTTCTCTGCCCATTTGTACCAAAAGGACGACAACGAGCAGAAATAGAAGAAGAGTGTCCCAAAAGTACCCACATGTATATTTTTCTGAACAGGAGTGATTTGAAAAAAACCAACCCAAATTATAATTTAACAAAGATGAAATTGTGATCTTCAGTATAAAAAAAAAAGTGCCCTGCAGTTGAAACCCTTGAATATTGTTGATGTAAACGATGGCCAGAAAGACAGGCAATCTCTTATTTGGCATACATGCAGAGCATGTTAGGTGATAAGAACAACCCATTGCAGCCAAATCAGATATCCCACCTAGCCAGTTTATGGAAGAAGATGGTAGCCCTCCAGCTTCGATCAGAGTGAATTTTATATCTCGTGTTACTTTTATATTATTTTTCCATTGATTTGTTTCCATAAATTATTTTGGCTTTTCTTAATTCAGTTCTAAAAATGTGGTGTCCTGCAGTGCAGCCGAACGATGATGATGATGCTGTAGAGATCCTGTGGTTTATATTAATCACTCATGTCACTCTTTTCCTTTGTTTTTTTTTTGGTTCAATCACTCAGGAACCCGCCGATCCCTTACTCTAAGGGCAACATCACGTTTCAGCTTCTGGCCCCCGAGCCCATCGCCAGGCCCGGCTACAACGATTTCTACAACACCCCGGCCCTGTTAGAGTTTGTGCGGGCCACGCAGATACGCGTCCACCTGCAGAACCACTACCATGTCACAAACCGAAGGCACGCTTACTATGGCATAGAGGAGTTGACGGTTAGCGCAAGGTAAAATTATCGGCATTGCTGCTTCAGATTCTATCAGTCTTTGGTATGGGCCGAATGTTGTATTCTTGGGCAAGCCACTTCACCCCCACTTGCCTATCTCCTCCCATGATTACATGGGCGTCGCCAGGATTTTTTTCCCGGGGGGGGGGGCTAAGCAAATTTTTCCCGTAAATTTCGTAACTTTTTAATTATATTCTCAATTTATCATTTTTCCGTGCGTGACCAGGGGAGCATTTGCCCTACCCCCCCCCCCATCAAATAAACAGCAATATGGCTTCGCACCTTATTTTCCTTTTTTTCCCCCTCTTTTTTTTTTTTTTTTGCGTTATTTTTTTGGGGGGGGGGGGGGCAAGCGCCCACCCCTTGCCCCCCCCCTCGCGACGCCCATGCATGATTACAAATGGGTACCGACACTAGCTGGGGAGTAACCTGCAATGGACTGGCAGGTTGTGGGTTCGAGTCCAGCCTGCGGCTATGGTGCGTGTGCCCTTGAACAAGGCACCTTGTCACTCATTGCTTCTCTCCACCCAGGAGTAAATGGGTACCTGTGAGGGCAGAGGTGATTATAGACCATTATAATGTTGTGGCCATCTTGATTTTTGTCCCATTCAATTCAACGTAACCAAAGCGAGGCTGGAAGGAAAAATAGTCTGGCTCCTTTTTGCACAAAAAACATTATCATTCAGGACTGATATTGGATGCAGGGAACATGACTGAAATGGTGGCAGCATGATAACGGTCTTTTGTAGTTGTTTTGAAGCTGCTTTACGCCAAAATGGCAGTATCGAGCTGTATACTCCCCAGGGAGCTGAGATGGTATTTGGAATGTTTCATTGGCCCAATGAGCAGGGTAATAATGATGCAGCGCCTTGAGCACCAATAATGGTGGATACGTGCGCTTTATAAATACTCATTATTATATTGTCCAGGGAAGTAGAAATACTCTCTTCATTTTCATGCCAAGGAAACCAGAGATAACTGCTGGCACGATGAGCTGTTATCGATGCATACATGTTGTCTTTGGTGTTTACGAGACTACAACTTTGGTAAATACAAGACTGTCAACCTGTATAAGAAAAGAAGGGTCACTATAAGATTTTGAGAAGATCTGCCCAACCATTTTGAGTTTTGCAAAAGAAAGAAAGAAAGAAATGGAACTGTTTCTGATTGGGTCGAAGCATTCTGATATGAGAATTTTGAATGTCATATAAAAATATCATTTAAATTTTAAATTCTTTTTTTTCCACAGATGTGATTGCAGTGGCCATGCATTGGAATGTGACTTGAATGCGACGCCATACCAGTGTGTGTGTCTGCATAACACCATGGGTGATCATGTAAGAAATGTTACCGATCGTTTTGAACGTTAAAGAAAAGATATTCATCAATATATCTTATATGGAGGACAGTGAATTTCTATTGACCAATTCAACCATCAAAATTAGAAGCCATTTTTTTTTTTAGATACACTTTTTGAGAAAACAGTGAAAAACCATGCACAACCTTTTGATCATAAAACATGATTTTGTCAATAGAACTCTTTATTTCTAATGATCAGTCAATTGACTGATCATTGGAAATCACCTACATTTCTTGATTTCTTCTATATGACAGCAAGCCAGATGGAATAAATTACAGGGGTGCTTAGTACCAGCACAATCTTTAAAGTTGTTATATACATGCTTTTCAATTTTCAAATTAAATTGATAATTTCTAGCATTGCATTCATTAGTTATGAGCTTTCCAATGAGATATGGCTCGATAATTAACCATGTAATTAATTTCAGCTTTTAAATTAGGAGCGTCCCGCTTCTAATTCAAATCTGAGGCCAGTTACGCATGTGTTTTGCGACTGCAGTTTATGAATATACCACACATTTCAAGTAATGTATTGTTATGTACGTATACATGTGCATGTGTACACACGTACATGTACATATCGTCGCGTCAGTGCAACAAGGTCGTAACTCCATTCTGCAACAAAGTCGTATCTCGCGCGAATACGCTCCGTGCAACAAGGTCGTATCTCAACGTCCATTGACTTTGCGTGTACATCCGGGTTATTTTAAGCGAGATATGACCTGTTGAAATTCTAAAATTCGTGTTTTGCGTCGTTCATGCCATTTTAGGAGATACGACTTTGTTGCACTGATGCGACGATATATAGGCCCATTAGTGTGACCAAATATAGACTTGGAAAACTACGGGTTTTGCAATCCTCTGAGAGGAAAAGATGCAAAAGTAGCAGATTCTGATAGAAAGTAGGATCGGTGGTGAAGCGAGGCCGGCCTGGCTGCACGTAGATTTTCTATGATTGTGGAGCATGTCTCGGAGCTGCCACAATCATCGCGGCTGAGCTAGGATCGGTCCATGGTGCCAGGCTAATACAAACGTGATTAACTTTTGTATTGCTAGAAGCAATAGCAATTTGAAAAGGATTTTTTTGGGGGGAAATGGGACTTGAAAATAGAATGGTAAATGCAACTTTAATGCCAGTATGATGGAAAGGAAGACTAAGGGAGTGTCTCATAAGTTGGAACGCTAGGAATGTTCTCATTGGAACGGCGTGTTCCCGAACTGGAACGCTCCGGCGTTCCATTGGGAACACAGGACCGTTCCGTTGGAACGGCAAAATCCCTTTGCGAGAACGGTCCAGCGGAACGGTCGGGAACACGCGTTCTATTGCGCGTTCCAGCAGAGCGTTCCTAGCATAGCGCGTATACGATGGCCCAGTTTCGAATATTTGCCCATATTGCGTCAGGAAAAATGGCGTCGCGATCTCCGGCAAACCGTGCGTCACTGAACGGTAGGTTTTGCCTGTTTTTGAGGATTTATATATAATATTTGGACGTGATTATGAAATTTCTGTGATGGTTTGGGTAGATAGTTCAACCCAAGGTACGAGTGATTGTTAATGCGGATGGAATCTTGGTAAATCTAATGATGTAAATATCATTTCTGTGGTGAAACGTCGGTAGCCCCGAACCTCACATCACTTGCAATCGCTACGCTGTGGTGAGTGTGTATTCACGTCAAAGTATACTTGTGCAAGAACAATATTTTGTTTAATAATACTTTGATAATGCGTACTAGATTAAGGGAAATCTCCCCCCAAAAAATCGTAGATAGAGAAGGGGTATGGGGATTTCGAAATATTTTAAGTGAATTTCTGTTAAATATAATCGATTACGAAACACAGTGGCTGTTGTTTCGGAAGATGTGAAGTTCTCTGGTGAAATTTCACCCTGAACTTTTACATCGCTACGGTGATTGTGTATTCACGTTTACAATTAATACAGAGCGCATGTTTGTAGTATGCATGCAAGAACAAAAAGTGTCTTTGACACTCGTAAGTAATAGGTTTACTAAAATCACCCGACAAAACAGCGTAGAAAGAGTGAAGGATTTTGAATTACAAACAAATCATTTCCAAACAATATAGCCTTCATCTCGAAAACAGCCCCGCTGATAAACTGAACGAGAGGGCCTGTATGTTTTGTCATGGTACTATGCGATACTTTCACGAAATAAAAATAGAGATAGATAAAAGCAGAGCTTACTATTGACGATGTACATTTTGTCAGACAAATTCCATGTTTGAAACTAAACTCTGACTCCAGGTCCTGCTGCACGGACGTACTCACGTATACCCGAGCGCGAATACCCATCCGTGCAGCGTTCTGCCGGGAACACGGTGTTCCCTCCCCGTTCCAGCTGGACCGCAGCTCGGTGCGTTCCGTTCAAGCCGCGGAACGCACCCGCGTTCCATCGGGAACAAGGCACGTTCCCGTTGGAACGCCTGTCGTTCCTACGGAACGTTCCATTGGTCAAGCGAACGTTCCCAACTTATGAGACGCTCCCTAACTGTACTGATCTCCAATGTTTGGCATTCTCTTGGCAGTGTGACTCGTGCTCGCCGCGATACAATGACAAACCATTCCGTCATGGTGATCAGGAGGAAGCCTATGCCTGCAAGCCATGCACCTGCCACAACCATGCCAACAGTTGTGAATACAATGTCACGGTGGACCCCTTCCCTGACGACCACTCCAGGTAAGCCAGTCAGCTTTTTACCCTAAAGTAATATCAGTTATGAATCAAGCAATTTTTTTATCGTGTTCAGGAGTTTGAGTAGACATGTAGTAAATTGTTGTATAGATCACCAAGCAAGCAATAGGCCGAGAAAAGAAATTGTGTTTTTACATACCGCCCTTGATTTTGTAACTTTTGTGTGTGTTTGTCTGTTAGTCTTTAAAACTTGAGTTGTTGATTTTAGGTTCCTTTAATGGTATTTCTCTTAAATCAACCTGTTTGATTGTTGAATTAACTAATAACACCAAAACAAAATTGCAAAGGGGAAACTTTCTTTTTTTAAAATGTGTCAATAAGAAGTTTGACGTAGGAAATTTTGCCAAGAAAGTCCACGTAGATGAGGTTACCGTAAACTCAATTTTTTTAGGCGTAAGAGAGATTTGTTTTGCTGGAACTTTGCTGAAGTATGCTTCACAAAACAACATGCGGGATTTGTTTCTAGTCAGTTTTGTAACATTGAGGCAGTGTAGATAATATCCAGAAGCAGTGCGAATGTTGTCCAGTATCATGCAGGCCTCACTTGTGCATGGCCGAACATAAACAACGCTGGAGACAGCTTAAGACCTTGACACAATGCATCCTTCAAAACACCTTTTGAGCATACAGCCTCAATCCTCCCAAATCCTCCAAAACACCCTGATTGATTGTGGAAGATTGAGGAGGGTTTGAGTTAAGACTTGACCCTGTTTTCCCCCCCCCCCATATTTTCATTGTTCAGGGGTGGAGGTGGTGTCTGCATTGACTGCCAGAACAACACCGAGGGGCGTTTCTGCGACCGCTGCCGGACCGGCTACTACCGGGAGGCCGGCACACCGCTGGATTCTCCCCAAGTCTGCAGGCCATGTGACTGCTTTACCAACGGCACCGTCGGGGGATCAGACATCTGTAACACTGTGAGTACAGTCACATCAGGGATGCGTATACATGTGAGGCGTTCTGGCAAAATGAGACAGAACTGGGCAGAAGTCGAAATGGGGGTTTGCGAGTATTTGGAAGAAGGATAACATTCTCCTTACAATACTGTTTGTTGCACTTCACTCCAGCATTCCGTTGACAAGTTATGGCTATTTCAGTTTGCATTTTATCAACATGTCCAGAAAGTAAAACATTGAGATAAAGGACTTTAAAGTTGTCAGTTTTGTTGAACTGAAAGAAAGGAAAGATGCCAGTTGTTTTTCCTTCAAAACACTTTTATTCCATGATTTTAAGCTCTGGCAGGAGCTTTCTACATGTCGCTTGGTGGTTGGTCTGTCTGTCCCTGGAAAATTGACTAAAATAAGCCCCCTATTAAGTACCCCCTAAAATATGACTACCAAATTGTAATTTTCGAAAAAAAGCAAACAAAATCAATTAAATATTTCACAAAAATTGTTTGTAACAATTTGGAAAGATGTTTATGGAAAATGCTTTAGTTTTGGGGGCATGTGGTAAAAACCACAAATGTTGGTTTTTCCATTGGGAACTGAATGTATTGAACTGAGCTGAAATCTTCACAGAATTCATTTGTTGTCTCTAGGCACCTTGAGAGAACTTTTGAGCAAATTTGGATTTTCGGCCCAATAGTTGACTATTTTTAATGATGCCGGCTTTGGAAAAGGTTAAGTATAGGGGGCATTTGGTAAAAACCATAAATGTTTTTCTCACTGGATACTGAATGTACTGAGCTGAAATCTTCAGGGAATTCATTTCTGGCCTCTAGTCACCTTGTGTGAAGTTTTGAGCAAATTTTGTCATGTTCGAATGTTGGAAACTTTGGGGCCACAATGAGAATTCCACACAAATGCAGCACTGACTTTTAATATGGAAAGTATTTGCACTGTAAATTTGCATAGGTTGAACACATTTCAACACAAGTAAATGTTCCAGCTGCATTACGTAACATGAAAATCACTTTCCATTCCTAACACTTGAAGTATGAACCTTCTTTTGAAATGTTTTTTTTTGGTTTTTTGTGGATAGACTGGTGGCAAGTGTCCATGTAAGAGCTTCACCATGGGTCGCCAGTGTGGCGCCTGCCAGCCTGGCTTCTTTAACCTGCAGAGCTCCAACCCGCTAGGCTGTGAGGAGTGTGGATGCCAGACGGCGGGGACCGTCGGCGGTGATCCCACCTGTCCAGAGACTGGGGTCTGCAGATGCAAAATCAATGTCATCGGTAAGGGCCTAAAACTAAGAGCAGTGTATGTAGCTCACCCGGATTACTCGGGTAAAGGCTGATGGTTTAGCCGCGAGAGCCGTGCTAATGGAACACTCAAACGCGGGCCATCATGATTCCCATGTGATGTTTGTAGCCATGGCCAAAGCCATTGACAAAACGCCCTTTTCAGACTTACAATTTCTTCCTCTGTGGCCTGAAGCCAGGTTCATACTCGAACGCGAATTTGTGACGTAATCGGGAGAATTCACGCTGCAAATTCGTAAAAGTTTAACATTTCAACTTGAGTAAATTTTGCAGCGAATGTTTCATAACGTCAAATTTGCTTCGCATTCACATTTGTATGCAGTATGAAACAGGCTTTACTTTGAGATTTACTGCTCAACCGTCAATCGCAAAAAAGTAACAAAGTTGGGTCGGAATTATCGGCCTCTTCATATCAGTCGCAATGAGCTAAATAACTAATTACGTATAGAGTTCAAATAAAGTTGATTTATTGGGTCCACTTGAGCTTTACCACTGACCAGCTGCTATATTTGTCTGTTTCTTGGAATGTACAACGCATGCGTGACGTACTTCCACCAGTGACTCTGCTCCATGAGCAGGGTCTGTGGTGGATGACCCGGGTGAGCCCGAGAATGACGTCAGAGCTAATCGAACGGCACAGGGCTATTAACCCGAGTCCACCTGGGCTAGCATTCAAACGCACCCATTTATGCCTCGCCCTGAGATCTTGAAGGGTTTGAGTCCACTGATCTCATAAAAATCTGGATTGCCAATAGTATAGAACAAAAGAATAGTGTTGCCTTTAAAGGCAAATACACACATATACCATAGACCCTCCATTGCTCTGGAGCCCACAGCACCCCCTCAAACCCTGTGCCGATTATCTCGTGGATTTTTCATTTTCTCACAATCTCACCCCTATTTCCTAGGTGACAAGTGCGACAGGTGCAACTACGGCTTCTTCAATCTGAGCTCCTCCAATCCGCAAGGGTGCCAGCCCTGTAGCTGTAGCCCCAGTGGTGGAGCCAGTCCTTACTGCAACCCGGTCACGGGTAGCTGCCAGTGCAACCCAGGCACCCACGGCCAGAACTGCGACCAGTGCCTGGATGGCTACTATGGACTGGGTCCTGGAGGCTGTCTGCAGTGCGACTGTGGCGAAGCCGGCAGTGTGCCAGGCTCATTTTGTGATAAGGTTACGGGGCAGTGCCTCTGCAAAGCCAATGTTGAGGTTAGTGATGGTGTCGTATTGTTGTACCTTCTCAGTGGTAAAATAAAGCAGTGTATTGTATATTAATAAATACCTTGGAGAGTTGATGGTTTCTGATTGGTCGAGACTCGATCACATGGCCGGGCATTAACGGTGATAATGGACCGGCTCCAAAGATCAAGCGAATAAATGGCCCCTGAACCAGCATTGATCCAGCCCCGTTCAGCCCCATGCAAGCCAATGATTGGTCAAAATATAGTAACAGTCCTGCGGTAGCTTGTAACAATAGAGCACTGCACATGCGCTCAACCCCCATCGTGTGAGACTGACGCGCGCATACGCAACACAGTTTCTAGGCAGGGATGCGTGTGTGCGCGCGCGTAAGGAAGTTTTGAAACGACATTGTACAGCAGTGCAGTATATACTGAGGATGTTTACGACGAAAGCGTAGATCTACGATTTATTTTCTTTGAACACTTCACCCACCGACATATTTACCTTTCCTAAGCCAAGCATCTTTGTAATTCCGGACACAAGGAATGTGTAAACGAGATTTCAGCTTCCTCCATCAGGTAAAGATATGAAAACATTGTTGTAATTTGTTTCGCTACGGCAGCAGTGTCTGTTGAGTTTACGTCGTTATAGCTGTTAAGCTAAAATATGGCCCATGAACATGAACACAAAAAAGTCTGGAAATATCGCCTGTTAATAACTGTTTATTTTTTTTAAAAAGGTATTTATTAATGGGAATAACAGTGTGAGGATCCGGTCTTCACTGCGTGATAATGACCGGGTGTGGGCCCCACACCCGGTCATTATCACGCAGTGAAGACCGGCTCCTCACACTGTTATTCCCTTAATAATAATAATAATCGGCATTTAAGAACGCTCTTTTTAGTAAACTAAATCACAGCGCTTACAGTATTATTATAACCCCTGATCATTGGGCCAATTAAACTTTCCAATTGCCATCTCAGCTCCCTGGGGAGTATACAGCTCGATGCTGCGTGTTATTGTATGCATTTGTAAAAAGTACTATGATGACTGCAATGTTATGTCAGTAAAAGTACTTGGATAACCGCAATATTAATTTTAGATATTGTCTTCATTCGGGAATTTTTACAAATTTCGCTGGTTCCCGCTCAATCAAGAGCGTAGAAACCCACAGGTGTCGATACATCAACAGAGGTATCGGCAGTGCTGTCGCATGCACATGCAACACTGTACTGTTTTTCAACAACCACACTTGCAGCTTCATGCAGTGCGAATTTGCTTCAGTAAAGCGCAGAATATTCGACGAAACCCGAGAAATAAAGACAGTGTCCTGAAATTTATCTCAGGATCAAGTCGGCCTGATGTAAATCATAATAACAATATTGGATGGCTTTTTTGGGGGGATACAAGAATATATTGCACTTGCTATAACAATATTGCACCAGTCAAATATACTGTTATAGCTCGTGCAGTATCCCCCTCAAAGCCATCCAATACTATATAATTGTTTTGCTGAATATACATATGTAGGCAATTTTGCAACAATTCCTCTGGAATCCTCAAAAATCCACCGCTGTGCAAGAACTAAATGGAACATACCTAAAACTTGCATGGAGAATCAAGTCCAATGAAAAAACTAACAGTGGCTAGGCTGTACCTTCCTATAAATCCTGTGGAATTTTTTTCTGAAAACATCTGGTAGATTATGATGGGTCTTGGCAGTGTGTTACCCCCATGGATAATGTGGATATGTGGTTGATTTTTTATTAGGGTCCTCGATGTGACCAGTGTCGTGCCAATGCCTACAACCTGCAGCGCTCTGACCCAAACGGATGCAGCGACTGTGCCTGCAACGTGGCCGGCACCGTCAACGCTTCCTCCTCTTGCCACGCCGTCGCGGGCGCCTGCTCTTGTAAGTCTCTCGTCACGGGGCGAACCTGCAACCAGTGCCTGAACGACAACTGGGGCTTGGAACCGTCCAATCCCAATGGGTGTCTGCCCTGCGCCTGCGACCCGACCGGTACCCAGCGCGGCAGTAACGGGACGCTGCTGGGGTGCGACCAGAACTCGGGCCAGTGCTCGTGCCTCAACGGACGGACGGGCAGGCAGTGTGACCAGTGCTCAGTTGGTGAGTAGTGAAAGACTTAGTTGGGGAAGGAGAACGTTCGGCAAATACATAAATAGGACATCCAATAATTATTCAAATGTCTGCACATATAGACGACTTGCATCTGGTGCTACATCTGAAGGAGCATCTTTGTTTCTCAGTGATAGGCATGAGTTGACACTTTATTGACACTTTTGTTCATTGTTTATTGTTTATTGATGTATTTGTGGTAATGAAACCAAGGATTCCTCAAAAGCGTCGTAGCTTGAAAGCCTAAAGAAACCTGTAGAGAGAAGACAATGAGAAGCAATTACAGTTTTAGAGGTGGGAGGAAAACCCCAGAAGAATATTCTGGGGGGAAACCCACGGAATCAGGCAGGGACCGAAAACCCAATCCACATATTGGCCCAGGCAGGATTCGAACCCAGGTCACAGTGGTGGAGGGCGAGGAAAGTATCACTACGCCAACATGACATCCAATATTTTGCAATTGTGAAACTGCCCAAAAGTGTTTGTTGATGCCCAGCTGTTTAAAAGACACCGTTATGTAGTGGGTAAGGTGGAGTTATGAATATAATGGACGCAATGGGTTTGAATCCCAAGAATATATTGTTTCTTTTTTTTGCTCCCAAAATGGTGATTTTCTTTCGCCAATTGTGTTATAAGTTCTTCTTTTCAACAGAAAGTAAATTTCACCTCTCTTTTCCAATTCATGGCTCGGGAGGATTTTGCCTTTCACAGCTGAAACATGCGCATTGTGGTCAGTGACTATACTGGGTTGCAGAAAAAAATAATTGCGTTCTGCCTGTTGTTTCCGTAATTTATATCCAATATTCATGATCATTCCCTAGGATACCTCTCTTTGGATGTCGGTGGTGGTTGCCTTCCCTGTAACTGCCATGCCACTGGTTCCGTGTCGGATACCTGCCACCCTGTGACTGGCCAGTGCCGGTGTAGCGATCCGTCAACGTCGGGGGTCGCGGGGCGACAGTGCGACAGCTGTCTGCCGGAATTCTGGGATTTCAATGATGTAACAGGAAGGTAATAAGCACATACGTATACCTAGCGTACCCGAGTGTACGCATGAAGTCAACAGCCAGCTCGCAGCCGTTTACCGGATATAGTATTTGAGAAAACTGTTTGTTCTCGACAGTGGTTACATGTAGGTCCTAACCACTGATACAAAATTTGTGTGCACATTTGTGTGCACATGCATGCTGGTGTGCGTGTTCAGCGTTGCGCATAGCGCGTATTGTTCCAAAGAGCCAGCGTTACAGCGTTGGGTTCAAACATTTTTGTGAAGGGGTGGTTTGGAAGAGAGAAATACATTTTCCACCAATTTTGTATTGAAATAAAAGTTCAAATATCAAATGACAATGATCTATATGTCAGTTATATAAACAAATATTGAGTGGCTTTAAATTGTGAAATAGGAGAAATATTTTATCTCTCGGTAAAATCTCGATTTTTCCAGTTTACTCGGCTTCGCCTTGTGAAATGGAAAAGTCCAGATTTGACCTTGCGATAACATTCCTCCCATTCCACGCTGAGCCACTCAATATTTATATACTAGGAAAAAAGTGTTTTGTTTGCAGACTCTGCAGTCTCTTTGGATGTTACATATGGAAGCCTATCCTTAACATGTTGCATTACCTGGTAGTCTTTGCCTGGTTTTCAAGAGTGTGTGACACTACTAAAGACTGACAGCAATTTTTCCTTTTTTTCAGATTTTTCTCTTATTTGCCATTGCACTTTTGAGTGAGTTTAGCTTAACCTCTTGCAGGCATGCAACTTTCTTCGGATCAGCTGATTTCCTCTTTTTTGTACTTCCCAAGTGTGCCATTGAAAATAGAAAAACACTGGACAAAGTCTTGGGAAAAATTTGAATTTCCTCTTTTTTTTGTGACTTCCCAGTTGCATGCCTGCTCTTGGGCAATTATATGATAAGTTTTGTACCCAACTAAGAAACCTTACTGAGATGCTCACATGTTTTTTTTCTGATTCCCAGATGTCAGCTGTGTGCCTGTGACCCAGCTGGCAGTCTCAATACAACATGTGAGCCCAACAACGGCCTGTGTGAATGTAAGGAACTGGTTACCGGTCGACGGTGTGATACGTGTAAGAGTGGAACAAGCAATCTGCAGGCTGGTAACCTGCTGGGATGCAGCAAAGGTTGGTATAAAGCAGTGGTTGTTTAATGTTGAAATTTACTTTGTGAAAAAAAAATGGCATGCATTTGCTTGTAACTGCTTCCAACCTTAAGCACATTACTTTGTTTAACATTTTCTTACATACCAACTTGATAAATGTAGACCCAGTGTGATTTTTTTAAAAATACAATGAAAACATTTCAATTCAAATTATTTGTTTGCCCTTTCCACCATAAATGTCCAGAGTGCAAAATTATTGTTAGACAGTGGTTGCTTACCCATTGTTTGTTTAGGTTATCCGAACAATCTTGTGTGTACATTCTGAGTGCGTGCGCTAGCAGGTCATTTTACGTCTCATATCTGTCTAATTTCTGTCTATGCAGTTTTTGTGTCTAATTTAACTCTTTGAAGTTTGTTCTCAACATTGTGACATCCACAAAAGTATTAAAACACACATGTATAAGAACATGTCTCAATAAGCCAGTGTGGTATTCCAAAATAGTCTGGGGCACAGCAAGATATGACAATTTTTTATTCGGGATAACCGTGGCAGATAAATGCTCACAAGGCTACGGGGGACGTGGTAACCAAATCTGCATTCTGTGCAATTTTTTGTGCAATCGAAAAGAGATCGAACTTTCGTTCACACAAAAGTTTTGATACACAAGACACCTAAAAACGCTTCGCTGTCCAAAGTTTTTTTTTGCAAAATGTTATACTTCAGAACACGATGATCTCTTCAATTTTGCTGGTACCCCGCTATGATTTTGCACGCATACGATGACATTTTTACCCAGAAGAAAAATTGGCAAATCTTGATGTGCACATGCCCAGTTGGAATACCGAACTGGCTTGTTGCAAAAAGATACGGTGTGGTATGGAGTATAATTTAAAAACTTGGAACCCATTTTTTTCATCAGGGGTGAATTCTCTTTTTTTTTCATGGGTATCAGCCATGTGACATTTGTTTACAAATTGGTTCAAACGGTTCTGTTCTGTGCTGCATGCGTATCTCTTGAAATGTAATTTGTGTAAAAATGGTGACATAAACTGTAGGTTGCCCATAGGTTAGACGTCACAGAGCGCATGCAGGGTTCGACCTTAACTTTTTCGTTCACTAGCCAGCTGGGCTACTGAAACAGACTCTTAACTAGCCCGCGGGCCTTTTCACAAACCCGCATTTTTTTTTTTTTTTGCTCAAATACAAAATGTCGCATTTTCAGGCTCAATTCTGAGGGAATTTTGTCAGTGTTTTTAATAAACAGATCTAATAATTTAACCCTATAAAACAGTTTAAAAAACTAGACACAAATTGATGAGGTTTACTTCCTGAATTTAATGATTTATTTCTTCCTGTCCATTCATCTTTGCCGTATCCCAATAATTTTTTGACTCGCAAGCCGGGCTGCTTGAAGGAATAGTTTGACTAGCCGGCCGCTGTTTTGACTAGCATTTGGCTAGCGGGCTACCGCTAATTTCTAACCCCGGTGCATGGTCTATACCTAGGTGTACATCTAAACTGTGTCTGTTTACATCCTTCAGCTCCCGAGCAGCAGCCTGCCCCTAGCTGGAGTGCTCTGACACCCTTCTCTCTTCAGCTAGTCTGGGGTCCCCCGGATGCACCCAATGGGAACATCCTAGAGTATAGATTGTACAGGGATGGTGTGCTGGTGTACAATGGCTTGTACGGCAACGATCCTCTCGGTGAGCATATAAGATTCAATTTTAAGAATGTTAAAAGTTCTTGACAGATTTTTTTTGCATTGGGATGATGTTCTCACTAGTGCTTCAGATTCAAATTGGACAATTGGCAAGCTCATTGTCTCGGTAGTTTCTGCTCTGGTGACAGACTTGACTCTCATCACTCTACATCGGGAGTCGTCATAATTCCATCAAAGGGTCAAGTTAAAGGCATATATAGGACCATTTGCTTTCGTGTATTTTGAAGTTTCAGCTCTGTGGATATTACACAAGAAAAGAGTGAAATACCGTGCTCAACGTTTTCATCATGAAACACAATTCATCAATAGAACTCTTTTAATATTTCAAACAATTATTGAAAATCACGGTAGGAACACATTTTGTGCAACTTCCTACTCCTTACATTTCTTGATTTCTTCTAAATGACAGCAAGCCGGACAGAATAGTTTTACGAGGTATTTAGAAGATTTTGATAATAATGTGCTGGGTTACTTTTTGGATAAATGCAAATGATCCTATATGCCTTTAAGTGACCATCTATGCAAATGAACTGTGATAAAGAGACATGTCTTTCTCATTGGTCATCTCAGTGTCTTGGGACCTTGTGATTTGTTGTGATTGACTTGTGATTGACTCGGATACGACTCTCATCAATGGAGCTTCATTGGTATCAGCCCCATCTGACCTTTAAATCTTGTTAGGTTTTCATTTCACAAGGTCTTGGAAGGCATTAAAAAATCACCGTTAGGCCAAAAAAAATTTTTCCAAAATGTTCCGCGGTAGCTCCAACAGCGCCCTCTATTTCCGCACCTCATTTTTTTTTACCAAAGAGCACCAAGGAATGGGAAATTGCACCAAGGCAAATGATCGAAAGCACCAAAGCAAATTATGGAGGACACCAATGTACATGAGGACACCAAAAAAGCAAAATAGTACCCCACCTTGTCTGTACAATCCAAGCTTGAAGAAAAAAAAAAAAAGCCGCGTGGCCGCGTCAATTCCGGAACTTTGGTCTGACCAGAGACCGAATATTTTTTTTTTTGGCCTTACACAATTTGCCTAATTTTCTTTACGTATGTATACTGAACTCTAATATTATGTATATAATGGATCAATCCTTGAGATCAAAATGTGTTTACAGGGAATGAAACCAAATAAAAGGCTGATAAAAAGTCCAAAAGTATGGATTGGTAACAGAAATGTTCTGGCCAACGTTTAAAGATAATACTTTTGAGTGCTGCTTTATTTTCATCCCTTAACACAGGTACCCAAGAGCACAACGACACAGGCCTGACGCCCTATACCCAGTACACCTACTACGTACAAGCCATGAACGAGGCAGGCAGCGCATCCAGCCCACCAATCACAGCCACCACTCCCGACGCCATCCCCGCCAACTTTGACGTTCTCACCATCACCAACGTCGGGGCCCGCACGGCCCAGTTCGCCTGGACCAAGCCCGCGGCGATCGTCGCCCCCATCGCCCGGTACATTCTGACCTCCGTCACGCCCAGTAGGCCCACCCCACCCACCCAGCACTACAGCGGGCTGGCCACCAGCTACGCGGCCGACGACCTGATCCCCTTCACCAACTACACGTTCTTTTTGACAGTGTGCACTGCCAGTGATTGTGGGCGGGGCCTAGGGAATGTTGCCTACACACCTATGGCGGCTCCGGAGGGGGTGCAGGAGGCAGACGCTGTAGGGATTAGTACCACGGCGTTCTTTATCAGTTGGGAACCTCCCACGGAACCAAATGGTGAGTAAAGGTCTGGAAATACTATGTTCAATTGTGAGCCATATATTGGGGGAAATGAGTGACATATCAACCCCGTCTCCCTTTTTAGGTTTTTATTTTAAATTGAAGAGGAGGTTATTCCAGTAAATTTCCTCGAAACTGCAGTGTCAGTATAACTGTCAAGTCCGTCACTAATCGCTGCAAGTCCTCACAAGTCCTCCAGTCCCAATTTAAATCTCAAGCTACTCAAATGAGCTTTCATAAAGGCATTCCTTTGTTAGTGTTCATCAATTGTGTCTTGTGACTGGACTTGTGAATGGACTCGTGAATTACTCAACTACATCCCTGCAGTATAATAGTTTTTGTTAACCAGTTCTCGCTGGGATTATTTTGACAAGAACAGAACAAGGCCTGGGATTACTTTTCACTCGACCTCAAGCCAGGCGGGTTGAAGCCATCACCCTCGGCAGCACACTCATATTTCCGGCCTCGCTCGCTGCGAGCGGGTCACTGACGGAGATTTCCGGCCTCGCTCCCTGCGTGTTTATGCGTCATCCGTTCCGAATACCGCAAAACTTTTGCGTGTATGCACGGCCTCCGGCACGAACTGATTATGAAATAAACGAGGAAGAATGATATTATTATTTTAAAAGATTATTATTGTAAAATGTTAGCATGACATTCCTTTTTAAAAGGTGATTGGCTCATATACCAAACCCATAATGACTCAATACCCTACAGTTGTATCGCAATAATTACAGCACCATGTCATCTCAGAAAGTAAGGCATCTATTGTTTCTAGACAATAGGTTATCTTTCTCTCATATCAAAAAATGAAATCGTGTCTAATTTTACAGGTATCATCACTCATTACGAGCTATTCATGCGCGGCCTGCCGGGCCGGAATGGCCTCCGTGACCCTCCAGAAACACGCATCTTCTTCCCTGCCGGTTACTACAACCCCAGACCCACCCTGACCCCCTTGGAGACCCCGGCTGAACCCCCCGCCACAAACTTCACCCAGGACGGTCTGGAGCCCTTCACCCAGTATGAGTTCAAAGTGACGGCCAGGAACGCGGCCGGCACTGGGGAGAGTGACTGGGCCCTGGCGCGGACCCTGGAAGCTAGTAAGTCTACCTACGTCATTAATTTTTTTTTATTCCTTACATTCCTATGCTGGCTTCATGTTTTGTCCCTATGTCTGTCCTTGTCTGATTTCTTAATGTATTTTGTATTATTAGGAAACCTCGCCACAGAATCACGGCATATCATTGTCACTTGGTGTCTAAAATTACTCTGTTATATTTCTTCTGTAGGTCAAAGCACATGTATGCCCTTGCCTACAAGCTATGCTTTCTTGTGGGTTACTCTGCAGTTTTCACTCCTCTGTTTAATACATTTTAGTGTAATACTATGATTTATTTGCGAACACTGTGGATATAAATGAACTGAACTGACCTGAAAAAAAGTGCATTGCACCATACTTCCTGTGTTCTAGAGTCACGTAAATCAGATCACTCCTAAGAGTTTGAAATAAGTACATGAAATGTTCGAAGCTTGAAACTATTAGGAGCAACTACGTCAAGAGATTAGTGTTGCAGTTGTTTGGAAAGATGGTTTTTTTTTGTAATCCCTGATTACTGTTTCCCAGCTTTGTAGCATTGCTTACATCACAAGACAACAAAAGGTCTTTGAAAATTCTTAGAAATTACACGGCTTATGCTGAAAATAAAAGTAAAATGTGCACATAAGGACTCCATAAAAATTTAAAAACTGCACATTTCTCAATTTTTTTTTAACGTTTGTACGACCTACCAAAGCTATTACAAAAAAGGATTTTGACTTGAACATATTTTGTTGCATACAATAATGCTATAGAGCGTGCAAGTTGACCTCAAAAACCTGTGAAATCTTATTAGAGTACAGCTCATCCGGGCACCATGTGTAGGATCTACAACGTGTGTATAAATGTCCTATTTGTTGCATTTCTTTTGTGTCCTGACTGGGCCCATCCAATCAACGGCAATGAATGGGTACCTTAAAGGAAAAGAAAGCATTTCAATTTACAACATATGGAAAATATTGCGATATGATGACTATTATTAAATTATCATTGTAGACCTCAACTTCCGTTTACCCAATCACGCAGGTAACAATTGGGTAACTCTAAACGTGGGGTCTGTGACTAGACTAGTCGGTGGTTGGTACCACGACGTTCACCAAAAAGTGAACGTGGACTGGTGAGACTTACACGCTCTATTCTATGGCCCCTTCATAGAAAGTGGTGATAGATTTATTTGTTTGTTTGGTGTTTTCTTTCCAGTGCCGTTGTCCACCCCAGCACCGTACGTGTACGGCATCTCCAGCTCCCAACTGAACGTGACGTGGCAGCCACCTACAGAGAGACAGGCCCTAGGCTTTATCATCCAGTACAATGTCTATCAGATTGTGATGTCTGATGATCCATTCGCTCCCCCCGAGATCCAGACGGTAAGCTGTACTCTGTGTCTGAATGGGCATCTTGTGGCTATGGCGTTGGTCGTTGTCACTTTGTGCGAGAGAGAATAGCCGTAGATGTAGACTATAGTGAGATCCAGACGGTAAGCTGTACTCTGTGTCTGAATGGGTATCTTGTGGCTATGGCGTTGGTCGTTGTCACTGTGTGCGAGAGAGAATAGCTGTAGATGTAGATGACAGTGATTGTTTTGGACATGGCCTAATACTATAATAATAATACCGAAGTCTTATATAGCGCACGTATCTACCAACAATTAGGTACTCAAGGCGCTAGAAATTATGTCTATTATTAGAGACAGGTAAATGAAGTACATGAGAAATATGAAAACCATTATGTAGCACCTTTATAATGGTTTACAAGGTGCTGTTGCGCATTAAGCAGCCACTGCCAGAAACACCGGGGCAAACCCCTTCTCTAGGCGATAAGTGTTACTGGGTTCTTTAACGTGCATTACACAACACACGGGACCTACGGCTTCACGTCCCATCCAAAGGACGAAGCAATAATGCGCCTTGCTCAGGAGCGCAAGCACCATGTTCCCACGGTCAGGATTGAACCTGTGTACCACGGCACACGAGTCGAACACCGTAACCACTGGACCACAGCACCCCACATGTGCATAATTTTAACAGATTGCTGTTTAGTCTATTAAGAACTGGGAGCAAATCCGGGTGTGAACAATAGTTTGACCAGTAGTTGATCCCTCCTTACCAATGCACTTGCAGGGGCATAATTAGCTTGGTTTCCACGTTTTCTTGAAAAGTGTATTATCCACTGAGCTGAAAGCTCAACAGGTTAGGTTTGGAACATGCTTCTTTGGATTTTGAGTGGTGTTATTATTGGAAACAAACAGAATGCATGAATAGCAAATGATCCTATATGCCTTTAATTATCTGTCTGTTTTTATTTTGTATAACAGTTGATTCACACATCGGATGGAACCTCCAACTATTACATTGTGAATGATCTCCAGCCGTACGCCCTCCATGAGTTTATAATTGAGGCATGCAACAGCATTGGCTGCGTGAAGAGTGACAGATCATCTGGAAGAACGCTTGAATCAGGTACAGCCAACTGAAATGCATAATAGTTTCAACAAAATATACAGTAAAATTTACTTCCGTCAATGAACCATGGAGTGTCGGCTTAAAGGGAATATACAACATTTGCAAACATCGAAAAATAAAACTATCAAGTTTTTACAAAATACCTTACTAGGATGTAGGTAAATGACAGTCTAAAGCATCCTGTAAAATGATGGCTCCTGGTGTGAAGTCATTTTCAAGAAATTGGCAATTTTGTATACATTTCCAACAGTGGTCGGCCGATCACCGTTGGAAAAACCTAACTATTTTTTAACTTCTGCTTCAAATTTACCATTTTTTCAGTCCAAATTTTGTTTGCTATTGGTAACATGTTCATGAACGGGTGCAGGCCAGCTAGACTGGTTCCCTTACCTTACAATTTTCCGACATCTATAAATTGATCCATTTTATCCTTAGTTGAGTCGGGAACCAGACTACCTGAACATTTTCGTTTTTCTTGGTTTTTCCAGCATTTCCGAACACAAAACTTCAAACATGTCAGTGTAACAATATTTGACCTATTATACTAACCCCTCAAGTAGTTTATTTCTTAAAATTACAGCAAAAGCCAATGATGTACATTCCTTTAAGGTGAATCAAATGTCAGAGGCTATTTTCGAGTTTCATCACAAAAAATTGATTTCGTTTCTAAATTGAGTTTTTTTCTAGCGAAACGAAGGTGAGTCACTTTTGAATGAGACATCAACTGAAAAATGGGCCCACGTTTAGTTATTGAATAATGACTTTACAATTTCGAATTATTGGCTGCCAGACTATAATTTCATTTTTGCTGGGTAGGCTGGTGCCCGCCCCACAATCAGTATTGATAATGCACGAACCGGTTGACAGTCTGCTTGCAAAGTGGAAATGTTTGTGTCCAAAAAAAGTGTTCACCTTTTTTCTCAGAAGGTTGCAGACATCCTGAAAAGGAAAAATAAAGGAAATTTGTTTGGGTTGGAATAAACAGACAAGTTGAAAATTTTATTGAGAGAAAATATTTAATTTACCACTAGTCACCATATTATGATGAGCAAAAAGAATTACAATTTAATGATTTACATGATGCATGGTGGCATGAAAGCTATGCAGTCTCTGACTGACTTCCAACAAGATCTAACACGATAAACATAGCGCAACGTTATTATGTTGCTGAGATTTGTTTTGACAGGATACCAAATTTTCTTAATGTTTTACAGCACCGGAAGATCTTCAGCCTCCCTTTGTCAACGGCTACAATTTCTCCACGATGTCGGTCACTTGGAACCCCCCTCTGCAGCAGAATGGTCCCACCCCTGTGTACACCGCGGTGCGCACTATAGCATCCTTCAACTCTTACCCACCAAGGGTGGAAAAGGGGACAAGGTTTCCTGGAGGGGCTTACTACCTGTTTCCTAGCTCCACACTTCCCAGCTCTGCCTATACAGGTTAGTGTCATTATTAAAATGAGATTAAGATAAATCTCACCAAGCTGGTAGGCCCATTGGAAAATTATATTGCAGTGTTGTAGTCAAGTACTTTTATCCAAGTACAAAGTACTGCTGAGTACCAAGCTATAAGGCCAAAAAAAAAAGTCTCCGGTTTCTGGTATGCGCGCGCGTCGCCGTAGCCATGCACATCGACAAAATAAAAACGTTTTTTTTTTCAATGAAAGATGATGTCTCAAAACCGCCAAACTCACTGGTTTGACTTGAATCCTGCTGCTGCACAATTTTAACATGTTTTTAGATTGGGTTATGGTCGAGAATAAGCTTTATGTGGCCTCTCTGGACTCCCATATATTTGCACTAAGTTTAGTCTGGCACCATTTGCAGTCATCAGCCGACATTTGAAGCAAAAAAATCAGGTAAAAAAAAAAAAAAGCCGCGTCGCCGCACCACTTTTTGGGCAAGCTCCATACCAGAAACCGGAGACCTTTTTTTTTTGGCCTAAAGTACCACTTGTATCATAGTACTTTGACCCTCGAGAGTGAGTACAGGTACTCGAGTCCAAGTACTGGGACCTTTGAGTACAAGTTTTGTGAAGCCAAGTCTAAGTAGTTGGAACTCTAAGTACAAATACGAGTTCGAGTACTTTATGGACAACTTAAGTGAAAACAATATTAGACTATGAGCACTTAGATGATGGAGTGAGATTTTCAAATAGTCGAGTCCAAGTACTTTACTTCTCTTGTTTAAAAGAAATAGAACTCGGTCCGGTGAATAAGTTGTTATAACAGCTTGCCGTTTTTTATAGGGAAACTGAATAGGTGGATTAGAACCAATTTAAGGTTGAACAAAGAAATTGACTGGAGCGGGTTTGAACCTGCAAACTCCAGATTTGCTGTTCCAGTGCTATACCAACTAGGCTATCCAACCCTATGTTGGCAGTTCCCCATTTTGTCACTGCCTTTGTTTCTTGATAATATTGGGCTTTATATTGCTGTCTGAAAGCTTGTCAGATAAAAAAAAATCACAAGCTTGCTTAGGTGGCACTAGAACCAACAACAGGCTTTCAAGTATTCCTACTTTTCCCACATTTTTCCTAGTTTTTTTTTAAATTTTGCCGCTAGTTTTCCACTTAAAATTCTTACTTTTTCCCAATCTCATTGAATAGTTTTCATAGCAGAGTTACACACGGTCATATGTAAATCACACAGTGAAGGGCTTGGGCACAGGAGTACTGCAACTGTACTTCCAAGAGCTTAGTTGAGGATGGAGCAGTACAAAACGTGCCAAATGAGGCTTATGATGCTGTAGATATTGGCGAGTATCAACGAAAACTACCCCTAAAAGCCAGCGAAAGTCCTACTTTTATCCTGATTTTGTCCTCCAAAGTCCAACTTTTCTCCTGATTTTTTTGGAAAATTTTGATCCTACTGCTCTCCTCCTTTTTCACCTTTCACCTTTCACCTTAAAAAAAAAATTACTACAGTGAAGGGCAAAACCTAGTTTAAATTACCATTTGACAAGTAACATTCATACCAGTCACATTTTTGCTGTTTCATTTTCCCACAATGCAGGAATTGAGTTTGAGTTCCGAGTGGAGCGTTTAGTGTCACCCACCACCCCCGTTGACGCCTTGCTCCTCCTAGCAATATCCTCAGGAGAGCAGGAGGAATTCCTTGCCGTTCAACTTCGAGGTGGCCGCCCCTGGTTTCTGTTTGATCCCCAGGGTGGGGTCGCTGCCGTGACACCCACTAACGATGGGGGTCGGGCGTATGATGACGGGCAGTGGCACCGTGTGCTCGCTGTACGTAACGGTGTCGTTGGGACCATCACCGTGGACGGGGTGTACACTGGTGAGTCTGAAATATAATGGTTTTCTATTCAGAATAACTGAACAGTCACTCCTTTTTAGTAGGTGATTTCACAAAATACAAATGTATTATCATCTTAGGATTTAGGACTCGACTGAGCCCTGTCACACGTCGTGTGACACATCTTGTTATTCATATTACCAGGGTGACAAGTCATAAGTGTATTTTTATTTATTTAATTTATTGATGATTATCTGGCAATTGGCCAGGATAGCCCACAAAAGTCTTTCACATTATGTCCGGTGGGGTCCCTTGGTTTGAAGACATGGATTGAAATTACAGTGTTAGTGGTGGGAGGAAAACCCCAGAATGATATTCTGGGGAAAACCCACAGAATCAGGCAGGGACTGAAAACCCAAATCCACATATTGGCCCAGACTGGTCACAGCGGTGGAAGGCGAGGAAAGTACCGCTACGCCAACCTGATCGCCTACCAAGACTGACTGTCAAAAACAACTCAATTGTTATGTATTTTCTCTACAACTCATTACAAGGCATTAAATTTGGACTGGGTCCTGCCAAAGAATGCTGATATTACTAATCATGTCATTTTCATAGTGATACAATATGTGGTAAATTTAAAGTGAATTAAATTCATCAACGGAGGCGGAATGTTTCTGAATGTGGAGAGAAACAGTTTAAATGTCTCTGTAGTGCAGGGTTCAACTTTAGCGATAGCCCACTAGCCAAATGCTAGTCAAAGCAGCGGCGGGCTATTCAAAGTATTCCTTAAGTAGCCCGGCTGGCGAGTCAACATTATTGGGCTATGGCAAAGATGAAAGGACAGGAAGAAATAAATCATTAAATTCAGAAAGTAAACCTGTATCAATTTGTGTCTAGTTTTTATTAACTGTTAAATTATTAGATCTGTTTATTGAAAACTCCAACAAGATTGCCTCAGGATACACGTTTTACATGTATTCACATTCTTTAATAAACATTTTATAAAAGAAAAACATGCATACGAGCTAGTGAAAATGCTCGCGGACTAGTTAAGAGAATGTTTCAGAAGCCCGGCTGGCTAGTGGAAAAAAAAGTTAAGATCGAACCCTGTAGTGGGGTAGCCAACAGTGGGCGAAGAAAGAAGGAATATTTGGAAAGAGTGGAGATGGAGGGGCAAATGCCCCTATAACATAACAGCTCACAGAACCCTTCCAATGTGCTACTGTCATTAAACTTTATGTAGTGTTGTTACAGTCTCAATTAGCTGAATGTAGCAACTCACTTCACAGGAGAGAGAAACACAAAACATTTTTGAGTTTTGAACAAGGATTTGCTGTTTATTGTGACAGGATAGCTTTTTGAAGTCTGCTTTGGGAGTTGTCTTGCTAATGCATTCCTTGACATTCCACAGGTCAAAGTTCAGCCCAGACTGCCTCAACCATCATCGGCATGACAACTGGTCTCCACGTCGGCGGCCTCCCTCCGGACTTTGTCCTGTCGCGGACCGAGACGGGCAACAGCGCCCTCGTCCAGCGATCCTTCGTGGGCTGCATGCGCGGCCTGAGGGTGGAGAAGCAGCACCGGCCGACCTCTTTGTGGGAGGAGCTACAGTGGGAGGGGGCTGTGGCGAGACAGAACACAGTGCCTGGATGGCAGGGGTGTCCCGTGGGACTGGCAGGAGGGGCACACTTCTTGGGAAAAGGTACGATGAGGGGCCGTTTGTTTGGTTAGTGGGGTTGTAGGTATTTTGTTTTGTGGAGTTGAGGGGATGATGAAGAAAACAAATCAAGTTTCACCCCACATCTCTGTCAGTTTTGTTTCAGCTCCTATGACAAAATTGAGATCTCATGTGCAAGTCCATTTTTAAGATTGTTTTAGAGCTTCATTTCGATGAATTAAAAAAAAAAAAGCCTTACATTTGTTTTAAATTTTCAAATTTTTGGTCTTGCCTGGACTCTGTTCAGGAAAGAGACTATACAATCACAATGTCTGTACGTGTGTACATGTAGTATGCAATATGCATGTGGTATTTTGGTTAAAGGTTTTTTTAAAAAATGGCCTCATTTGAAAAGTTGAAGTCCAATTGGGACCAGACTCGAATCATAGTATGCAACATGGGAACATTCATATGATAATGATGTCAAAGGTCACATACCAAGGTCACAGATCATCTTAGTGAAGTTGTCAAATGAAAATGTACAATTGGTCTCATTTGAAAAGTTGAGGTCCAATTGGAACCAAACTTGTGTCATACAGGCAACATAGCAACCTTCATATGATAATGATGTGGATGGTCACATACCACACACCACGGTCAAGGGTCACACTTTAACGATAATCGCGATAGCAGGCGAGACGCGTGGTTTGAGAACCACCTTTTTTGAAAAAGTTACGTTTCAATCAGGAAATTATGTGCTGGATGTTTGGCATTTGAACTTTAAGTCCATACTTGGCCATAATGACTGTTAACTGTTTCCCATTTCAATTTTATTCACAATTGTGTGGTCTGGCACTTGACTTTTAAGAAACCCATTGTGATTTGTACAGGGTACGCTATTCTGCCGGAGGGGACGGTTACCGGTGGGCCAGCATTCATTGTTACCATGGAGATGAGGACACAGCTCAGTTCTGGTCTGGTCATGTTTGCATATGCTTCCAATGGGGCCTTCCTACTACTGCAGCTAGTCAATGGAGACTTGGAGGTAGGGAGAATTTGAACTCAAGTTTTGGCCGGAAAGTTTATCTTTAATCTTGGCTCATAATAGGAATCTTGAACCTTGAATAAGGTCCTATTGAAATGATATTATAATTATAATTATAATAAAAATATGGATTATATATACCCTCCTATATGCAAACATACATTCTGTGCAAGTTGTTCTTTCAGTCAAATTCAATCACGAGGATTGACTGGCTATGACTGTTTATGTAACTTGATACAGCTATGCTTTGACTGCAGGTGATTGATAGGCCAGCTGTGCCTACCACTTGCCTGCTTTTGTCTGTAGACCAAATTTGACTAGTCACAGTGCTTGCTTGAAATATGATCTGACTGTTGGTGACTAGCCTGTGTAAAAGGCATGGCAGGTATGGGATTCAACATTTGACTGTCTGTGACTGTTCAGACAGCAGGACATAACTGACATACAGATCCTTGTCATTTGATTGGTTGAACTCATATCACGTGACATTCGTTATTGCTCCCATTCATGCCGGGGGTTAAAAAGTCCCATTCGCCCATGGGGAATGGGAAATACTATTCAACAGTTAGGATCATTCTTGCTCCATGACGTGGTATTTGTGTGCAAATGCATGCTGGTGTGTGGGTTCAGCGTTGTGCGTAGCGCGTATTGTGCTAAATAGTCAACGCTACAGAGTTGGGTTCAAATATTTTTGTGAAGGGGTGGTTTGGAAGAGAGAAATACATTTTCCACCAATTTTGTATTGAAATATAAGTTCAAATATATCAAATGACAAGGATCTATATGTCAGTAATCTGAAATAATTATAGAGTTGCTTTAAATTGTGAAATGGGAGGAATATTATCACTCGGTAAAATCTGGACTTTTCCAGTTTACTCGGCTTCACCTCGTGAAATGGAAAAGTCCAGATTTTACCTTGCGATAATATTCCTCCCATTTCACTCTGAGCCACTCAATATTTGTATATGAGTGTTTCCCAATTTTTGATTGAATTTCGTTTGTCTTGGTTTCATATCCCGCCAGCTCGTCATTCGTACAGGATCGGCCGATCCCCTGACCTTATCCACCTCAGGGGCTAACCTCTGCGATGGTCAGTGGCACTCGGTCACCGTGGTCCAGAACGGAGCCCAGGTGACGGTCAGTGTGCTTGGTGGACCGCAGGCCGTTGGGTCCGGCGACAGCACACCGCTGGTCATCACTTCCAAGCTCTTCATGGGCGGTGTCCCTGAGGACTCGGACGCTGTGGACTTTGCTAGTAATGCTGGGTTAACATTCCAATCAGGTTTGTGAAGGATTATTTCATCATAATATGCATTTTTTTTTGCAGGCACAACAGTATACAAATATTGAGTGGCTCAAAGTAGAGTGGGAGGAATATTATCTCAAGGTAAAATCTGGACTTTTCCATTTCATGAGGCGAAGCCGAGTGAACTGGAAAAGTCCAGATTTTACCGAGCGATAATATTCCTCCCATTTCACAATAATTAAAGCCACTCAATATTTGTTTTATATAACTGACATATAGATCCTTGTCATTTGATATATTTGAACTTTTTTTCAATACAAAACTGGAGGAAAATGTATTTGTCTCTTCCAAACCGCCCCTTCACGAAAATGTTTGAACCCAACGCTGTAGCGCTGGCTCTTTGGAACAATACGCGCAACGCTGAACGCGCACACCAGCATGCATTTGCACACAAATACCGCGTCATGATCCTTACTGTTGAATAGTATTTCCCATTCCCCATGGGCGGATAGTACTTTTTGAGCCGTGGCATGAATGGGAGCAATAACGAATGCCACGTGATGCGAGTTCCACCAATCAAATGACTAGGATCTGTATGTCAGTTATATAATATATAAATATTGAGTGGCGCAGAGTGGAATGGAGGAATATTATCGCAAGGTAAAATCTGGACTTTTCCATTTCATGAGGTGAAGCCGAGTGAAATGGAAAAGTCCAGATTTCCTCCCATTTCACAATTTAAAGCCACTCCATATTTGTGTTATATAACTGACATATAGATCCTTGTCATTTGATTTACAGTTAAAATGGACTTCTATTACAATACAGTATTGGTGGGAAATGTATTTCTCTCTTCCAAACCACACCTTCACGAAATGTTTGAACCCAACTCTGTAGCTACTGGCTCTTGGGAACAATACGTGCTACACGCAATGCTCAACGCGCACACCAGCATGCATTTGCACACAAATACCACGCCACGGAACAAGGATGATCCTAACTGTTGAATAGTATTTCCCATTCCCCATGGGCGAATGGGACTTTTTGAGCCAAGGCGTGAATGAGAGTAATAACGAATGTCACGTGATGTGAGTTCCACCAATCATATGACAAGGATCTGTATGTCAGTCATATAATTCCCAAATAGTTGTTAAAATTGCATACCCCGTGCCCTTCAAAACTTTTTTTTTTCTCTCCTAACAAATTTTCATATTGTACGTTTAGTTTTAAAGAAGAGAAAACCCTTTATTCCGATTTTGGGCAACTTCTGAAAAAAGGCTTTCATTTTGAGCACAAATCTACCTGCCCTGCCAGAAATGAATTACATTTTTTTTCTTTTCTCTCCAGGTTTTGGTGGATGTATTCGTCAGTTGGTCATCAGTGGTCAGCGGCTGGACTTCTCGGTCCAGGGAGCCGAGCTGTCCAATGTGTACCTGGATGGCTGCCCGGCTGAGACCATGACCTCTGACCCTTGTATCACGCCCACCACTACTGCTGTCTATACGGGCCAAGCGACCAGCTTTGGGGATGATGGACTGCAGACGTACACTGGTATGTTGAACGTTTTCTCTTTTTTTTTGGAGGTGATTGTAGTAAAGTTATGTCTTTTATTTCTTATTTTAACTGGGTAGCCCATTCAGTGGAATCCACTGATCTCCCATGGGTCCCAGTAAAGAGAAGACAATGTGAAGACATTACAGTTTTAGAGGTGGGAGGAAAAGCCCAGAAGAGTATTCTGAGGAAAACCCACGGAATCAGGTAGGGTCTGAAAACCCAATCCACATATTGGCCCAGGCGGGATTCGAACCCGGGTCACAGCGGTGGAAGGCGAGGGAAGTACCGCTACACCGACCTGACTCCCCATGTTTTCCCAAGAACATAATAAGCACCATGATACCATCAGGATTTGAACCCACATGCCACTGCAAATGAGTCAAACACCGTAATTATTATACCATGGCACTCTCAAATCCTTAAAGGGCCCATGTAATATAATTTTTTTAATGTAATCCTTGAAAATGCACTTTTGGCAAAAAACTCAGTGTTACAGCTATTGCAGCACCAAAAGTTGCCCGAATTTTGGATATTTTGCTGTTGTAAATTGTGTTGTTCATTTATTTATTTATTCCATTTACCCAGGGTTTGCCCAAACAGTTAAAAACTGGTTTCCATTGGGGCCCTGCATGAATAACAATTATTAAATAATGTTATTAAAGTAAAGCTAAACTCATAAGGAAAAGTATATATGTGAAACATACGATGAACTTTAATTTTTACAAATACAAGTCGGACGTATGATGGTCATTAATTTTTACAAATACAAGTCTCATAAATATTAAACAAAAGCTATGTACATTGTTCATATTTTAAACATTCAGCTGTTGTTTCAGTACATGATAGAAAGTCAGCAATCAAATGTTTGGCTTCACAATTTGACCAGAAAACCCCTAAACTGAAGAATGTGTTCCTAAAATGACATCACAACAAATGTGCCCTCAGTTGTCAGAAAGAGCATGTAACATTTTCAATGTTTAAAGAAGTGCACTTTTCAAATATATTAACCAACAAGGCATGTCAGATAGTTTTCATACATTTAACAGGAGTTGAAAGTTGCACAAAATATGTTCTCTAGTTAAATTCATGTCATGATCCCTTTGAATTGGTAGAAATTTTCTCGTGCTCTTTCTGAACAAACTACATTGACATGGTTTATCTAGGGACTTCAGTAATTACCAAAACTGCATTGCTTCAAGTGTCTGACCCAACTTATTTGTCATCTTTCAGAGTATTTATACCAAGTGACAGCCAGTAATAATGCCGGATCAACCACCAGTTCCTGGGCAGTAGGCAGAACCAGAGAAGGGCGTAAGTACTCCTATTTATATTTCATTCAAACCCATCCAGTGGAGAGCAATGCACCAAGCAATGCACATAGGCACAGAGCTTCTCCTGTTATAAATCTTCATCAAGTCTCAATGCTGAGTGCATTATGAAACACAGAAAACTTTTTAGCACAATCAGGGACCAAGCACAGAACATATGTGACCTGTTCTGTCAAAAGCAGACGCTTCTGGGCAGAGGTTGAAATTGAGATAGGGCCAAAAAACGCTGTGGGGGTGATTTTTATCGATTTTCAAATTTTTGCATATTTGTAATCCTGAAAATGTCTAAAATATATTATAAAAGTTTGAAACCCTAATTTGAACTCTACATATACAATTTTTGATGATTTTGATAAGGTATATCAGTTAAAGAAATAACTGTTTTGTGACATTCGTGGCCATTTTCTCCGTTTTCTACTTTTCGACACAATGAACTTCAAAATAGCATAACTCTGCCCAGGAATGACCGGTTTCAAAAATTAAACCACCTATTAAAAGGAAAAAGATCATATAACAATATGTAAAAATATCGTTTTCGACCTTATGCCCAGAAAAGTCTGATTTTGACAGAACAGGTCACATATGTGAGGTGTTCTAGCAAAATGAGACAGAACTGGTCACAGGTCGTACTGGAGGGAAATGAAATAATAAAAAAAAACGATTGGAGATCATTTTTTTTTATATTCAGATTTATTGATATTTGTAATCTTTGATATGTCTACTACAAATATTAGTAATAACAATCATAGGGGGAAAAGGGTTTTTAAGGAAAAACCATTGTCATCTTTCTTATTCACGACTATACAAAACTCGAAACTTTAAAGGCCTTTTTCTCAGTACTGTACTTTTTGACATACTGATAAATGGCAAACTTCAAATAGCCATAACTTGTCAATGGAATGTCCGATTGAAGTGCAACAAATAGCATTGTAGTAGGATCTTATTCTCTTTCCTAATAAACCCTCATTTTTATGTCTGCCCAGTTCTGTGTCAATTTGCCAGAACGCCTCACTTATTGGCTTAGCAGAAACAGGTTACCGGCTAAAATTTCATGCAATGTATATTGCCTTTGACTGGTTCTCGGCTGCTTTTTGCTTAACAAAAACGTGTGTATTTCTGCTTTTAAATGAAATGCTATTCCACTCTTCTCCCCCCCCCCCCCATTTTCAGCTCCCACTGGTGTGACCCCGCCCACTGACCCTGTAGCTCTGAGTGGTTACATCATTCAGCTTAGCTGGCAGCGGCCTACCGGCAACACTGGTCTCCTACTGCACTATATTCTGACTGCATACGATCAAGATCGGTCCCAGACAGACCCGGTCAGGGTTTACCACAATGACACTGGGCCCTCAGAGTACACTGGTTAGTGACAAACACAATTATTATGCTTCATTTGGTTTGGTGTGTTCCTCACTTAAGTCCTACAGAATGAAAGGCCGTGTCGGAATTACTTCATCTTGAAGACTTTATCTATTTCAATAACTCTCTTGAGAATTATAATTAAAAGTTCAAATTTTGATTGGTGTAATGTTCCCAACAACTTAGCAAGACAAAAGTTTTGAGGATTGTTGAGCAAACTGTCGTGAGTAAGAAGCTTACATTAAATGCCAACTGAATTTTTTTTCCACAGCACAAATTTTTGCATGATATACATGCTTAAGTACAGTATTGAGAGTCCCAAACTTTCGGGCTAGTGCAGAGGTATCAACGCTTGACCGCACAGTATACAAATTGCTCTTTTCCTTCCATTTTTTTCTTTGAGCAGGTAACATCACTGATGTGATTCCGTTCACCAGCTACCGAGTAACAGTCACAGCCTGCACAGCTGGAGGGTGCACTGAGAGTTCGGCAGTGGATGTCCAGACACTACAAGAAGGTTAGTGTGGTGATGGAAACAAGATGATAGTTGCCTGCCCCTGACTTTTGGAAACTAAGACTTTGTTCTCCCTCCTCTCTGTATTGTCCCTCTTTTGTTAATACTTCAACTGTTTAGGAAGACCTCCAATGTGTTCTATGCACACACCTCAAAAATGGACCTCCGGTCAATCATGGACTCTAGTGTCTTCTATTGTTCAAGGTTCACAATTTGAATGTGTATACATGTACATGTTCTGGTACACGGTACCCTTTGGAGACATGTGCACAATAGGGAACACATGCAAGATTGTATTCGTCTCCACAGAGCAATTTCTATAGGTGAATACGTCTCAACGAGGTTATCATGAAATAGATATACATCGATTTTACTCAAAAACTAGGAGTTTCCAAGGTGTGTTGATTTGCCACAAATTGAAGTATTTTATGTAAGGGATATTAAGTCCGAATTTCAGTCCAGGAAATTAATTCTGGTCAAAATAGAAGCATTTTGAAAGTACACTTTCAAACTCGAAAACTTTAGTACACGAGAACAAGGAAATGACTCCACAAGGATACAAATTTCAGTGTGTGTATGTGCACATGTGTTTGTTTATGGTGCAAATCAAAGATTTTCTATTGTTCCTCTTCATCGATCTTTTGTTCATACTTAAATTTTTTTGCAACAGCTCCCATTAGTTTTGTACACATTTTCTAATCAAGGTTGTTCTCGATTTGACTCCTGTCTTCAATTACACAAGGATGTTTCACATGTGTGTCCTCTATTTACGCCATAAAAATAACCCACAATTACCTCCAGAAATGTTTCACTGTCACTGGTGTCGTCAGTTTCATTCTGGTGATGACAAAAAACTGCTGATAACCCAAAACCAGTGTTACTATCGGGCAAAGTGGCATTGTAGCACAACAGAACTGCTCATTAGATGCCTTTTTTGGCAGTATGTTCATGCCAAGTGTTAAAAACTTCTTTCTAGAAAAACAAAGGTCAAGATAATGTCCGAAACCTCAAGAAATTTTGGGACGAAATTCAAATTTTTGTCAAAATCTTGTCAGGAAAAACAATTTTTCAACAACCTGTCTTAAGTAATCTGCAGTTTTCCTGCTTCAAACAAGTTTTTCCATTTGTTTATATTTCCCTCTCTTTCTATCAGCACCCGAAGGTGTCAATCCGCCCCAGCCCACGTCCACCACAGCGGATACTATAGCGCTGACATGGCCGGAACCAGACCGGCCCAACGGTGTCATCACCAGCTACGCGTTACAAATGAACGACCTGACAGTCTACACCGGTGTCCAGCAGTCGCACACCGAGTCTGGCCTACAGGTCTACACGGCATACCGGTTCAAGGTCACAGGTGAGCCAGAAATATTTGACCTGCCAGGAGTATTTTTGGCAATGTGGCGATTTAGATACAGTTGGTGAAGCATTCAGCCGTGCCAAAATGATACACGGAGAAACGCTGTTCATCCAAAGGCAGATTGGTTCTTGACTGAATGCAACAGATTTGTAATCTATGGACCATTATCATGTTGCGGACATTGTATTTTTCCATTCAAATCAACGTAACCAAAGCGAGGCTGGAAGAAAAAATAATCTGGTTCCTTTTTGCACAAAAAACTTTATTATTGAGTACTGTTATTGGATACAGGGAACATGACTAAAATGGTGGCAGCATGATAAAGGTCTATATAACTACAAGTCAATCACAATTCACAATTCACTTCACAAATAACGGCGGATGAACAATAACTGAAGTATTTTTCAATGGCTGAAACTGGATGAAACTGGATGACTTTTCATGGAGTTGTGATTGACTTGTGATGAAACCAATATTAGGTTTCGCCCTTCACCGTCGTATAACTTATATTGATTTACATCACCCCGACGCAAACATTCCATCTTATGACTTGCAATGACTTACAATAACTTGAGATGACTTGTGACTGACTTGGATTGAGTTGTGCTTGACTTGGTGATGATTTGCGATGACTTGTGATGACTTGCGATGACTTGTGACTGACTTGGATTGAGTTGTGCTTGACTTGGTGATGACTTGCGATGACTTGTGATGACTTGTGACTGACATGGATTGAGTTGTGCTTGACTTGGTGATGACTTGCGATGACTTGTGATGACTTGCGATGACTTGTGATGACTTGGGATGACTTGTGACTGACATGGATTGAGTTGTGCTTGACTTGGTGATGACTCCGATGACTTGTGATGACTTGGGATGACTTGTGACTGACATGGATTGAGTTGTGCTTGACTTGGTGATGACTTGCGATGACTTGCGATGACTTGTGATGACTTGGGATGACTTGTGACTGACTTGGATTGAGTTGTGCTTGACTTGGTGATGACTTGCAATGACTTGTGATGACTTGGGATGACTTGTGACTGACTTGGATTGAGTTGTGCTTGACTTGGTGATGACTTGCGATGACTTGTGATGACTTGCGATGACTTGTGACTGACTTGGATTGAGTTGTGCTTGACTTGGTGATGACTTGTGATGACTTGCGATGACTTGTGACTGACTTGGATTGAGTTGTGCTTGACTTGGTGATGACTTGCGATGACTTGTGATGACTTGCGATGACTTGTGACTGACTTGGATTGAGTTGTGCTTGACTTAGTGATGACTTGGTGATGACTTGTGATGACTTGCGATGACTTGTGACTGACTTGGATTGAGTTGTGCTTGACTTGGTGATGACTTGCGATGACTTGTGATGACTTGCGATGACTTGTAATGACTTGCGATGACTTGTGACTGACTTGGATTGAGTTGTGATTGACTTTGTGATGACTTGCGATGACTTGTGACTGACTTGCGATGACTTGTGACTGACTTGGATTGAGTTGTGCTTGATTGGTGATGACTTGCGATGACTTGTGACTGACTTGGATTGAGTTGTGCTTGACTTGGTGATGAACTGTGATTACTTGCGATGACTTGTGACTGACTTGTGATTACTTGATTACTTCTGTGGAATGCACGCACCAGTCTAGTCTGCAAAATTAAGGAGGTGTTACTGGATTACAGGCTAATGCGTCGGGGTAGTATAAAAACAATTGAGCAAACAACTTTGAAGGGTTGCATAGTTAGTAATCAGTGTGAATTGACTGATCATTGGAAATCGCCTACATTTTCTTGAATTCTTCTTAGTGACAGCAAGCCAGACACAATAATTCACGGGGTGTTTAGTACTATGATCTTTAATTAAAATCGGCTTCTTGTTTTTTATAATTCAGTGGGTTACCTTTATGGTAAATGCAAATGATCCTATATGACTTTGAATGTTTACAATTGCTGATTCACTCCCTGTACACCATTTTGCTTTTCAAAACTGAATAGAAAACATTTTTTTATGCTATGGGGTGCGTGATTGGTATTTAAATGACCATTATTTGCTGTGCAAGACATGACTTAAAACATTTACGATGGTAAATAAAATTGAGGGTTTTTAAATTTATTTGTATTTCGGAATAACCATTACACATTTAGTTTTAATCAATTGTGTGCCATAGATAGCTGTGTATTTACTTTTGCACAAAAATCACTATTCATTGAGAAAATAACCCAATTTTTTCTGTGTGTGGTAGCGTGTACTACTATTGGCTGCACGGACAGCCCCGAGGTCAGCATCACCACTGCCCAGCGACCCCCGACCTTTGTCACCCCGCCCACTCTACTGGCCAGAGGCCCCACCTCCATCGAAGTCAGCTGGGTGGAGCCTGCCCAGCTCAACGGTCGCCTGGAGAGATACGCCCTGTTCCTGTCGGTCCAGCCTGGGCAGCTGGGCCAAGAGGTCTACAACTCCACTGTGCTGATACGCAGTCACGTTCTGTCTGAGTTGATGGCTGGAACGACGTACCTTGTGGTCCTCAGTGTGAGTAACTTCTAGTAGACACAAAGAATTAATCAGGTTTTCTTTTTTCTTATCCATTCAGTAGGGCAGGACTAGATTTAAAAATATATATATATGAACTTTCAGTTCATGGAAAGCCAGCATTACATAATCAATTTAAAAGTCTTAAAGGGAATATACATCATTTGCTTTTGCTGTAATTTTCAGAAATGGATGGAATTGGGGGGTTGGAAATATATAGCAAATATAGTTACACTGACTTTTTTGAGGTTTTGGGTTCGAAAATGCTATAAAAACCAAGAAAAACAATCATTTTCCTGTAGTCTGGTTCCCTGACTCCATATAAGAAGAAACAGCAGTTTACATACATTGGGGAATTGTAAGGTCAGGGAACCAGTCTAGCTGGCTCGTACCCGTTCATAGGTTTGTAATCGATTGCAAACAAGTGCGATGGTCAATTGGGGCCAGTATTTGAAAAAAAGCCAGTTGTTTCCAACGCTGATCGGCCGATCAGCGTTGGAAATTGATACAAAAATACCACTTTTCTTGAAAATGACAGTATACCAGGTGCCATGATTTTACAGGATGCTTTACACTGTCATTCACTAACAGTCCAGCAAAGTATTTCAAAATGATTTGGTAGTTTTATTTTTTGATGTTTGCAAATGTTGTATGTTCCCTCTAATAATGCATTTGACACTGCATGGGAGAGAAAGCTTTACAGAGAGGGTGAAAGTAAAGTATGTCCTTGGCTGGTGTTTATCTCCAGTTTCCTTGGAATGAAACGACTGAAAATATTTCTATCCCGTCCCCCCCCCCCCCCCCCCCCCCAGGATGGGATGCCAGTCCATCGCAGGTTACTCCCCTGCTAATGCTGGTACCCATCTCTCCTGGGTGGAGAGAGGCAAGTTTGGGCAAAGTGGCTAGCCCAAGGACACAACAAGTGGCCAGCAGCTGGATTTGAACCCCTGACCCTCTGATCATGATTCACGAACCCTAATCACTAGGCCACACTCCCCATATTACAGAGAGTGTACTATATTCTTTATAGCACCCAGCAGCATTTTGGTCATCTCAACGTATTAAAAAAAAAGAAGTTTACTGGAATAGAAAAAACACTAAGACTTTTCACAAATTTGTCATGAATTCCAGGCCTGCACAGGGGGAGGTTGCACCAATAGTGCACCAGCCACTGCACGCACAGAGGAGAGCATTCCAGAGGGTGTACCAGCTCCCTCTGTGACTGTCATCAGCCCGAATGAGCTGCATGTGTCCTGGACTGCACCTGAAAATCCAAACGGTGAGTAGACAAACACTTCTGTCCGTTTGCATTCCCTGTGCCCTTTGACAAATTCCCTTTTTTTAATTAATAAATTTTCAACTTGTATGCTTCATTCCAACCAAAAAGTCTCCTGTTTTTTTTAATGTATTTGGACACATATTGCTTTAGTTTCTGACCTCCCTCTTTTCTCTGGTCGATGTGTAGCCCGCACCTTGAATCAAGTGGCCATTTTCACGGCCTTGTGATGGACTACATGTTTTCAGGGACTAACTCAAAGCCAAAGCAATGGCAAAAAGACGGCCCTAACAATCACTGCATCTATTTCTCCTTGCTCTCATTTCAGGAGTCATCACCCGCTACACCCTGATCCAGGACGGCTCCGTGGTCCTCGCCAATCTCAGCCTGTCCTACCGCGCCACCGGCCTGGCCCCTCACAGCCTCCACATCTTCCGCTTGGAGGCCTGTACCTCGCGAGGTTGCTCCTACGGTCCTGAGACCTCGGCCCGTACCGCCGAGGCCCCGCCCACGGGCAGCATCATGCTGAGCGTGTTTGTGACAGATGCCCGCACCGTGTCAGCGCGCTGGACCGCGCCAGATAACCCTAACGGTATCCTGCAGTATGAAGTGCTGTTCACTGGGATATTTTACGTTTCGCCGGGTAAGTCAGTTTGCTTTAGTTGAGGTTCAGCACCATGTGTATTTTATTTTTTGTATGAGGACCTAGCGCCAGTCATGATGCTGTTTTACAGCCTCCTCAAATTTTTGTACCAAGGAGCACCAAGGAATGGGGAAATTGCACCAAGGCAAATGATAAAGGGCACAAAGGCAAATAATGGAGGACACCAATGTATAATGAGGACACAAAAAAGCAAAATAGTACCCACCTTGTCTGTACAATACAAGCTTGAAAAAAAAAAAGCCAAAAAAACGCGTCGCCGCATCAATTCCGAAACTTCGGTCTGACCAGAGACCGACTATTTTTTTGGGGGGGCCTAATATGTGGTATGCATAATAATGGTCAGTTTTGAAGAGCGCCCCCCATTTGGAAGATGGGTCATTTTCTCTGACATTTCCCTTACACAGAGACAGGGAACTACAACACCATTTCACAGACCCGAACACTGCTCAACACCACCGACGCTAACATGCTGGTGGCCATCTCTGGTCTGATCCCGGACTCGCCCTACACGGTGCAGGTACTAGGCTACAACACTAAGGGCAGCCTACTCAGTAACCAGCAAGACGTGCGCATGACAAAAGGAAGTAAGTAATTTCACTTGTTTTTTTTTTCCACTTTTTTTAAATTAAGGCCTTAGAAATGTTGTACAAGTATTAACTCCTTCAAGTGGTAAAACTAGCCCACATTGAAAATGTTGATTTTTTTTCAAAAATAACCATTAACAAGTATGAGACAACAACTATTGTGCTTAAAGGATCATTTTGCTTTTCATACATAGCCCAGTTGTGGTGGTTTTTGCAGTAACAGGACAAGACAAATCCAAAGAAGAATGTTGAAAACCTAAGCTGTTGAAGTTTCAGCTCAGTGGATATTACACTTTTCAAGACTACGTGTACAGTGAAAAAACATGAACGACCTTTTTTTTATCACAAAACATGATTTCTTCAATGTAACACGTTATCTCCCAAAACCAGTCAATTGACTGTTCATCAAATTAGGTTTTGCCCTTCACGGACGTATATAAACACTGTATACTCGGTGTGTTACCTCCTGAGTGAAAGTTGGAAAAATCACTCGGGTGGGACTCAAACCCACGACCTCCTGCTTTCTAGTGCAGATGTTTTACCACTCGACCACCGAGCTAACGGGATCGGTTGGCTGGTTCGAATAAACACACTGAGTATACAGTGTTTATATACCTCGGTGAAGGGCAAAACCTAATTTGATTTACATCACCCCGACGCAAAATTCCATCTTATGAACAATTGACTGTTCGTTGGAAATCAGATGGAAAGCCAGACAGAATAATTTCACAGGGTGTCTAGTACCTAAGTAGGATCTGTAATCCAAGTGAGGTTTTTGATAATAATTTGGTAGGTTACTTTTGGGGTAAATGCAAATGATCCTGTGTGCCCTTAACAAGATACAACATTGATGTGAAACTCCACTGACAATCCCTGATTCTGTGCTTCAATTCTTGAGGTCCTGATGGTGTGTTCCCGCCTACACTGGTAACCCTGTCCTCGACATCCATCCGTGCCCAGTGGCAGGTCCCAGCAAGGAACAATGCACCTGGTGATGCCAAGTACCAGCTACAGTTCCGGCCAACCCTGCAGCCAGGACTCCAAGAGGAGTGAGTATATTACCCTCTGTGGAGTGGTCCATGGTGTTTTTGTGGGGGCAGATGGTACCCGAGGCAAAGGCAAGGGTGCCATTTCATCCACCACCCACAACCCCCCAACCACCCCAACCCCAGACACCAGTGAGGCGGGCGAGGCGAAGCCTCATTATTCATAATAATGATGAAAATGTGATTTGGGGAATGACAGCTCTTTTATATTTTAGCACCCATATCACATTGTTTGTTTACTTTTTAATATGATGTACAGCGGAACGTCGCTATACCGAACAGCGCTATACCGAACATTTGGCTTTACCGAACATTGTCCTTGGCTCCCAATTTTTGTGTACAAAACATACTGAACATTGTTGTTGAAAAATATCAGTGTCAAGAGAAGAGCAACAAGTGGCTATTATTTCCCCAAGGAATAGAAGGGGAAAGCCACCCATCGATGTAGGTAGTAAGCTCAAAACTGTGTAGTTAAATAATTCAATAGTCGGCACGTGTTCGAAGTCGTCTTTCAGTAACTACCAGGGCGTGCAGGGTGAAGTTCTGAAGCGCGCTATTTATTGTAAAGTGAGTACCACAGCACCAACAGCTTAAAATCGCTTCACCGAATGATCGCCATTACGAACAATTTCTGTGGATCCGTACTGTGAATTGCAAAATTTGCCCTCATTAAAATGTATTACTTTGTTTCTCTTGAATCCTCTAGCCTGTTTGATAGTCCAGTCACTGTGACTAGCTTCATCAAGACTGGCCTGAGTCCCTACACTGAGTATGAGTTCCGAATCATAGCGAGTAATAACTACGGCGAGACAGAGAGTGACTGGACAGCTGCGTTTACCTCGGAGGCTGGTGAGTTCTCTCAAATACTCAGAGATTAGCCAAGCCTTCATACTAAATATCAACATACACTCTGTTGTTTGTCTGTTGATTTAGGCCTGTATAAACTATTGATGGAATTTCTGATGCCAAATTTGAGTGGCATTCAGTACATGCCTGTGCACCAACTTCATACATGTGTATTAAAATAGTATACAAATAATGAATGTTTTTGAGTGCAATGGTAAGATTAATTTCGAGAGGTGACAGATAGAATGTTCCTTTCCACGAAGCGAACATTACATTTTCCAAGATGTAGAATTTGCAACTTTGGTGGCAGATTTTCAGAATCGGGAATAGCTCAAATTCTTGATTATTATCTTTTGTTACTGTCTATCCCCTGTTACTTGTAACTGAACTTGTGATCAGACTTGTGATGTTTTGATTGGACTTGCGATGTACTTGTGATTGGACTTGTGATGTACTTGTGCGGTACTTGTGTGATGTACTTGTGTGATGTACTTGGGATCGGACTTGGGATCAGATTTGTGATGTTTTGATTGGACTTGCGATTTACTTGTGATGTACTTGTGAGGTACTTGTGTGATGTACTTGTGATCGGACTTGTGATGTTTTGATTGGACTTGTGATGTACTGGTGATCAGACTTGCGATGTACTTGTGATTGGACTTGCGATGTACTTGTGATTGAACTTGTGATGTACTTGTTATCGGATTTGTGATGTTTTGATTGGACTTGCGATGTACTTGTGATGGGACATGTGATGTACTTGTGATCGGACTTGTGATGTTTTGATTGGACTTGTGATGTACTTGTGATTGGACTTGCGATGTACTTGTGTTTGGACTTGTGATGTACTTGTGATCGGTCTTGTGATGTACTTGTGATCGGACTTGTGATGTGCTTGTGATTGGACTTGTGATGTACTTGTGATCGGACTTGTGATGTTTTGATTGGACTTGTGATGTACTTGTGATTGGACTTGCGATGTACTTGTGTTTGGACTTGTGATGTACTTGTGATCGGTCTTGTGATGTACTTGTGATCGGACTTGTGATGTGCTTGTGATTGGACTTGTGATGTACTTGTGATCGGACTTGTGATGATTTGATCGGACTTGCGATGTACTTGTTATCGGACTTGCGATGTACTTGTATTCGGACTTGTGATGTTTTGATTGGACTTGGGATGTACTTGTGATTGGACTTGTGATGTTGTGATCAGACATGTGATGTGCTTGTCGTCCATTTCAAGTACCTGGACTACAGCACTGTTGGATCTTTACCCAGTTATGTATTAATGTCGTTGCATTCAATCAAATAATGTTTGTCTTCTCCCCCAACAGCACCTGGGCCAATTGACCCTCCCATGGCGGCCATCTTGGATGCCTACAGCATGCTGGTAACATGGGAGCAGCCAGAGCAACCCAACGGCATCATCAGTAGAGTCAGGCTGTACCAGAACAACCTACTCAGGCAAATTGTAAGTCAAGTATTAGTCAGTGGACTATAAAGAATTTCCTAAGATCTCTTTTGGTTCATGTGAATGTAAGCCAAATATAAACGTCCTTTAGTTGCGCCCATAACCTACTGAAACTCTTCCCCCTTAGATCCAAATAAATTGCCAACAAAATCAAGTTAGTGTTTTTTTGTTAATCCTCAAATGTATTATCATGATTGTGTAGTTTGTTAGTTTTCAGTTGACACATATGTATAATCTGTTTTGTTAAACCTCCGTTACTGATCCATGGAATGGGGTTAATGCCCAATTCATAAAATCGGCAGTTAAAACAGAAAATAGCTTTTGGAAAATTCACTGACACAAGTGTAGTGATAAATAATTCACTTTCATAAGTACAATCAGTGGCCGATGAAAAATGCAGGAAGACAATTGAAAAATGAGGGTTGCATCCCCTCAATTCCGATTTTTTTTTTCACCTCAAATTAACCCACATGGACCATCAGCTGATCACACCAGAAGATTATTACATGAAATCTGAAAAATGGAAAGTTAATTCTATCCCGAAAAGTTACTTTAGTCAGGTTTTATGTTCTGATGACTCTGCTTTTACCCTCAATTGAAGATATTTTCATGGTCATAGCTCCATTAGTCTGTCCAACCTGGTTCCTCCAATCACAGTGTTTGGAGGAAAAACTCACTTTTCTGCCTGTTCTCATTCATATTGTCCTTATTCACGAGTTGGCCATTTTTGTCGAGTTCCCTGAATGTATTTCATTAATTGTTAACTGTTGAATGGGATGGCGTCGGACTATTTATGCAGGCATAATGCAGCCTTATTTTACTGTCATTTTTTTTATCTGGCTTTAAACATCAGGGAATGTTTAATTACAAATTTGTAATTACTCATTGAAGCAGACTGGAACTAATTAATAATTTACTTGCTTTCATTTCTCTTCGCAAGTTCCAAAAATTAAGATTTTACCTCACTTTCAATTCAATATGGCCGACTCGTGCATAAGGCCCATACTGTTGCAGTACCTAGATGTGGAACAAAAGGATATTCCAATAGCATTTTTTCCCACATGCTGCATCTCTTTGGAATTCCTTGCCTGGTGCTTGTTTCCCTCCAACCTATGATCTCTCCTGTTTCAAGAGGAATGTTAATTCCTACCTTTAGTTTTTCCTGAGTACTTACTCTTCTTCTCATTTCTCTTGTGGCCCTGTACCTGGAGTGGCTTTTAAGCCTTGATCAGGCAAATATGCATAAAAACTGTTTGGGAGGTAATACACTGAAACAGTGTTTAAACGTCGGTGAAGGGCAAAACCTAATTAGATTTATATCACCCTGACGCAAAATTCCATCTTATAATGAAGGCAAGTAATTTTTTTTTACTAACTCTGTCTCTGTGTTTGTTTTTACAGCTGCCAGGCAACGCGACTGAGTTCCTAGCCGATGGTCTCATGCCGTACACTGATTATAACTACCATGTTGAGATGTGCAACAGTGCTGGATGTACAAGCAGTGTACACTCATTGACTTATAGGACGCCTCAAGCAAGTAAGTGAAAAGTTCAGATTTTTCATATTTTATGAAATTTTTCAAAATCTTGGCCTTATTCTAGTGTGGCTTTACAAGATTTAAGGCCTCTGTTTGAGGAAGCAATTTGTTAGGTGCTAATCTTCAGGCTTCGATTCCGCTCTGGAAATCAAGGACAACCTTGAACATGAGGTTCCATTTTTGCAGTCAGGCAAAACTCTGGGAATTTAGGAAAAACAGGGAATTTGACAGCGACCTAGAAGGGAAAGGTTTTTGCCAGTTTGGCGTATGTGCATCTTGTGCCATGTGTCCAAGTTGTGCCCATTGACTGACTGGCTATGGTGATCTGATACACAGACCCTCTGGAGACGTGTGTTCAATAGGGAACAAAAGATTGTATACATCTCCACAGGGCAATTTCTATAAATGAATACGTCTCCACAAGGTTTTCACGAAATAGATATGTGGATTTTACTCAAAAACTAGCAATTTCCAAGCTATGTTGATCTGTCGCAAATGGAAGAGTTTTAGGAAAGGGATATTAAGTCCGAATTTCAGCCAAGGAAATTAATTCTGGTTAAAATAAGAGCATTTTTAAACTACACTTTCATACTCGAAAACTTTAGTACACAAGAACAAAGGAATGTCTCCACAAGGATACAAATTCCAGTATGGGTGGCTTTTTAGTGTTTATGCAGTGTGAATATTACAAACCTCTCCAGACAATGACAATTGGCTGTGCTACACCATTTCTTGACCAGCAACCTCGTTTTTTAGTGAAAATACTTCTCGTAGAATTTTATAAATTTCTCTGCGAAAGGTCAGGAAAAAAAGTCAGGGAATTTTGTTTTTATGACATGCTGCGAACTCTAATTTTTCCTCCCCCTCCACACACAGTTCCCTCAGGGCTAGCGGCGCCCACCCTGCGCTCCGAGACACCCACGTCCGTCCTGATCACCTGGTCTCCCCCAGACTCCCCCAGCGGGGTCCTGACTGGTTACGAGATTCAACGCCGCGTCAAGGGCCTTGCTGCCGTCACCACGGTGGTATCCATCGGGCCGTCCAGCCCGTTGGTCTACCTAGACCAATCCCCTGCCGTCACTCCCTACACGGTCTTTGAGTACAGGGTCCGGGTCCGCAACGGTATTGGCAGTTCCTCTAGCTTATGGCAGACGGTCACAACACTCTCGGCAGGTAAGGACTGTTGCTTTCAATTTGTGCTTCATGATTTTTAAGAACTTCTTTATTCAAATGATAAGGAACAGTCAGATACAAGTCAGAGTGTTTTGTTTATTGCCTTTATTTGGTTTCTGCATTATTAAATGATTTTTGATTAAATTCTTTGAAATTGTTTGAAATGGATCTTTGGATTGTTAGAGGGTCAAGTTAAACCATGTAGTCCTTGATTCGGTATCTCAACAGTTTGTAGCAGTTTTGTTTTAACTAGAAAAAACAGTTGGAAATTGAAAAATGACACTCTCTAGAGGAAAGGATTACTTGTTGGATTTTTAAAACATTGTTATAAAACTATGCTTTTAGTAAAAAGAAAATTAGAATTTTCATTATTAACACGGAATATGGTTCAATCAGAAGTATTTAATTCAAATCAAAAGGTTGGAGATGGGTATCTGTAGAGTATTTGACGATGGAGAATTGATTTTTTTTTTCAATTTTTTTTTCTATTGATCGTCAATACATGACAAGTGATTCAGAAGAGCACAATTAGATTTTTTTTTTTTTTTACACCAAAGCTCCAGGGGGAGTAAATCCACCCAGCGTAACCATCCTAGATCACCAGTCAGTGCTGGTTGCCTGGCAACCACCGGTTCTCACCAATGGTGAAATCATCAGCTACACCATACGGATGCCACAGCCGAGGGTTTACATCGGAGATACCAACAGTACTAGCAGAGTAGTCAGCGGTCTGGTACCCTATACCAACTACCTAGGTCAGTTCTCTTCTACAGTAACTTGGATATGTCTCTGTTTGTTTGCTGAACTGTCCTTTCGAGAGACTGAAAAGCTGTAAATTGTTGCACAATTTGTGCTTTAAAGGGAATGTACAACATTTGTTTTTGCTGCAATTTTCAGAAATAAATGGATTTGGAGGATTGGTATGTTATAGAAAATATTGTTAGACTGACTTAATTCACGTTTTGGGCTTGTAGATGCTGGAAAAACCAAGAAAACCCATCATGTTCTTGTAGTCTGGTTCCCTGACCGCACTTAAGATGAAACAGAGCAATTAATACACTTTGGGGAATATTGTAAGGTCAGGGAATAAGTCTAGCGGGCTTGTACCCCTTCACAGGTGTGTAATCATTTGCAAAGAAAGGTCAATATAACTAAATATGAAAAAATAGGAACAGTTTTTGAAGAAGAAAAAGCAGTTTTCTCCAACGCTGGTCGGCCGACTAGCGTTGGAAAAATACAGTTTTTCTTGAAAATGTCAGCACACCAGGAGCCACGATTTTAAAGGATGCTTTAGACTGTCATTCCCTAATAATTCAGTAAGGTATTACGTGATCATTTGATCATTTCGTTCTTTGATGTTTGCAAATGTTGTATCTTCCCTTTAAAGGAATTGGACACCATTTTCAATCATTCAAAAATGAAACTGTAAAAATATCATCAAACAGCCTACTTGATTGTAAGTAAATAATAGGATCAGACATCGTGTGAAATCTTCGCACTAAGTTTGCCGTCATTTTTCGAGAAATGAGGAATCACCATCGTTTCCTTGCAGTGGTTAGGACAAAACCATTGCGCTATCAATCGAAACCTATGCTTTCACGTCAAGAAAAGTTAAACATTTTCACAGTTTTCTGCAAAGCATGTCTACCGAACCGAAAGTTTGACAGGTTAGTTTTTTAATAACCTGTGTCACTTTTATCACATTGCTGTTCCTCAAATCGGCAAAAACACATTTTCTTTGCAAATGGTGTCCATTACCTTTAACTATAGTGTATCATTAAAAAAAACGTATTTTTTTTTACAGTATATGCAAAGAAATTATAAAGAATCCTACATTCAGGAGATTTTGTCAACAAAAATTCCCTCAGTAGTGATCTCAAATGCTCACATGAACTTCACTGAGATCTCCATTGAACCTCGCATAATCCCCAAATGAACCTCACATTAACCTCACATGAACTTCTATTCATGTGAACCTCATACAAACCTCACACAAACCTGACATGAAGCTGATAATCCTATGAAAGTTTAGTGAAACTCACATGAAACTCAAGTGAACCTCACATGCATCGGATGTGAACCTCACATGCATCGGATGTGAACCTCACATGCATTGGATGTGAACCTCACATGCATTGGATGTGAACCTCACATGCATCGGATGTGAACCTCACATGCATCGGATGTGAACCTCACATGCATCGGATGTGAACCTCACATGGAACTTGCATTGATTTCAACTGAAATCTTATCACAAATCTTATCATGGGCATGGCTACATGAATCTTGCAACTGATTGGCTGAATGTCAACTTTCCATAACAGTGAGCATAGAAGCCTGTACCATCGGCGGCTGTACAGAGAGTAGCGGCACGCCGGCCCAGACTGATCCCTACATCCCCGCGGGCCAGGCGCCCCCTAGAGGCGACGCCATCACACAGACCTACATCTCGGTCAGTTGGAGTCCCCCCACCGGTCCCAATGGGCCTAACATCAGATACGAGTTGCACAGGATGAAGATCAGGGAACCGCTTCAGCCAGGTAATTTTGACTTTGAGGTGATTTTGAATTGCAGATTACAGTGACGTTTTACCTGTGTAAAGCTTGGATAGTTAGTTGACTAGCTTACTTATTAGCATATAGGATCATCCACTCTTGGTGCGTTTTGTTCGTTTCCAGTAATAACACCACTCAAAATCCAAAGGATGTTCAAAACCCAACCTGTTGAAGTATCAGCTCAATGGATGTTGCACTTTTTGAGAAAACAGTGAAAAAGCATGCACAATCTTTTGTTCACAAAACACGATTTTGTCCAACGATCAGTCAATTGACTGATTGTTTGTTGGTAATCACCTGCATTTCTTGGTTTCTTCTAAATGACAGCAAGCCAGACGGAATAATTTACTGAGTGTTTAGTAGCAATACATTCTGTATACAAGTCAACTGAGAATAATTCAAGAGTTACTTTTGGGATAAATGCAAAAGATCCTAAATGCCTGTATGCTTTTCTTTAATGCACCTATTCAAAAACGAAAAGGTTAATTAAGAACGATGCCATTTCTAAATACACACTTTCTCCAAGCATGCCTTTTTCATTTTCAAGAACCTTCATCCACTTTGAAGAAACCAAAAGGAGTAAATAATGCAGAGTCTAAATAAAATTGTCAATGCAGGCATGCACTAGCATGTCTTTACCTTTGAATGAGTTTGAGAATTTTTTGGTGTAGCAAATTGTTTTGCTACCTGTTTACTTGTTAGTCATAGTAGCGTCTGAAACAGCCCTGCCTTTGACTCACTGTAGCACTCAAAACTGTGCGAGTACTCAACCGTTTTGTGGCTTCTTCAGTGTATAAACGCAATGTAATACAATGTTATACAGCTGCTAACACGTTAAGTATTCCATTAAATTGACTGGAAATAAAATGGGTTTTGGGATTGATAGGATTTACTTTAAAGGGAATATATATCATTTGCTTTTGCTGTAATTTTCAGAAATGGATGGAATTGGGGGTTGGAAATATATAGCAAATATAGTTACACTGACTTTTTTTGAGGTTTTGGGTTCGAAAATGCTATAAAAACCAAGAAAAACAATCATTTTCCTGTAGTCTGGTTCCCTGACTCCATATAAGAAGAAACAGAGCAGTTTACATACATTGGGGAATTGTAAGGTCAGGGAACCAGTCTAGCTGGCTTGTACCCGTTCATAGGTGTGTAATCGATTGCAAACACGTGCGATGGTCAATTGGGGCCAGTATTTGAAAAAAAGCCAGTTTTTTCCAACGCTGGTCGGCCGATCAGCGTTGGAAATTGATACAAAAATACCACTTTTCTTGAAAATGACAGTATACCAGGTGCCATGATTTTACAGGATGCTTTACACTGTCATTCACTAACAGTCCAGCAAGGTATTTCAAAATGATTTGGTAGTTTTATTTTTTGATGTTTGCAAATGTTGTATTTTCCCTTTAAGAAAGAGTCAATCTTTTACAGATTGTATCCTGACTGTCTCGAAGATTGTGCAATGCTAAATATAACTGAAAAATGTCACAGTATTTAGGCCACAATTTTCTGCCTTCTCTTTTTAAGAAAATGCTTACCAATAACATTTTTTATGTAGTTTAGATTGATTTTTGGATCAAACATTTCTAGGAAATTTGTTCAATATTTTTATGACATACCTTGTTGTCCACTGTTCTTAGGAACCCCAATTGGTATTGGTTTCTGGCAACTCATCTCAGCTTTCTCTTTTAATGAAATGCTTACCAATAACATTACTTATGTAGCTTAGATTGATTTTTGGATCGAATATTTTTTAGGACATTTGTTCAATATTTCTATGACATTTCTTGTTGTCCATTGTTCTCAGGAACCCCAATCGGTATTGGTTTCTGGCAGCTCATCTACAGCGGCACTCAAACCTTCTACGCTGATCTCGGCTTGACTACCTACACCACTTACCAATACCGGGTCACTGTCTCCAACGATGTTGGCTCATTGACCTCTGACTCCAGCGATGAGGTCATGACCTTGGCTGGCCGGCCGTCCGTCGGTGCATCCCTGTCCGCGATCGCCCTGGATCACGTGACTGTGTCCCTGACCTGGACCACACCTAGTGAGTTTTAGAGTTTGTCGATAGTTTCAAACTTAGCTGCGCAATTCCGTGGTAACTCATGCTATATTTTTGAAGGGGTCTTCAGTCAGCTTTGTGCTGTTATTCTATAAGGTCAAAATATTTAGAATGGATTTTTCGCACGAAGATCCCTTGCAATTAAGTGACTGAACTACCAAAAAAAGCAAACAAAATAAACTTCTGTTGGTTTGGCAATAACTTTTTATCAGTAACTCACTTAACAGTTTGTCCACCCATTTGGTACAAATTAAAACATATAAGAAAGTAATAAACAAAAACCTCCTTTCGCATAAAATATGAACCTTTCTCTGCCTTAAAAACAAGACCTCACAATAACACTTGCATTTTGTATGCAAAAATAAAGTACTAAAAATCCTTAACTAAAATCCTTAATTTTAGCCAAAATACCATACACTTAACCATATTCCATCTCACTGCCACATCACCCAAATGAAAGGTCTTGTTGTCCCCTTTAATTTGATACCACATTTAAGGTTGTGATGCTTGCAGTGTTGAAGATTTTATACATTTTACATTTTTTAGTCATGTCTACTTGCTCATAGAATTCCAAGATATAAAAATAAAAAATCTTAGAAATTATATCAAAGATGCAGTGAAGATTTAAATAATTATGTTAAAATTGATTTTCAGAGCGCCAAACTCAAATGTATTGACATTTTTGTTAATTAAGGTAACTTTAATACCTGTTAATGGTGCCGTTGGCATTTCAATGTCTCCCTAATGTCACAGTTCCTATTTAGAGGCTAAATTTTACAGTTGCAAATAGGCTAGATTGATTGCTCGTGGTCCAAAACATAAATATACCGAAATTCGTGGAGGTAGGATGAGGTCAAATTAGGTGACATTAAAGATGGAAATATTGTGTGCACAAGTCTATGGGAATGTCTCCCAAATGACCCGTTTCCTGTAATTTGAATTCCAGTGACCATTTGCTTCATTATGTTGTTGAAACTTACACCATTCATTTCCCAGCCTTACAAGAATTGAAGGGAAGTGTCGTCAACTATTTCATCGAGTACGGTGCCAGCTCCACCCCCGGGATTCGAACCACGGCCACCTACCCGCCGGGCGTGAGCTCTACCACCGTAGGACTACTCATGCCCAACACGCTGTATGAGTTTAGAGTGATCATCTTCAACGGTGCTTACAATGTGTCCAGCAATCTGGCCTACGTGGAAACCCTGGATGGAGGTGAGCGGATGTTTTTTTTCCTTTAATCTTATAAGATGTTTGCTGCAGAATTTGGACACAAAAGTACTGAACTATTTTATTAGTGAACCACAATCAGTTATGTACTTGGTGAACATGTACCAATCAAAATGACACTGAGTTTGGGCTAATGGAGAAGTGAGAAGACGTGTCTAAACAGTTCTCTGTTAAAGGCTTCTAGGATCATTTGCATTAATCTCACAAGCAATCTACCAAATTATTATAAAAAAGCTTACTTGGATTTTAGATCGTACTGGTACTAAATACCCCGTAAAATTATTCCATCTGGCTTGCTGTCATTTAGAAGAAATCAAGAAATGTAGGCCATTTCCAATGATCAGTCAATTGACTGATTGTTGGAAGTAAAGAGAGTAATATTAATGAAATTGTGTTTCGTGATCAAAAGATTGTGCATCGTTTTTCACAGTTTTCTCAAAAAGTGTAATATCCACTGAGCTGAAACTTCAACAGGGTTAGGTTTTGAACATTCGTCTTTGAAGTGTTGTAATAACACTTGAAGAGGAACAAAATGCATTAAGTGCAAATGATCCTATATGCCTTTAATATAGATTGTTTGTTAAAGAGGTTGTGGAATGCTCGAAGACATTTCCGTCATTTTTTGGGTATATGTAGCCTAAGGTGTGATGAAATAAAAACGACTATTGTTTCTGTCATGAAATGAGTACAAAGGGTACTTTTGAGAGCTATTTTTCAGGTCCTGTTTCGACCCGAACGTGCAATTTGTGTAAAAGTCGTCGTTGCGGGCAGCAAACAAAACACAGTAAATCGTGACGTAATAAACAGGACTCGTTTATGCTACTCTGCATCGGGAGTCCTGTTTATTACGTCACGATTTACTGTGTTTTGTTTGCTGCCCGCAACGACGACTTTTACACAAATTGCACGTTCGGGTCGAAACAGGCATGACAGGACTTGAAAAACAGCTCTCAAAAGTACCTTTTGTACTCATTTTATGACAGAAACAATAGTCGTTTTTATTTCATCACACCTTAGGCTACATATACCCGAAAAATGACGGAAATGTCTTCGAGCATTCCACAACCTCTTTAAATGGGAAGGTCCACACGAGAGCAATGGTACATTGTTGGGACAGCTCCTTTACTACCATCACTGAATCAGACCGACGTCGCCAATTGAAAGATTTAGCTTTTTGTTTTGATCTCGGTCATGGAAGCATGTAAACAAACAATTTAAAAGGAAAAAGGAAGAAATCTATCAGTTAAACAATGAACAAACAGTATAAGTTATGATTTAGAAGACACAGTAAAAACATAATTGCATATATCAACGGAAAGCTGGGAGCATACTCTGTAAAACGCAGCTTCAATCAATTTCAATCAATTCAATTTCAATCAATTTATTTATTCGTCATGCCAGCATGAAATGTTCCTTCTCGCTTTGCACATAACATTTCAAATACCTACAATACAGAAAATTAAATATGTAAACATACAGTATACACGTTAAAACAGTCAATGAAAAGGCAATAAATTAAATAATAAACGAGTTCCTCAAAAACACTGTAAAACCCTAAAAACACACTCACATGAACCACATTGAACAGGCTACCTATGACAGTTTTCATGTTCATAATTTTAACGTCCTAATCCACTATCTTTTCTAACCATATCCTTTTTTCAGCTCCTGAAGGTTTTTCAGTACCCACCATCAACATCTTAAGCCCCTCAGCCCTCCGAGTCTCCTGGCAGTCACCCGCCCAACCCAACGGAGACATCCTCCGCTACGACGTCTATCAAGACAACGTCGTAGTGGCCACGTTACCCTCTTCGACATTCTCACATATCCTGTCAAACCTACAACCCTACACCATCTACAAGATCCAGGTAATTAAAGCTATAGTCCATCGTTTGTAATTTGTGCATTTTGTTTGTTTGAAGCAACAAAAGGGTTCAGTATCTAATGAAGGATACTGAACAACTAACCTGATGAAGTTTCAGCTAAGCTTCAGCTGTACATATCGAGAAAAAACAGCATTCTAAGATCTCAATTTCAAATCAAAAGTTACTGAATCATGTTTTGAATTGTTTTGAATTGCAGCCATATGCGACGTAGCGCACTGATCCGACGAATTATAACAACCGCGCGTGCGTGTGCGTCGTTCTAATACTTGTGCGCGCTGCGCTGAATAACAAAATGAACTACTAATTTAAATTTTCCTACGGTGCTTCTTAAGAATCACCGTTGGAAATGCCTTCTTTCGTTGATTACTTCAAAATGACAGCTTCCCAGAAGCAATAATTTCACAGGGAGTTTAGTGCCCTTAATATCTTTCAACCAAGTTTGTTTTTCAACAATAATTACGCCAGTTACTTTTCGGATTGCTGCAAATGATGGTCTATAGCTTTAAGGGGACAATCTCAAATTAAAAATCTAAATTAATGAGTCAAAAACTCTTACTTGCTTTGTGCTACAGGGTGACCCCCAAAAAATGCAACCCTAAAACATTTGCCTTCTAAAAAAAAAAAGATGGGTGGATTTTTATGCTTTTGGTATCGGATTAAAGCTGAGAGTTTTTTCTTGAAAATATTGAAACAATCAAGAAAATAGCACTTTGGGTTGCTGAGAAAACGTCAATTGTGTAAAAGTAGTCATTTTTATCCTGCTCACACTGTATATATTTGTGCATGTCCTAATCCCTACAAACAACATGACACATAATATGACAAGAGTACAGATGAATTTGATGGAAATACCGGTTTATTTTCCACCTGAACAGGTATGTCATCCTTTTTAGTTTTATATTAAACCCTTTCAGCATCATTAATAATGTCAAAATACTAAAGAAATAGCACAAATAAAGGATAATTGCACAGTGGGCTTACAGTCATGGACGTCGCGAGGGGGGGGGGGGATGAGTTCATCCCCCCCCCCCCCCCGGAAAAGCCAAACAAAACAACAAAACAAAAAGAGAAAAAAAAGAAAAGAATAAGAGGCGCCAAGTCATAGTAGTGTAAATTTAATGAGTGGGGGGGGGGGGGGGGCAAAAATGTCCCTGCCCCCCTCTAAAACTGAGAAATCAAGAATATGTTGAGAAATACAGGAATTTTTGGGGGAAAACATGTTTTGCCCCCCTCTAGAAAAAAATCCTGGCGACGCCCATGCTTACAGAAAAATGTTTCACTGTTTGCAGTACTTGTGTACAGGATGAAAAATGACCACTTTTACATAATTGGCATTTTCTCAGTCACCCCCACAGTGCTGTTTTAATGATTTTTGTTTCAGTATTTGAAAGAAAAAGCACTCAGCTTTCATCTGATACCCAAAACATAAAATCCACAGATCCCCCTTTTTTTTTTAAAGGCAAATGTTTTGGGGTTGCATTTTTTAGGGGTCACCCTGTATAATATCAAAAGTGTCCGCCCAGGCAAGAGAGAATCTGTCAATCCCATGTCCAAAAAATCGCAATCCTTTTTCCCCCCAGGTTGAAGTTTGCACCGTGTATGACTGCCTCCTGAGCAACGCCACCTTCACCACCACCCTAGAGGCTCCCCCAACCGGGATGACGCCCCCTAACCTGAGGGTACTGGGGTCTAGCGTCATAGACGTCAACTGGGTGACCCCGACCCAGCCCAACGGCATCCTCCTGCAGTATGAGCTGTACCGTAGGGCTTACACAACCTGTGATGAAGAGTAAGTCATTTCAAATCTCTTCACTGCTCCATTATTCCCCATACTTCTATTGGCACCATGCACAAGTACCCCCTCAACGGTAAGATAGGGAGAGTTGGGGGAGACCACTGGGAGAGACATTCGAACGTATAGAACATTATCATCTTGCGGCCATCTTGATTTTTTTTTTTCCCATTCAAATCAACGTATCCAAAGCGAGGCTGGAAGGAAAAATAGTCTGGTTCCTTTTTGCCCAAAAAATATTATCATTCAGTACTGTTAGTGGATACAAGGAACATGACTGAAATGGTGGCAGCATTATAAGGCCCCCCAAAAAAGTCTCCGGTTTCTGGTATGGAGCTTGCCTAAAAAGTGGTGCGGCGACGCGGCTTTTTTTTTTTTTTTACCTGATTTTTTTGCTTCAAATGTCGGCTGATGACTGCAAATGATGCCCGACTAAACTTAGTGCAAATATCGAGAGAGGCCACATAAAGCTTATTCTCAAACATAACCCAATCTAAAAACACGTTAAAATTGTACAGCAGCAGGATTCCAGTCAAACCAGCGAGTTTGGCGGTTTTGAGACATCATCTTTCATTGAAAAAAAACCTTGTTCATTTTGCCGACGCGCATGGCTACGGCGACGCGCGTGCATACCAGAAACCGGAGACTTTTTTTTTTTGGCCTAAAGTTCTATTGCCAATAATGCAAAGACGCTATGGCTTTGTGCACATTTAGAATAAAATTAGCCTTGGGTACTTAGAGCTACATGCGCGCGAACCAGTACGGTGTGTGCCGTCCAAGGGGCTCTTGAAAGTGGTGATAAAGCGCCCTCTCAGTTAGTGCACGGAGCCAATAAAAAAACAACAGCATACAAAATATGTGGTTGGATCCCGCACTGTGGCTCTGAAAGATATTTGTATACCTTTCCATTTTCCATTTGCATAATTAGAAAGAGTGCACTTTTTAGATTATTTATTGGACAGTTTGACATTGCGACAAGCATGGATGCCATGTGGGTGAAAAAAATGAAATTCACTTCTGTTAAAGACATAGTCCATCATTTGTAATTTGTGCATTTTGTTCGTTTGAAGCAACAAAAGTTTCAAAATCTAATGAAGGATACTGAACAACTAACCTGATGAAGTTTCAGCTCAGCTTCAGCTGTATATTCCGAGAAAAACAGCATTCTAGGATCTCAATTCAAATCAAAAGTTGCTTAATCATGTTTTGAATTGTTTTGAATTGCAGCTTTACGCGATGTCGCGCACTGATCCAACGAATTATAGCAACCGCGCGCGCCTGTGCGTCGTGCCAATGCTTGCGAGCGCTGCGCCGAATAACAAAACGAACTACTAATTTCAATTTTCCTACGGTGCTTCTTAAGACGCACCGTTGGAAAGGCCTTTTTTCGTTGATTTCTTCAAAATGAGAGCTTGCCAGAAAGAATAATTTCACAGGGAGTTTAGTTCCCTTACTATTTTTCAACCAGTATGTTTTTCAACAATAATTACGCCAGTTACTTATTTGGATAGCTGCAAATGATGGACTGATGCTTTATTAAAGCAGGGTTGTAGTTGAGACCATCACAAGTCCAGTCGCAAGTAACAGTGGATGAACAATAACAAGGGAGTGCCTTTTTTCAAAGTTCATTTGAATAGCTTGTGATTTGAATTGGGACTGGAGGACTTGTGATGGACTTTGGAGGGATTGCCAGGGCCTTGTGATGGACTTGACTACATCCCAGCTGTCGAGTCATATCCTTGTATCTAAAATATGCAAAGCCTCAAGCCACATTTACTGCTCTGTTGTTGACCGGATTTATTTGTCTTTTTTACTGTATTGACAGGTCGGGTGGAGGCACAGGAACAGACATATGTTTCTACCTGGAGTGTAGTATCACAGAGAGTGTCTGTGGTAATCAGTGTTATTCCGGCAGTCAGGTAGTGGACTATTTCCCAATTTTTTTTTCAGTATGAATTCAGTTAATTTAGTAAAATTGAAACTGCATTTTTGTTTTGAACTTGTGGAATTTTAGTAACTGGGTTTAAATTGGGCAACTGTAGATGGCAGTGTTGGTTTCAAGCTTACAACTGATGTTGAGTGCACGCAAACAATTTTTTGTCAAGTAAATTTAGACAAACTAGAAGCAAGAGGAACGCAGCTTGGGGAGCCTTTCAGGTGAATGTTGCCTACATTTATGTAAACATTTTCCTAAGGCCAACAAAAAAAAGTCTCCGGTTTCTGGTATGGAGCTTGCCCAAAAAGTGGTGCGGCGACGCGGCTTTTTTTTTTTTTTTACCTGATTTTTTTGCTTCAAATGTCGGCTGATGACTGCAAATGGTGCCCGACTAAACTTAGTGCAAATATATGGCAGTCCAGAGAGGCCACATAAAGCTTATTCTCGACCATAACCCCATCTAAAAACATGTTAAGATTGTGCAGCAACTGGATTCCAGTCAAACCAGTGAGTTTGGCGGTTTTGAGACATCATCTTTCATTGAAAAAAAACTTTTTCATTTTGCCGACGCGCATGGCTACTGCGACGCGCGCGCATACCGGAGACTTTTTTTTGTTGGCCCAAGCCAAACAAAACATTGACCCAGTTGTTTCACATTTAAGTGAGGGTTTTATTGTGCACTTGACCTAAGGTTTGCTGTGAGGGCGTCCTCCACAACCAGCAGCCTTCCTACGAGTGCTGTGGCACCAACTACCTCCCAGCCAGAACCGTGTCCTCAGACGTCTGCTGTGGCGGTCAGTTCCATCCGTACCAGGCTGACCACCAGTGCTGCAGCGGTCAGTACGTCAGCGTGCCGGTCGGTCAGATATGCTGCTCGGACCCCAATGAGGATAGGGTAGCTGTGGGGCCCGGTGATGCATGCTGCAGAGGTGTGCCCTATGACACAGCAGGACCTCAGATATGCTGTGGAGGTACGTTCATTACAATGTTGGATTAGCCCAGGTTGGACGAAGTCTTCATTGCATTACCACTGGCGTCCAGGATGAGAATTCTCTACATAAGACCACCCAAACTTTGGACCAGATTTTTGTTATGTTTTACCTCGTTACAGAAGCTTATTTCATGCCTACAGTTTCTATGTGTCCTTACCTATTGGGCCGCTGGGTTCAGGAATTCCATATGTGATGCTGACCGACAAAATATGCACAAAGCTTATTTATAACCCAAATTTTCAAATAAACCACATAGGGAAACCGACTAGGTGCATTATAGTGTAAGTTGAACAAAGACAATTGTCCTGAGCGGCGTTTGAACCTGCTACCTCCGGATTGCCATTCCTGCATTCTACCAACTGAGCTATCCAGCCCTATGTTGGCGGTTTCCCCATTTAGTCAATGTCTTTGTTCAAGGGGTGCTAGTCAGAACCCATAAACCTGTGTACCATGTAGCCAGGGATTTTGCCCAAGTCACGATGCCAGCAACATGAGCAATGCTGCAAACCTTGGAAATAGCAAACGGGGATCACTCAAAGAGGATACGGCTTCTTAAAAATAATTGCTGTACAAGATGCCCACGACTGCAGATCTTATCCCTTTTTCAATTCTCAGCAATGAAAGTCAAAAGTTGACACGTATTTATCACGTTTAGAACAACATTTGTCCTTGATTTTTATGTCAGCGTTACAATCTCGAATTCATTTGTCAAAAACATTATCCCTTTTTGTCAGTGTTGTTTGGTCCCCTTTTAATCTATACACCTCCAATGTTCAATTAAACTTCAATTCTCAGCAATGAAGGTCAAAAGTTGACACGTATTCATCGCTTTTAGAACAACATTTGTCCTTGATTTTTATGTCAGCGTTACAATCTCGAATTCATTTGTCAAAAACATTTTGAGTAAGACCAGAATAACTTTGAGATTTTAACCACTTGTAGGTACATTCTATGACAAGACGCAGGGACTGTGCTGCCAGATGACGTTTGTGTCCTTTGATGGTAAAAGTATTTTGAGTGTGGCATCTGTTCTTTCTGCCTTGGTTCCTATCCTGTTATTCCTTCTACTTTATTTTGTATTGGTGCTTGGTGGCTTGGCAACATACTTCATTTCTTTTCTGCTTGTGAAAAAGGTGTTTGAATAGCATTGGTCACAGATGTTATATACCACTATCACAGGTGGTAAATGGTTGTGGGTGGCATAGAATGGAAGGCACATAGGATCATTTGCATTTACCCCAAAAGTAACCTACTGAATTCTTTTCAAAAAGCTTACTTGGATTAAAGATCGTACTAGTACTAGACACGCAGTGAAATTATTCCATCTGGCTTGCTGTCATTTAGAAGAACTTAAGAAATTGAGGTGATTTCCAACAAACAGTCAATTGACCGATCCTTGGAAATAATGAGTTCTATAGACGAAACCGTGTTTCGTGATCAAAAGGTTGTGCACGGTTTTCAGTGCTTTCTCAAAAAGTGTAGAATATCACTGAGCTGAAACTTCAACAGGTTAAGTTTTGAACATTCCTCTGTGGATTTTGAGTGGTGTTATTATTGGAAACGAACAAAATGAATGAAAAGCAAATGATCATAAATGGATGTGTTTAAGATTCTGTAATTTTGGTTGGCAGTCGCCGTTGCAGATCATTTCATTTGAACAAGCAGTGGATTTGTGAAAAATGTCTCAAGCCTTGTCCCTGAAAAAAAAAAAAAAAATACTTTTATAAAAGCTCAGAACACTTCATTGGCTGGAATTCTTTTGAATGATGGTTACTTTCCCTTGTTTAAAAAAAAGTTCTGTACTTTCTTGGTAAAAAAAATGTAATATTCCATTCAATAAAATTATAGACAAAAATAAAATGGTTAGATTCATGGCCTAGAACAACATGGCACTCTACATTTCTAAGTAAACTTTATCTTTTCTCTCTTTTACAAAGCGTGTTTCTTCCTTCTGTTGCGTAAACCTGTGCTTTGGAAGCACCTTATCTTGTAGTGTTTTTTTTCACACAGATTTCCTTTTCAGCAGGTATCACAAACTCTGATGTTATTTTGTTTACTAATACACTTCCATTCAAATTTTACATTCTTGGAGTCAGCATTTTGTGCATTTCTATGTTGATGATTTGCCATTTTTCTTGCATTCAAACTATTTATGTTTCCATAAAGTTGTACTTCATGTAAAACTTTGTTTCTTTTTCTTTTCACTACTTTATGTCCAGGTTGTTGTGCTTAAGCAAAGCCAATAATATCTGGGACCCCAAAAAGTTTATACCCAAACTTTCTTGTGATCAAAAGCTAGTGGCTCCCATTTGTTAACATGACAAAGTAGTCTGTTCCATTGGCTTGGTAGCATGACAAATTGGACACATTTCACAAATGAGGATCTCTCTTGGAATCCAAGTTGTGTCCAAATTGATTTATGCACTGATTTGGTGGTGGATTTCTGTTTTTAATTTTCTGTGTTTACTTGAAGTTGCATTCCCCGTGCTATTTTCGGGTTTCATCCCGAAAAATAGGTTCCTTATCTAAATTGCCAGTTTTCTAGCAATACAAAAGTTGGTTACTTTTGAATGAGACATCAACCAAAAACATCGGCCCATGTTTAGTTAGTGAATTATTACTTCACAATTTCAACTTATTGGCTGCCAGACAATTCTTCTGTTCTCGCGGGGTAGGCTGGTTCGTGCCCCACATTCAGTATCGATAATGTACAGACCGAAAGCCAGTCTGTTCGCAAATTTGTGGAAGAGCACAGGGAACACGACTTTAAACATAACTTTCCTTCTCATTCAGTTTTGCACATATACTTCAATGCTTTATTTTATTAATTGCACCCTGTATAAGCCGTGGTTGGCAACATATTTTCCCAAAAAGTCCTCATAACGCCCTCAATACATAATAAAATGGCATGTTTAGGAATTGTGTTGTAATTTTGTTGACAATGATGAATTTCCAATAATCAAATAATATTTTGGTTATCTGTAATAACCATAGAGCTATATTAAATTACTAGAGCGCTAACTTCGTGTACAAAGTAATGCCTGCTGGGCGCATCCATGTTTGTACACAAACCTATGGAGACCTAGAAATTTTGTATGGCTTTTGTACGGCTATTTGCATATCTGCGTTTGTATTCCATACCGGTGCGTCGCGAAGCCAATACGCCCAAACCCAAAATGCACGATCAGCAAATGAGCGTGTCATTTTGCTCTACGCAAACAGCGCAACGCGTGCGCGTATTCGCTGAAGATGCTTTTTGCCTTCACGTTTTTTTTAACCGTCAATGACGCGCTTACGTTGTTTGCGTATGTTCTACTTGCGCGTTGCATGTAGAGTACACTTTCAAAATTCAATCCATCTAATTTCATTATGTTCTACAAACACGCACACGAACTCAAAATGTCTGCGCCCAGGACGGCTTCAAAGCGTCTCTGCGCGCAGGATGACGAGTTAGCGCTCTAGTAATTTAATATAGCTCTATGGTAATAACTCTTCTTCATTTTTGCAATGTTGGACCTTCCATAGTTTTGCAACCCATGGTTGGCAAAATGTGCAGTTTGCCAACCAAGCGTAGAAAGGTCTATAGACCACATTCTCCAAAAACATGCTGGCCCGTGTGATTTCATTATTTTGTTTTCCTGATGGATGACCAGCTATATTAAATACAGTGGATCCGTAAAAGGAAATTGGTCGAAAGCAGCTGGGAAAAAAGTATCACAAAAGTCTGAAGTCTTCATAAAGTTGTAGCCACCAACTTTTAATAAAGCCTCCTCACTGTGACCTCATGTTCAGGTACTTTCCAAGATGGTTTCAACAGCCAGTGCTGTGGGTCTTCTGTGATTGGATCGGACCAGGTGTGTTGCCAAGAGAATGACCTCACCATGAGCTTTAACCCCGAACCTAACAAGGTGTGCTGCGGCATTGAGTATGTGGACCCTGATGTCACTCTGTGTTGCTCATCAGAAACTGGCATCGTCAAGGTAATGCTAAAAGTCCTAAAGGAGAATGTTATTCGCTGGAATAATCGTGACGTCACTTAGAGGTCAACTCGGTGCCAAAAAAAAAACACCCCACCACGATTACTGGTTCACGCACACTGCAATGGCCCAGATTCGCTATGGCTGTCATATATCCGTTTCTTAATTGACTTGATTCTCCTCTTTGAAGCAAAAATAAGCACAGCTGTGCTTGTAACTGGCGTGGTGACAATCTGCTGAGAGGCAGTGAACCATTGTCAGGTACTGATTTGTGAAAATGTTCTATAAAAGTAGGACTTAAAATTGCTGTCTTTGATTGTGTGTATTAAACATACACATGTACATGAAATTTGTCTTCATGGATTGCACGTAAACTGTTGTCAAGGAAGTGAGCCTAACCTTGGGAGGAGGTGACGTCAAACTTTCTCCGCGTATAAGGAGATCTAATCTCTCCGAATTAAAAAAATTCTATTCAGTCTATGTGATTAGGTAACATTGTTGTATGTGGTTCATTTCAATCTTGAAGAAGTCATTGTAAAAAGAATAAAAAGCACAAATGTACACTTGAAACATAAACCCAATACAGCCTGTTTTGCTTTAATATCTTGTGTGCATATACATTCTAGTTAGATATAACTTTGAGGGTTATGATGTCATCGAATTAAAATTTACAAGATGAGCATTAGCCACTCTCATAAATAAGAGAGAGGAAAAAACACACATTCTTGTTCTGTAGTTGTGGGAACGTACACTAGTCTGTACGAGGTATTTGTGGGACCAAAAATGCTGTGGGGACAGCAGAAAGTCCTCATAACTCGGTCCTAATTTGCCTATAAACAATAAAAAACTTCCTCAAAATGCGGTGTAGGCCTACCCACTCATACTTGTGTTTTTACACTGAGGTACACACTACTTTCAGTATGACATTGCACTTGGAAATGTCCTTGATTTAGAGTTGTAATTGAGTCCGTCACAAGTCACTGTGTGTTATTACAAGACAGTGAAAAGTCTCAAGTAAAGTCACAAGCCAATCAAGTGACGCAGCCAAGACATTCCTTTGTAATTGTTAATCAACTCAATTACAGCTCTGCTCTGGTTATTTAAACAAAATTTTTTTGGATTTTGTTTGTTTCTAGGTCCATTCTTATCCTACCCCACAAGCCAAGCGGTCAGCCAATGACCAGTGCTGTGGCGCTGAGAAGATCACCCCCTCACAGGCTTGCTGTAATAATGCGGGCTATAACCCCCTGACGCATGTGTGCGCAGACAGGGGCACCAACGTGGAGGGGAACTGCGGTGGGGGTACGGTGTGCCCAATCAGCCAAGCAGCCACAGCTTACTGCAGCAGGTCAGTGGTCTTAGGAGACTGTACATCCATTCATTGCCATAAATTCTTAAGTACAAATGTTTCCTGATACGTTCTTTTACTACATTTTAGTTAATCTTTTTGTTTTTGGAAATCTATATCTAAAATGTCCTTCTTTGCATCTACAGGGTGACCCCAAAAAAGAACCCTAAAACTGTTGCCTTTTTTTTTACAAACGTGATCTGTGAATTGTTTCGTTTCGGATAGTAGATTAAAGCTGCAAGTTTTTTTCCTTCAGATATTTAATAAATCATGAAAACAGGAAATTTGGTTGCTGAGAAAATGCTAATTTTGTAACTCCATTTTTGGTCCATTCCAATGGCATTACTACAGTTAAGAAACATTCACTTTAATGTGTCTTTCATTTGTGCAATTTGTTTAATAATTTCACATATTTCAATGCTGAAAAGGTTAAAAATGGGATTTAAAAGGATAAGATAACTGTTCGGGTTGAAAATAAAGGTATTTCTAACAAATTATTTAAACTCTTGTCATATTATGAGGCATTCAACTTTTCCTCGGATCTGCAGATTTCCTCATTTTTAATTCTCATGAACGTTACCCTGTATTATCTTTTGTGATTACATACAATTATTATGATTTTTCTGTGCCCTGATGCATTGGTTGGATGATTTTTCTCATGAACTCAGAAAATTAGTATTTAGTCTTAATTGCTGCCAACTGGAGTTGTATTCGTTTCAATCACAAGTCTAGTCACGAGTAACAAGGGATGAGTAATGAAACAGGAATACTTTTTGTGACAGTTCATCGTTACTTGAGGAAATACAATGATGTGTGATTGATTTGTGATAGACTTGAGATGACTTTGATAACTTAAGTATGGGCTTAGTGAACAAGTACCCCCTCAACGGTAAGAAAGGGAGAGTTGGGGGAGACCACTGGGAGAGACATTTGAACGCATTGCTGATGACGCTTACGTGAAGAGGCTTTAGTTTGGCGCACCTTCAGAGTAAAGAAGTTCTGCATACTTTGTGCTATACATGTGCGAACCAGTACATGCATGCAGTGTGTCTTATCCACAGGGCTCTCGTAAGCGGTCAAAAAGCGCCCTCTTTTGTTTGTGCACGAAACCCATTACATGATCCTGTGGTTTTTGCTCGAATATTCATGAATTGAATAGAAATTCATTAGTGGTTTAATATTTTTTTTTCAGGTGTGACTTTGACATGAACACCAATGTGTGTGCCACAATTGACAGTCGGTTCATGCCATCTCCCCCACCCTCTGCTAGCCCCACCCCAGGGGGCAGTGGTGTCTGTCTGACAGCCCTGGATAGTGTCGCTATTACAGGACCCAACACATACTCATATTTGGGTGAGTTGAATGGCGAGCAGGTCACAATCCTGAAAACCTGCAAAGAATAACGTTCTGTCTTTAGCTGTTGCTGGATCCTAAAGCCGGCTTCGGGTTAAAGGGAAAATACAACATTTGCAAACATCAAAAAATAAAAGTACCAAATCATTTTGAAATACCTTGCTGGACTGTTAGTGAATGACAGTGTAAAGCATCCTGTAAAATCATGGCACCTGGTATACTGTCATTTTCAAGAATAGTGGTATTTTTGTATCAATTTCCAATGCTGGTCGGCCGACCAGCGTTGGAAAAAACTGGCTGTTTTTCAAATACTGGCCCCAATTGACCATCGCACTTGTTTGCAATCGATTACACACCTATGAACGGGTACAAGCCAGCTAGACTGGTTCCCTGACCATACAATTCCCCAATGTATGTAAACTGCTCTGTTTCTTCTTATATGGAGTCAGGGAACCAGACTACAGGAAAATGATTGTTTTCTTGGTTTTTATAGCATTTTCGAACCCAAAAGTTCAAAAAAGTAAGTGTAACTATATGTGCTATATATTTCCAACCCCCAAATTCCATCCATTTCTGAAAATTACAGCAAAAGCAAATGATGTATATTCCCTTTAACCTGCAATTTGCTTACACCACAAGGGAACCCGCGGTATCAATCAGAAAAGTCAAGCTCCGGTCATAAAACTGAGAAATTGTGTGATTATCATGGAACAAGCGGCATCTCGACACAGACTAATAGCAGTCATGCTCATGACACCCACGATGCGACGAAGATTCAGAATAAAATTAGATGATCCAGATGGGCACACAATGATGTAAAGTTACACAAGTCAAATGCGATTCATTCGAGCCTGTTGGGAACTCGTTTGGGGCACAGAAGTTCATATTTTTTCTTCTGCGACTCAATTTTATTCAGTGCCTACTGATGCCGATCATCTTAATATTCTCACAGTTGCACTTAGGTCCCCCCAAAAAATGTGACTAACATGTTCCTGACGGTGGTAGCTCATACGCAGCTTGGTCCTGAAAAGTCAGTCACCGACTATTCTGTGACATCGCAAGGTCAACCTGAGAGCGGCCTAACATTGCCCCAATTCCCTTTGATTCTCAATCCACAGATGAGGATCTGCTACCATACACCACCTATGAGTACGCCATCACAGCCCACAACAGTGTCGGTAGTGCCACCAGCGAGTTCAGCAGTGCCCAGACTAACGAGGCTATACCCATAGGGGTAGCTGCCCCAGAGTGGAGAGTAGGCACTGGGGTGTTGGACACGATCGTCCTGACCTGGACGCAACCAGCTTACCCAAATGGTAAAATCATTGAAAAGAGTTCTAAGAGCAGCTCCATCCGAGTAGAAAGTATGGTTTTTCAGCATGTTGCAGTCACTTTAAGTCATATAGACTATAAAGATTTACCCCAACATGTGACCAGAGATTTTCATTTTCTCAAAACAACTGTGTTGTCACGTCTCATTTACATAAAATGAATAATAATTTCTTTCAAGTGGCAAGTAGTTTCTTTTTCGACTATCCATAGAACTCTCCATAGAACTCTAAAGCATTGCCAACAGCCAAAGTGCAGGAAGGTTTTGGAAAAACTGAGCAACCAGTCACATATTTCTTTTCAAAATAACTAGATTCACAAATTTTTAGTGTTTAGCTATTACTTGATGATGTTGTTATATAATTTTTTTCAAACCAAAAATTCTGTGAACCATTTCCAGTCAATCTGCTTTATTCTTTTTAGTGAATGATTTAGTATTTAAATCTAATAATTAATGTGGCCTGACGTTGCGAACTTAGCAAGTTCTTCTTCAGAGGCTAAAACAGAAATGACAAAGATTATACATTAACATGGGGGTGCACACAAACATGCAGGGCTGAAAGAAGAAACACAAAAAGGAGGATTAGGTGTGAAAGGTGTGGAAAGATGCAGGGGAGGGTGGATGAGAGAACAAAGAAACAAAGGGAGATGGCAAACCACAAGGGGTCTGGTGTAAACAGGGGAGAGACCAGAAAGGGGAAGGATCAAAGGTCACAGGGAGTGGGAACGGACAAAAGAGTGTGAGAGTGAAGGGGGATGATGCGGGGGGGGGGGGGGGGGGGGGGGGGAACAGTATGGAGGTGGAAAGGGATGAAAGATGGGGGAAGATGGGTAAACACAAACAAGGAAGACCAGGTGGATTATCTGTAACAGAAGGCAATGGAGGAAGAAAAGGATTAATCATTTCCGAGTTGGATGTTGAGACCATGTGGTTGAATAGTTCGAAGACAATTCATCCACACTTTCTCTCTGCTGAGGCGAACTGAGTCCTTGCGATGGCCAAGAGATTCAATGCCCTGCAAAATCATATCAGAAATGGAATGGTTAGGCAGGTTGAAGTGATGACCAACAGGGGTGTCTAGTTTCTTGGTGTTTACTTTGAATTTACTCTTTGAGTTGGGATCAGGGTGACATAGCAATGCTTCCTCACTTTCAACCACTGTGACCCTGGTTCAATTCCTGCTCAGGGCAGAAATACTGACTGGCTTTTCATCAGTCCCTTCCTGATTCTGTCAAATTGTTCTCTGAGGGTTTTCTTCTCGCCTTCTGTCCCCACCTCCCATCAAAGGATCCTACTGGAAATATGTTGCAAAACCTTTGTGGTCCATCCAGACTGAATGCCAAATTAGAAAAAAATGATGAGTCCTGACTCTTAAAGTACGAACCATTCTGCCATAGGTGTCATCACAACTTACATCCTACGACGTGACAACATTGAGATTTACCGCGGCCTCGACACTTCGCTAGACGACAATCGAGGCATTCAGCCCTACCAACATTACACTTACGTACTCGGTGCCTGCACGAGCATCGGATGTGCCAACAGCGAGCCGGTCAGTATTCCATGGCTTTTCCCAAGGGTTTTATTTTTGCATTTCACAGATGTTTTTATTATGTCTTTCGTGGATGTCGTTAACATTCAAGTTTGAGTTTATTATCAACTAGCCCAGGGTTCAATGAATAAGATCTTGCTCATGTTTGTGAAACATTGGAAATGAAATTCTTCATCCCATTTGAGATTTTGATTTCTTCCCTGTAGCATGCATGACATGGACGAACTATATTTTGTTTAATCAACTGATTCATTTTTTTGTTCATCTAAAGGTTAAATGTAACTTTTTGTTGCAATTTCATTTAAATTTTAATACGTCCACCCAATACTATTGATGCCACTAAAATCCTTAATGCCAGCTTGAAGATTTTTATTTTAAAGTTTGCTGGGAATGTTTTTCATCCATTTATCTAAAATTACTATAAATATTAACACATTGGAGAAAATTATTAATAGTTGATAACTATGTTGTGCATAACAATGAAAAAGTTACACTGACCTTCTCCCTCCTCTCGTTTTCACAGGTGATTGCCGCAACATTACAAGACGCGCCAGCTAATCTCTTTGATCCAACGGTCACGTCCCTGGATGCCAACACCATCCAGATCACATGGCGGGAACCCGGGAGACCCAACGGTGTCATCCAGGAGTATAGAATCACTGAGGCTGGCACAGCGGACCCTATATATGTGGGAGACGCGACGGTGTTTGAGTTTCTCCACGGTGGTGAGCAGAATTTACAGCCTTTCATTCCTCTGGAAAGTCCGAGTACAAAGAATTTGTCCTTGGGTTCCTGCACAGAGGTGGATATAGGAAGTTTCGGCAAGTTTCCAAGTGAAATATGCCATGCCAGTTTGGAATAAAATAGTTTTTATGAATTTGAAATATTTGGAAGTTGTGCATATCACAATCAAAATAGAATTTCACAATCAAAATATAAATGGTTTAATTTGACAAACTTAGACAATCCTTTTCAAACAATAGTCGGGCAAGAGAATTTTCATCTGGCTTTTAATAAAATCATGAACCACAGTCTAAATTGAACTGGGCATCAAGCTTGAGTAACTGTGCATCTTCCATATAAGATTTGAGGCTTTGCATGGTGGAGTATCATTATTGTTTCGGTTTGCGGTAACACCATGTGGTAATAACTACTGCTTAGAAGATATTTAGTTCGGAAAAGAACTTGTCCTACTTATTATCAACTTTCACTATAGTTTTAGTTCTGATAAGAGCATCTTCCAGCTTAACACACAGAAGTTTCCAATTTGAGTTTAGACCTAAAGTCTGAGAAACAAGATCACAACCGATGTGTTTATGTTGACTTTTTTTCCAGGTTTGTTTCCATACACAAGTTACACATACACCCTGGTTGCTTGTACATCAACAGGCTGCACATCCAGCAATCCCATCAGCATCACTACACCTGAAGCACCCCCACAAGGTAAAAAATGATTTCTCAAGTGACAACTATTTGAAAGGCATTCCTATGTCACTGCTCTTTCCGTTTAAAATATTAAATACATTTTTTTTTTTTTTTTTTTTTTTTTCGCTGTAAAATTGTATGTGTAAATCTAGTTTTATCATTATAACTGTATTTTTTAGTGTTCTGTTTTGGAGCTTTCATCAATGTTTAGACATGTACATTTTCCATTTTTATCTTTTAAATGGACAATAAATAAATAAATTGGAATTGGTTTTGCTTTAACCTCAAATATGTGATTGACTTGAGATTTGATTTGTAACTTAAAGGTACAGTCCATCATTTGTCATTTGTGCATTTTGTTTGTTTGGAGTAACAAACGTGCTCAAAATCTAAAGAAGGGTGCTGAACAACTAACCTGATGAAGTTTCAGCTCAGCTTTAGCTGTATATTTCGAGAAACACAACATTCTAGGATCTCGATTTCAAATCAAAAGTTGCTGAATCGTGTTTTGAATTGGGCCTGAATTCAGCATCTGAGACACGTTCTAACTGAGCCGATTGCAGCTACGCAATGTCGCGCACTGATCCGACAAATTATAGCAACTGCACGCGTGTGTGTGTCGTGTCAACGCTTGCGTGCGCTTCGCCAAATTAAAAAAACGAACTACTAACGGAAATTTCCAACGGTGCGTCTTTAGACGCATTGTTGAAAAGGCCTTCTTTCGTTGATTTTTTCAAGATGACAGCGTGCCAGAAAGAATAATTTCACAGGGAGCTTAGTTCCCTAACTATCTTTCAACCAAGTATGTTTTTCAACAATAATTGCGTCAGCTACTTTTTGGACGGCTGCAAATGATGGACTGCAGCTTTAATTGTGATGGACTTAAATCTAACATTGTAACTCATTATTGTTAAAGATGTTCCATGAAAGGTAAGTAACTTATTATGGATAGTCATCACTAACAATGTGGAAGTTACTTTGATGATCAAAATGGAAACTAGCATATGACACTTGTTCGTTCTTTCATTTCAAGGCGTGTCCAGCCCAGTCCATGTTGTGGTCAGTGCTACCATTCTGGAGCTCTACTGGTCCCCGCCGGCTGTTCCCAATGGCATCATCACTTCCTACCAGCTCTACCGCTTTGACCGGCTCGTGTACACTGGAAGCCAATCAAGTCAGGTGTTCACCGACACCAACCTCTCTCCAAACACTCGCTACGAGTATACACTCCGAGCGTCTACATCTGCTGGCGGCACCAATAGCTCTGTCTATGCCTGCCAGACTCCGGAGAGCACTCCAGAGGCTATCCCGACTCCTAGTCTCACCGTCCTGAGCTCTACGTCAATCCGAGCCTCCTGGCAAGCACCTGCCATCCCAAATGGAGTCATCAGAAGGTACGGTGTTGTCATACTCAGCGGCACCCCAGAGCAGAGGCCCTATTTCAGTGGCTTGGCTACCTCCATCGTCATCAGTAACCTGACCCCTTTCAGGCTTTATGACGTCCGAGTCGAGGCGTGCACCGACGGGGGATGCGGGCACGGACCCAAGGCTTTTGCCCGTACCTTTGAAGCTCCTCCCCAAGGGCAGGGAGAGCCAACTTTGGTCGCTACCGGACCCACTGTCATCGAGGTGTCCTGGAACCCTCCGACAAACCCCAACGGGAACATCACCAGGTATATGGTGTATCGGCGGCAGTACGGCACTGCCCAGCTCTACCTTGTTTACCAAGGTGACGCAGCTCAGAAAAGCTTCACCAATGCAGGAGGTGGCCTGTCACCATTTACTCTCTTTGAGTACCGAATCACAGTGCACAACTCCGAAGGGATGGACGAAGGTCCCTGGGCTAATGTCCGCACCCTAGAGGCCCCTCCACAAGGTGTGGCCCAGCCAGAGCTAGTAGCCGTCAGCTCCTATGCCATCATGGCCAGCTGGCAGCTAACTGCCTTCCCAAATGGACTCATAACAGCATACCGGCTGGAGTACCAGGAGCTGTCCAGTGATCCAACCCTGCCTAACCCGGTTGTTCCTGCCGCAACTGTTGAAGGAAGCCTCTTTCAGACCACTTTTTATGGTCTGTCCCCATTTACTTCGTACCAGGTGCGCATCGTGGCTATCAATGGAGCTGGGGAGACGGCTGGGCCTTGGGGCCAAGTCACAACCCAGGAGGGGGTGCCAGCAGAGATCGGAGGGTTCACAGTGGTACAGCAATCAGATGGCCGGTCGCTGGTGTTACGTTGGCCGGAGCCTGGACAACCCAATGGACACATCCAAGAATACCGTATCTACGAAGACGTTTACCTCATCACACCCATCTATGTCGGCCTGACAAGGGAGTACCTCTTCCGACGTTTGGATCCGTACACAGAGTATGTCGTGGTGTTGGAAGCGTGTACAAGCATTGGTTGCGGGCGAGGCCAACCACAAACTGTCATAACAGCAGAAGTTGCCCCTGCAAACCAAGCCCCGCCCACTGTTGGGGAAATCACATCAGCGTCAGTGCAGCTCCTCTGGAGCCCACCAGTCAGTGCTAATGGTAGGGTTCTCCGGTACGACATTGTGAGATGCACAGCAACCTCAAGCAGACGTAGACGTGACACCGACTCCAGTCTTTTCACCGATACTCGAGTCGTCCACCAAGAGTACAACACTGATGCTGATGCATACAGCTTCACAGATTACTCCCTGCAGCCGCACAAGCTGTATGAGTACCGCATTGTGGTTGTGAACGCCGTCGGTCAGGCTGAGAGTTCCTGGGTGTCGGTGCGGACCGAGGAGGCATCCCCAGTAGGAGTGTTGCCTCCAGTGGTTTCACATGTGGCCAATGATCCCACCACCTTGCAGATCCAGTGGTCCGAGCCATCACAGGCCAATGGAATCATCACTGGTTACTTGTTGGGGAGGAACGACAGTGCTCCATTCAGTTTTGAGAGTGATGCCCCCAGGCAGTTCACAGATCGGGGCTTGATGGCCTACACATTGTACGCCTACACCGTCACTGCATGCACAGGCGGTGGCTGCACAGAGAGTGACCCAACGTACATCCGGACTCTGGAAACAGCTCCAGGAAGTGTGGCACCTCCAGTGGCTGTCCCGATCAGCTCAACATCCATCCAGATTAGCTGGACAAGCCCATCCCTGGATGCCGGAGAGATCATACGCTACGACTTGAAAACGGACGGGGTTGTGGTTTACTCAGGCTCGGGTTTGGAGCACACTAGTACAGGCCTAGTTCCGTATCAGGAGTACTCCTTCACAATCTCTGCTTGCACAGCAGGAGGCTGCACTGAGAGCCTTCCGACACTTAGCAGACCTTTTGAAGCTCAGCCTGTTGGTATGAATCCACCCGTTCTACGAGCTCTTAGTGCCATCTCAGTTGAGGCATCTTGGATAGAACCAGACATGCCCAATGGCTTGATCCTCCGTTATGAGCTGCGTCGGGACGGCAAGCTTGTCTATGATGGTGATGCCACAAGGTTCCAGGACTTCGGCGACGGGGGTCGGGGGTTGACTCCAGGACAAGAGTATTCTTACGTGGTGACAGCTTTCAACAGCCAGGGACTAGCCATCAGTGATCCAGCGACGGTCTTGACATCGTCTTCCTCACCTGCTGGTCTGAACCCTCCCGACCTCACAGTTCTAACCTCTTCTTCCATCCGGGCAACCTGGCTACCCCCCATCTACCCAAATGGAGACATCCAAAACTACACCCTTTATGTAGAGGGAAACATCCTATACTCTGGAAAACAGTTCAGTTATGACGTCGAACGACTGCATTTCTTCACCGAGTATGAATTCCGCATTGGGGCCTGTACCTTGACTGGATGTGCCCTGAGCGACCGTGCCCATGCCCGCACCCTGGAGAATGCCCCCAGTAACCAGCTAGCCCCTACCCTCACGCCCCTCACTGACAACCTAGGAGTTGCCAGCGGTGTGCTGGCAGAATGGGGTCTGCCGCAGAATCCTAACGGCCTGATCCTTGGCTACAAGTTGTACCGTCGTCGCGTCTACCGCCAGACAAACAACCGGGACGATCCAGTGTTGATTTACGAGGGTCCCAACACCAGATACACCGATCTGGATCCCACCCTGGTTCCAGACAAGACCTATGAGTACATGGTGACGTCTATCAACTCAGAAGGAGAGACATCAAGCTCATGGGCACCGGTCAGAATGCTGGAAGCGCCACCAGAGGTAAGTCATCCTTGAAAGCCTCCTTGGTTAAACTGCTCAAGACAGAGTTTTTAAAAGTGCAACTCCTTAATTTGCTCATGCTGGTCCACATTTTTAGTGTCTTCCTTCATGCCAGGCTCCAATTTGTGATGGACTTGTGCAGCCAATTACATTTGCCTTTTGCTAACAGTGCCTCCTTCCACAGCAAAAAGCATACGAACTTCAGCGGTAGAAATGTGCATTGAATAATTTACACAACCATAGAGCACTCCAGGTGCATATAATCATTAGCACAATCTTGCCATGAAATACACTTATGGTTAATACCAAATGTGATGTGATCAAGCTAAATGAGTCATTTGTCGGGAATATTTCTGTGGAGATTTCTGTGGAGATACAGGCCAAAATAGGGCCACTTCATCACTTCACAGCAGTAATGCTGAGATTGTGCTCTTTTGAAATCTGTAATAAAATTTTTTTGACCAGGGTCGACAAACGACTCATGTAGTTTGATCGCATCACAAATGTCTGAAATATAATCACGTTGTTTTCACCTGTTATTCAGTGCCTGACAGTCTGGCACTGTTGTCATTATATGAAAGGGACATTACGGCCTAGAATACGCCCAATTGGGCCACAAAACACATTTTAAACGAAATGATATTAAATGGAAAGGGCTTTTAAAAGTAGGATATATACGTCTACACAACCATCCTTTAAAAAGTGGGCATATTTTGTGTTATTCTTGCGAGAACATGCAAGAACGAATTTTCGGGGTCACAATTTTGTCCCGAAAAATCAAGCTGTTCATTGCTAGTTGTGATTCCAGCTGCACAGTGGTCACCTTCTGCGGACGTGTAAAAAACAACATTTGTGTATTAGTGCTGTGTGTAATTTATGTGACACACACAGGGTGTATCGTACATTGAATGAAAACTACAGGAAAAACGCATACGTACTCCGTCATTTCCACTGTCCCAGGGTTTTTTCCGTCCTTCTCGGGAACGGAACTAGACGTTTTAAAGAGTATTAGTAAACAATCCAAAACATGAAATTTCAGGGATTTCAGGTCGTAATGCCCCTTTAAATAATGTTTGATGCCTTCTATTTGTAGGGCTTACAACCACCCCAGTTACAGGATGTTGGACCTACCACCCTGACAGTCAACATCCTTGTCCCCAGCCAACCCAACGGTGATATCTCAAGTTACACAATCATCAGGAATGGAACAGAGGTATGGAACCGAGACTGAGGTTATTCTGTGTTTTGATTTTTTGGGGGGTTTCAGAAAGAAGTTGAGACTGTAGCGATTCACATTATAGTGTTTCACTAAAAGATTACTGCAGTAAAGTCTGTCACGAGCATATGACTCATCAGGCCGGCGTTTATCTCTGGTTTCCTAGGCATGAAACGACCGAGGATTTTCCTTTTCCCCCTGGATTGGATGCCAGTCCATCGCAGGTTGCTCCCCAGCTAATGCCAGTGTCATATGAAAATCCGACTCCTATGAAAATCCGACTCTTTTTCCCTATTATTGGTTACTCCCTCGCATGTGACAGGTCACTCTCTCACTATGATCCTAAAATGGCATATTATCGTACTTAGGCATGCGCGATACTACCAATGAGTCCATAATTCATGGAGTCAGATATTCACGCTACACCAGTACCCATTTTATACTCCTGGGTGGAGAGAGGCTAGTGGGGGTGAAGAGGCTTGCCCAAGGACACAACATTTGACCAGCGGCTGGATTCGAACCCCTGACCCTCTGATCAGGAGTCACGAACCCTAACCACTAGGCCACACTCCCCCTTATAAAAGGTTACTACAGAGATGCCATGTTTTTGCAGCAAGTCATGGGGAAAAGTGTAAACAGCCATTTGTAGATGAAACCAAATGGTTTTCAAGCTTGCACTTGCGGACTCAAACTCAGCACTTTTTGCTTTTTTTTTTGAGGCACAGGATCCAGATAGTATTTTTTTCTCTGAATGATGATTAAACATTTTAACTGTAAGTAATGCTTTTTCTGTAGTACCACACAAACCATAAAGGACGCATGATTATTAAACGGTAGGGCATTTTATAAACAGAGATTTTGAGATAAACACGTCATTGCACACCCTATTGCGAATCACTTCTGTTTTCAAAGTTGGCCTTCAAAAATTAACTTTATGGTCAGTCATCAGAAAGCTAAAGTAAATATTTTATTTATGATGTAGTGTCTTGAGCCACCAATATTATTGGATAGGGGCACAGTATTAATATAAGTTATCCCGCGAGCGTGAGTGGAACACGGAACAACAAGGCCGAGGCCTAATGCACGTGCGTGTTGTACGGATTGGCACGCGCATCTTAGAAAAGCGCAATACGCGGAGTGCGGTATGGACCGAGGCCGTGCTATGATTATATGTAGCACGGCTTGTTGCCATGGATCGACCAATCAGGATCGAGGATTCAAGTTTACTTGAAGATAATATGCAATATGATCTGTCTCCTTTAGCTGATAATCACCACACTGACCAGCTACACCGACGGCCAGCTTCAGCCTTACACCGTCTACGCCTACTCAGTCCGTGCTTGCACAGCAGGGGGATGCATAACCAGTGAGCAGGCCACAGTCAGGACCAGCCAGGCGCTGCCTAGCGGTATAGCTCCACCGGCAGTCACTGAAGTGGGAACAACCTGGATCCACGTAGCCTGGGATCCACCCGCCGAGACCAACGGAATTATCATCAGGTTAGCATCAGACTAGTAATGGGCATAATTTCGCTTCTTATTTTAGAGGCATATAGGATCATTTGCATATATCCCAAAAGTAACCTTCCAAAATATTAACAAAAAGCTAACTTGGATTAAAGATCATACTGGCACTAAACACCCCGTGAAATTATTCTGTCTGGCTTGCTGTCATTTAGAAGAAATCAAGAAATGAAGCTGAATGTCAACAATCAGTCAATTGACTGATTTTGGGAAATAAACAGTGCTATGGACGAAATATAGTTTCGTGATCAAAAGATCCACAGAGCTGAAACTTTGAAAAGTTCGCTTTTGAAAATTTTTCTTTGGATTTTGAGTGGTGTTATTATTGGAAATGAGCAAAATGTATGAAAAGCAAATTATCCTTAATGCCTTTAAATACAATTAGTTTGAAAAAAAGAAATGAGGACACTCAATACAAAAGTTGCATGCATGCAGGGATACAGAGAAACATTAATGCACTGGAAAGAATTCACTTGTGTGTTCCTTCATGTAATAATCCGAAATCTTGTTAAAATAAATGTACACAACTTTTTTTTGTAATCAGATAGGGTATTATGTTTTACAATGGCTTAGATTTGTTAATGTGGCATGCCATACTTTCACTTAGTTTACTACAAAATAATTTCCAAACAAGAGTAGTCTGGTTCCCAGACCAAAAGATTCTGACTATTCCCGATGAATTTTAGGTCCGGTAGCCTCCAGTAATACATTGTATTACAATACGTCACGTGACTAAAACGGGAGGAATTCCTCCTTTTTCTGAAAATTTCCGAAGTTTGCCAAATTTGTTTTGTCGACAATCGGATAGCGCCTGAGTATTTCCGAATATAATATAGGTTTAATTAACTGCTAATTGCTTATTATTTTTTTTTTCAAAGAGTTGATAATTAAAATTCATTGCTTTCATTTAGAAAACTTGAAATTCAACGACGATTTTGTGCATCAAATATACTTGGATCATATGGGCGAACTTTTTGCTGCGTCATGTACAATTTTGAATTTGACGACCGTTACTGAGATTTTCCAAAACTCGGTCTTCATTCGGCTCCGCCTGCTAACAGTGCTATTTGGGAGCCTAATTTTGAAGATTCCAGATCAACATTAGTCAATGTTATCTTACAGAAACATCAAACTGTATTATCATAACTGTATGATATTACGAAGCAAGTGATTTACTTAAAAATTTGATCAGATCGAACATTAAAAGCTAAAAGTGATAAAGCGAAATCGGAAACGAAGCCGAGCTTTGAAAAAGGGCCATGAATGTCGTCATGTTTATTTTTAGCCACGGAGGCTGCCTGACCTAAGATTCATCAGGAATAGTCAGAATCTTTTGGTCTGGGAACCAGACTACAAACAAGTGTTGTCCTGCCCTTAACCATTCGGTACTTATATGGAAACACTAACCCTTTTAAATTAGGGTTTTGGGAGGATTTTGCAGGATTGAAGGGTGTGGAGCCAAGCCCTTAATACTTTACACTAGATCATGATGCCACTTTGAAAGTTTGAGCACAGGGAATGTGCCATTAGTTTTTCCAGCTCAGTGGTGGCAAGTTTATGTAACAGTCTACATATGGATTCATAATTTAATTGAATATCATAATACAGAATATTACAAAATTTGTAAAAAAGTTTTTTTGACATACAGGTATGAGCTTCACATGAGAGCGTCCTGCCCACCCACCAGCCAGCCCTTCAGCCAGCCCTGCACAGAGGCCGGCTATCAGAGGATAGACAAGGCCCTAGCGCTAGCCCACAATGCCACAGGGCTGCGGCCTTACACCAACTACCAGTTCATAGTGATGGCTTATAACAATGAGGGTGCGGTCCAGTCACCGGATAGCATACAGGCGACACTGGGAGCAGGTATGTGGCAGGCAAGATAGATGAAACGAGAGTTCCTGTGGTTTGTTTTTGTTTTGACAGAAGTTGTGACAGCGCTGTGTCTCACCAGGTTGAGCAACCATCTTACAGACAATACACAGTTCTACTTGGGGAGGGTTGGGTAAAATACAGGGTGTTTTAAAATCAGTTCGCCCTGGAGGACGTGTATACACGCAAAGGTTTTGCGGTATTCGGAACGTATGACGGATGAACACACAGGGAGCGAGGCCGGAAATATCTGTCAGCGACTTGATCGCAGCGAGCGAGGCTGGGAATATGAGTGTGCTGTCCGAGGGTGATGGCTTCAACCTGCCTGGCTTGAGGTCAAGTGAAAAGTAATCCCATGCCTCGTTCTGTTCTTGTCAAAATATTCCCAGCGTGAACTGGTTAAAAGAAAATGTAGCATTAAGTCCATAAATATTTAAAATACTAGCACTCTCTTTTTGTAAAATTTATCTATAGAGTCTGAAGGTGTAGTAAATACTCTACACAATGGTCTTTATCCCATCTCAATTCGACACCCCAGTCCAGAGATACAGCTAATTGAATAAAAGGACCTGAATCCCAAGTTGGGCCATTTGGTATCTAATGAAAGGCATTCACATACCAAGAAGGTGAAGAAAGTTGCCCAAACATATTTTGACAGTCTTTGTCTTTGTTTTGTCTAATATGAGTTTGGCAGTTCTACGAATTGTCAGTGCCTTTGTTTGATTGTCATTTTTTTTTTTTTTTTGGATACAGTTCCAGAATACGTTCCTGAAACCAAGCCAGCCATCTTGACCAACGCCACCAGCAGGCTGATCAGCGTCAGCTGGGCAGGTAGCTTCCGACTCAACGGCATGCTGACGGAGTACCAGCTGACGGAGAATGGAGATGTGGTCTATAGCGGCATTGCCACCGGTGTCAGGCGGCCCCTGAAGGCACAGCGTACGTACATGGCCATGGTTTACACTTGGCAGATTGATAAGCAAACAAGCTTCTCAGACCAGGGCCCAATTTTATGGTGCTGCTAACCACAGAATTCCACGCTTACGATCACCATTCTTTGCTAACAGCGCTAACAGAACAATTATGCGCTAACCCTGTAAGCACATAATCCTTAGTTGTGGGATGTATGCATGCGCAGAAGCAAAAATTCCTCACCTACCCATGAAATATGCTAACCGTAAGCAAGAATGTTCTGCTACACTAAGCAGAGGTTTTTCACTAACGGTAAGCAGAACCATGAAATGAAGCCCAGACTCCATGGCACCATTTTGTGATACTTTTGGAACACACCAAGTGGCTTATTGTTCAAAGGTTTGCATAAGTATGATATCATTTTATTAAAGCTCTGGTGTGATTAAAGATATAGTCCATCATTTGTAATTTGTGCATTTTGTTCGTTTGAAGCAACATAAGTGTTCAAAATCTAATGAAGGATACTGAACAACTAACCTGATGAAGTTTCAGCTCAGCTTCAGCTGTATATTCCGAGAAAAACAGCATTCCAGGATCTCAATTTCAAATCAAAAGTTGCTGAATCATGTTTTGAATTGTTTTGAATTGCAGCTATACGCGATGTCGCGCACTGATCCGACGAATTATAACAACCGTGTGCGCCTGTGCGTCGTGCCAATGCTTGCGCGCGCTGCACCGAATAACAAAACAAACTACTAATTTAAATTTTCCTACGGTGCGTCTTAAGACGCACCGTTGGAAAGGCCTTCTTTCGTTGATTACTTCAAAATGACAGCTTGCCAGAAAGATTCATTTCACAGGGAGTTTAGTCCACTTACTATCTTTCAACCAAGTATGTTTTTCAACAATAATACGCCAGTTACTTTTTTCGGATGGCTGCAAATGATGGACTATAGCTTTAATGTGTGTTTTAGACTTCTTAGCTGATTGGTTGTCTTCTATTAATTTGCTAGACTCACCCTTGATATATTGGCACACTGGCATTGATAAATCATTGAAGTGATGTTTGATTTGTTTGGATCTGTTTCTGCAGAGTACGAGTGGACAGTGATGTGTAAGACCACCGTTGGATCAGTGTCCTATCCAACCATCATATATCAACCACCAGGTAGGGGTGAACTTCGTTTTGAGTGGATGCTAGGTATTCCCCTTGGGTACCATGTTGCCCTCCAGTGAAAAACTAATACCTCTTGTTCACATTATACAGTAAATCTTTGTTAAAGGGAATATACATCATTTGCTTTTGCTGAAATTTTCAGAAATGGATGGAATTGGGGGGTTGGAAATATATAGCAAATATAGTTACACTGACTTTTTTGAGGTTTTGGGTTCGAAAATGCTTTAAAAACCAAGAAAAACAATCATTTTCCTGTAGTCTGGTTCCCTGACTCCATATAAGAAGAAACAGAGCAGTTTACATACATTGGGGAATTGTAAGGTCAGGGAACCAGTCTAGCTGGCTCGTACCCGTTCATAGGTGTGTAATCGATTGCAAACAAGTGCGATGGTCAATTGGGGCCAGTATTTGAAAAAAGCCAGTTTTTTCCAACGCTGATCGGCCGATCAGCGTTGGAAATTGATACAAAAATACCACTTTTTTTGAAAATGACAGTATACCAGGTGCCATGATTTTACAGGATGCTTTACACTGTCATTCACTAACAGTCCAGCGAGGTATTTCAAAATGATTTGGTAGTTTTATTTTTTGATGTTTGCAAATGTTGTATTTTCCCTTTAAGTCACAATCTTAAGGGAATGGATTAAAAAAATGTGAACTATCTGAAGTTTCCCGATTTTTCTACAGTCATGTCATCTGCACGTACATGTATGTACATGAATGGCTTCTACCGACAAACTGCCAGAAACAATGTCTAGGGAATCTTGCAGCTGTTGTGTAATGCGCGCGCACCTGTTTGGCCTAATAGTTGTAGCGCACATTCAAAACTTTTCATAGTACATGTAGTTCCGAACCAAACTCTTAAATTTCTTCTAGTAGCATACAAAATGCAGCAAGACTTTTGTGCAAACTTCATGGCAGCTCTTTTGTGGTAGGCTCCCTATGTAGAACACATGGGGCTGAGAATGGACCGTAATTGCCTGCAGAGGTAGCGCATGCGCACTTGTTTTCAGGGGGAGTCTGTGTGACTATGTGAGACTAGCTAGTGAAATAAGCTGGTTATCATTAGTCAAATATTTCACATCAGAAACCTGGGACAGGCAGGTGTTATCATGATGTTTTGACGGTAGTTTGATTAGGCCCCCCCCCCAAAAAAGTCTCCGGTTTCTGGTATGCGCGCGCGTCGCCGAAACCATGCGCGTCGGCAGAATGAAAAAGTTTTTTTTTCAATGAAAGATGATGTCTCAAAACCGCCAAACTCACTGGTTTGACTGGAATCCTGCTGCTGCACAATTTTAACGTGTTTTTAGATGGGGTTATGATCGAGAATAAGCTTTATGTGGCCTCTCTGGTCTCCCATAATATTTGCACTAAGTTTAGTCGGGCACCATTTGCAGTCATCAGCCGACATTTGAAGCAAAAAAATCAGGTAAAAAACCCCCCCAAAAAAAGCCGCGTCGCCGCACCACTTTTTGGGCAAGCTCCATACCAGAAACCGGAGACTTTTTTTTTTGGCCTTAGAGATCACTGGCATTTTTCTGTAACTCAGCAGCCAAAGTTACATCACAAATCTTCCCCAAGTTGACCAGCGGTCCTTCGCTTGTCTATAACTTTAACAGAAGTTAGTAAACAAACTTAAACTCTTTGAGTCTTTCTCCTTTTTTCTTCACATCAGATTCTCCCAATGCGACGCGAGAGCCCCAAGTGGTATGGTACAACACGGTTTGGTTCATTGCCATCATGGTCCTGGTGGGCGTGGTCATTCTATTCATCCTGATTGCCGTGGTCTTGAGTCGCCTGGGTACGCGCAAGCCCTACGAGAGGGAGCGACGACCGTTACCCCCACGGCAGCAACGCGGCAACTTCACCTTCAACACCTGCGGGAAGTACTCAGAGACGGAGAGCATTCTGGTGAGTTCTGGAGTGCAATTTGGGGGTAACCTAAGGTCATCTGTAATTTGACAAACTTTAGCAAAATGTCAGACTACTTTGGGCAATTACTATTTATAGCCTGATCCAAAGGCACTGTAACATCACTGGATCTCTGGTTGACAAAGTAGGCAGGGAACCAATAAGGGAATAAATGTGTGCTCCGGAGGTTTTTATCACTCTGTTTAAGACTGCTTAGAGTCTGGGTGCTGATAATTACCCGAGCCGGAGGTAAGGGTAATTATCAGCACCCAGACTCTAAGTGGTCTTAAACAGAGTGATAAATACCGACCGAGCACATATTTATTCCCATTCATAAATACCTTTTCGGTAAAAAAAAATTAAATAATTCGTTCAAAAAATTCCGATTTTGTTCAACAAGTTCACTTCATGCTTTTTGAAACATCCCTCTCGCAAAATAATGGAGTGTTCAGCTGGCGAGTAAGATGTAAACAACCCTTTTATGGAGATTGACGCGCGCGTAGCATATTCTGCGTGATGTTGCGCAGAATGCACCTGGGGCGTTGCGTTTTAAATTTAGAACTATAAACTTCTGACTCACTGGTAGTGTTGCGCATGCCTACGTGAGGATTGTGAACGTTCAAACAATAAAACGGTGAGAGGCACTGGATTTTTAGGAGTCCACATTTTATGTGACACTGGAAAAGTGTTTAAGACCAGCTAGCCATGTCTTTATCATCCGTTTAAGACCGGCCACGTGACGGGCTCTCGACCAATAGGAATAGCTAAACTGTCTGAGGTATTTATGAATGACATTTAAATATTGTACCAAGTTGTAATTGCCTTCAAGAGTAGGGAGAAATGCAAGCAATCATTCACTGACATTGTGCATTTTGTCAACATGGTTTAACAAGCAGGCATGCAACTTTTCCTCGGATCAGCTGATTTCCTTCTTTTTTTTTACTTCCCATGTGTGCCATTGAAAATAGAAAAACACTGTACAAAGTCTGGGAAAGATTTGAATTTCCTCTTTTTTTGTGACTTCCCAGTTGCATGCCTGAACAAGGATCCTGTGAGTAGACTGTAATTGGGCATGCATGTTGTTAAGAGGTGGACTCATGATTTGAAACCTTTTTCATGCTTTATCTTGCACTTTGAAATAAGGTTACGCTTTATACGTATTGGATTTCAAGTTAAGAACTTCCCGGATGCATTGGAAAATTGGCCACTGAGAGAGTTGCATATAATAGGCCCATAAATAATTACGAAGTCCTATCCTATCCTAGCAAGTCCATACATAGACAAAATCAAACAAAGTCCAGCCATTGCTGGACACATTGTTGTGCCTTGATGTCATTCTGTGCAAGGTTCACACACAGCAAGGTCTTGTTTTCCTGCAGAAAGCCTGTAAACATTGAAAAAAAGGCCTGTTTCTCTTACCCTGACAAGTACTTCCCTTTCTAGGCATAATACGGATATATGATAGAATAAGTCAAAACAAGGCAGCGACGAGAACACTTCTACCGTGACCCTAATTACGAAGTGATCTCCAGTCAGATTTGAAGTCAAGTCCTCCGAAGTCCATCGCTAGTCCCTAAGTTTCAGGAAAAGTCACTAGCAATTCAAGTGACCAGTGACAAGGGCATTGTTATTGCACACCCAAAGCTCTTGAACCAGACTTGTGATAGACTTGTCGACCATCACTAGTCACTTAGTGTCAGGAAAAGTCACTAGCAATTCAAGTGACCTATGACAAAGGCATTGCCTTTGCTCACCCAAAGCTCTTGAACCAGACTTGTGATTTGACTTGTGATTGATTTGTGATAGACGTATCCACCACTCTGTCTCCAGTGGCTAATGGTTGTCTGCTATATCTCTCCCCAGGACCCCATCCCTCAGGCTGTCAGTCGGTCAGCCAGCATGCACAGCCTTCGCAACGCTTACATCAACCCTACCTTCCTGGATCCTAGCCAAGGGGGCCTGCCCCAGCCTCCGCTCAGCTACAGCCGGGGCACCACGCCGGAGAAGATGAAGCAGCAGTTTGACGACTCGGGCTGGGACAGTCGCGTGCTGCTCCCCAAACAGGACAGTGGCATGGTTAGTATGGCCGATGTAAGTACACTCGTTCACAGGTTTGCTTCTTCTTGGCAGTGGACATCATGAGCTGCTTCTCTGTTCCTGCGGTAGCTTGTAGCTTCAGCCGATACTCTGGTTTGTAGTGAAGATGACTGTATCTTTAGTCAGTTTGTATCTCCTCTGTGCTTCAGTGTATATTTACTAATCAATTTCTTTAGTATGCAACTTTTAGGACTTCTAAATCAGCTGCTCTAGGCACCCTAGTCTCACCGTATCTCACTTGTATAGAGAGTCAGAGAGCGATTTGTGCGTCAGTGTTCTTACGACTCACCAACATTTAAATATTGCAAGCACTCAAATGGGTACACAAATACTGAAATTTGTATCCTTGTGGAGACATTTCTTTGTTCTCGTGTAGTAAAGTTTTCGAGTTTGAAAGTGAAGTTTGAAAATGCTCTTATTTTAACCAGAATTAATTTCCTGGGCTGAAATTCGGATTTAATTTCCCTTTTCTAAAACTCTTCCATTTGCGACAGATCAACCCACCTTGGAAATTCCTAGTTTTTGATTAAAATCCATATACCTATTTCGTGAAATCCTTGTGGAGACGTATACAATCTTTTGTTCCCTATTGTGTGCACGTCTCCAGAGGGCACGGTGTATCAGATCTGCATTCCAAGTGTACTGGAGAACTAGACAGATTGGGTTACAGGGGTGGTAGAATGGCCCTACCTACTGCACACATGGGAAACCACATGTGTGCCTCTCAAATGCCATACTGCATGTCGTATGCATCGTATGCACCTGCAAACATGTAAGACTTTTAGGGCTGGCTTAATGGTTAATCTATTGTCATGGAGCATAGCAATACAAAAGAGATTTTAGGTTTTAGAGCTTTGCCTGTCGTCATATTCTGTCTCCATTCTGTTGGCATCCTGTCTGTGCATGCTGTCCTTTAGTTTTGTGTCTGCCTTCCATGTCTTGTGCTTGGGTATTAATGTTCTATTGCTCTCCTCTTGCTAATTTCTTCCACTGTGGAATTAGTAATGAGTGTGTGATCTTAACGGCTTCACTATCCTATCTTCGGCACTCTTTATGTTGAAAAGTAGATATAAAGCTATGTGTGAAGCAGTATTTCCTTCACCTGTTCCTCCAGTAGCCAGATTGAGTCTAACAACATTGTATTACGTGTACATATTTTTAGGCTCTGGCAGGAGCTTCTACATGTCACTTGTGGTCGATCGGTCGGTCGGTCTGTCCGTCTCTCTGTCTGTCTGTCTGTCCCCGAAAAATAGACCAAAAAGAATTTACTAAATTGATCAAATGCCATGCCGTGGTCCTAAAATGCACTCTTGACAATGGTTTTTGGAACACTAGTTTTGTTTCGATCGATGCGCATGCATTTATTTTGCACGTCTGTCCCCGAAAAAAGACCAAAATAAGTCCCATAAGTTTCCCCACAAAATATAACTGCTAAATTGAAATAAAAAAAAAAAAGCGTACAAAATGAATTTAATACTTAACAAAAATTGTTTGTCACAATTCAGAAAGAAGTTTATAAAAAGCTTGTAAATGGAGGCAAACTATGTGCAGTAATGTTACAGTCACGTGGTATATAGCGCAGCGTGATTTTCGCATGAGACGGCCCGGGCTTGTACGCAAAATCTCCAGTCAACGCTACCGTCCGTTGCACGGTGAAATCATTTGTGCCGGCATGGATGGTACCCCCGTTGCACACGGTCATTTCTTGGCACTGGTGCGGAAAGGAGCACGGCGTCGCATTTTTGGGAGTCACATTTTTTAAGCTCTGGCAGGGATCATTTTGATAGATTTCGTGCAAGACTTTCATGCAAGATCACTCAAGTTCACTCACACTTCTTTATTCCCTAAAGAATCAGTATGTCCACAGAGTGCTTGTGTTATTAGGGGTGGTACAGTGATAAGCAGGGTGGTTTCGGATGGTACAGACTACAGGGACTACAATGTAATAGGTTAAACTAATGTTGAATTATCTTTCTTTTTTTGACCTTCTCTCTTTCTTGTAGGGTTTTGATGAGGATACAATGACGCACATCAGCCAGCCGTACAGCTACACCAAGGAACAGACCATGTTCACCGACACTCACCTATGAGTGGCTTGGCAAGGATGCCTCTCAAGTCTTGAAAACTGCAACACCAAGAACTCAAACATGTGACTTAATGATGAAAGTCGGTCATCTTTTTAAAACAAACACTTCGGTAGCATACTAGACAGGTGATATTGCTGGCGTGGACGTTTTACTTAAACTTTATATGCATATCACAGTAATTGAAAAATTATGCATTATTTCAGTGTCAAATTGAGATTTTATCATAGAGCTTTATTAAATTACAAGAGCGCTAACTCGATGTACAAAGAGATGCCTGATGGGCGCATCCATGTTTGTACACAAACCTATAGAGAACTCGAAATTTTGTACGGCTTTTGTACGTCTATTTGCATATCTGCGTTTGTATTCCATACCAGTGCGTCATTGAAGCCAATACGCACAAAACCAAAACACATGATCAGCAAATGAGCGTGTCATTTTGCTCTACGCAAACAGCGCAACGCACGCGTATTCGCTGCAGATGCTTTTTGCCTTGACGTATTTTGAACTGTCATGACGCGCTTAAGTTGTTTGCGTATGTTCTACTCGTGCGTTGCATGTAGAGTACACTTTTAAAATTCAATCCATCTAATTTCATTGTGTTCTACAAACACGCACATGAATTCAAACTGTCTGCGCCCAGAGCGGCTTCAAAACGTCAACGCGCGTATAGAATGAGGAGTTAGCGCTCTAGTAATTTAATATAGCTCTATGGATTTTATGCATTTTGGAAATGAAAGTGCAGTCATGTGCCTGAACTATGTATATAGTGAATATCGTCTGTGGCCTTATTCCAGATTTTCTTAGCCATATTCGAAGCCTTCTTCAAACTATTTTTTTTTGCAGAGATTGATGTTTTGTCATTTCTTTATAAATTTTGTTGTGTTTTGAGCGGAAATTTTTTCTCTGCTCTGAATTTGTATTGAGTAACTTTAAGCATTGTGTGTATGTTTTATTTCTTAACGTAATTATCAATATCTCAAGTACTTCGGATTTTTGTGTGCAGGTCTTTCAAAATATATACTGTATTTTGCCATTATAAAAAAAAAGTTGTTTTTAAACTTTTGAAGAGTGATTTTTGAAACTTTTGTAAAAATGCATGTAAAATATGGCCGTTTGTACTAATTAATGATGTTTTGATCATGCCTTAAATAATTTGTAATTGGAAGCTGAGGTATTATGTGTGTGTACTTATCTTAGGGTTCAGGATTAAATGAAAGGAGTAAAATCATGTTTTCTAATGCAGATATTTTGCTAATTGTATTCATCAATAAATGAATTTAGAGGTACTGTAAGTCTTTTTTAAAAACTGTTACCACCATGACATAGATTATGAATGAGATTGAAATAATAATAAATAAATAAGTTGTAATGCTTAGGCCAAAAAAAAAAAGTCTCCGGTTTCTGGTATGCGCACGCGTCACCGTAGCCATGCGCGTCGGCAAAATGAAAAAGTTTTTTTTTTCAATGAAAGATGATGTCTCAAAAGTCTCAAAACCGCCAAACTCACTGGTTTGACTGGAATCCTGCTGCTGCACAATTTTAACGTGTTTTTAGATTGGGTTATGGTCGAGAATAAGCTTGATGTGGCCTCTCTGGACTCCCATATACATGTATTTGCACTAAGTTTAAGCGGGCACCATTTGCAGTCATCAGCCGACATTTGAAGCAAAAAAATCAGGTAAAAAAAAAAAAAAGCTGCGTCACCACACCACTTTTTGGGCAAGCTCCATACAAGAAACCAGAGACTTTTTTTTTTGGGCCTTATATACATGTACAGTAGTGCTTTCCATCGTATCAACGATCTCAAAGCACTTTTACAATTATCTGGCCATGAGACCACCCAGCAGCCGATATTGGCACGCATGCTGTCTTCTATACCCCCACAGGTACCCATTCATACTCCTGGGTGGAGAGAGGCAATTGTAGCTAAGTGTCTTGCCCAAGGGCACGAACACCATGTTCCTGGCAGGGTTCGAACCCACGCACCATCGTACATGAGTCAAACACCTTAACCACTGGACCATGGCATTCTACAAGAGATTTTTTTTATTGTAATAAAATATTGCAATAAACATTCCAAATGCAATAAAACTGTGACCCTCCTAGCTCTTCAAAATCCAGTCGAGGGTTTTGAATAACATCACATTCATGTTTCAAGATATGCACATGCGATGAACGCGGGAGCAGGATGCTGATAGTTGGCGTCATTTTTTTGTAAACATATCTCAAGAACCTAGTCATTGCGTGATGTGGTATATGTTATAACAAATGCCTAGTGTACTTGTAATTCATACATTAATTTTAATAGTTTTTTTCTATTGAAAGCATTTGTAATCTGTAGTAGTTTGTTCATTGAATTACCCAGAGGCTGATGTAAATAGTCCTATCATTTTTATTCCTAGACTTCTAAGCAAATCCGATGCCCACTGTATTCATTAGAATCCTTGAAAAGAAGGCCTGTGGTTCACGAGATCCAACATATGACCTTGTGTTTTTAAACAAACTAATCACCTTGATTAAAAAGCTTGCAACACCTTGAGAATTTTTAGGAATTTTGTCTTGCCATAAACAATTCAAGTATCCCAAGAACCCTTACATTTTGTCAACATTCCATCAAAGATATTATAAGACAACCTTGCAATAGCTGAAGTTATCACCGAGATATTTATTTCTATAGAACATTATCCCAATCTCCGTCCTTTATTTTACTTGTAACTGCTCAAAAAGACTTGAAAAAAATCCATGAATTTAAATGAAACGTAAACAAACATTTAAAACAATTAAAGCGATCCGAACTGTTTTATTTTGTTCTTTGAAAGAACTAACTTTAATTGTACATTTTTTCTTGTATTCTTACGCAACTGGTTTACTTTTTTTGTTACTCTGTGGTAAAAATCTAAATAAGAGAATCAGCAATAAAGAATTATGTGGAACAAAAACAAACCCATTGTGTCATTAAAATATAATTGGTGTAATTTTTCATGTGTGTATACCATGGTGCCCTGTGACGTCATACCGACAGGCACATACCTGGCAACAGACACATTTAAAGATATAGTCCATCATTTGTAATTTGTGCATTTTGTTCGTTTGAAGCAACAAAAGTGTTCAAAATCTAATGAAGGATACTGAACAACTAACCTAATGAAGTTTCAGCTCAGCTTCAGCTGTATATTCCGAGAAAAACAGCATTCTAGGATCTCAATTTCAAATCAAAAGTTGCTGAATCATGTTTTGAATTGCAGCTATACGTGATGTCGCGCACTGATCGACAAGTTATAGCAACCGCGCGTGTGTGCGTCGTGCCAATGCTTGCGCGCGCTGCGCCGAATAAAAAAACAAACTACTAATTTAAATTTTCCTATGGTGCGTCTTAAGACGCACCGTTGGAAAGGCCTTCTTTTGTTGATTACTTCAAAATGATAGCTTGCCAGAAAGATTAATTTCACAGGGAGTTTAGTCCACTTACTATCTTTCAACCAAGTATGTTTTTCAACAATAATAAGCAAGTTACTTTTTCGGATGGCTGCAAATGATGGACTATAGCTTTAAGCATCTATTTCATGTTATTTGGCCCACACCAAACAAGTATATATGAACAAAAATATAATACTTCATATTTCAAAGGGAATACATGCAGTACAGCAGGGAACTGTTCGGGTTACAACAAACAGTATTGCAAAGCATTTTACTATCTTTCCTTATACCCCCAAGTCCTCATTTTGACCTTCATCGACAAAATTATGGTGCTGTCGGCAAAATAGAAAATGAAGAATGGAAAAAGAAGAATGAAATGTTAAAATACTTTTAATTACTACACCGTCAAAAATGTTTCCTGAAGTTGTACAAACCAGATTCAAGTTCTTCTGCATTTTATTTTTATTAATGAGAAATGCAATCATTTTCTTTAGTAGAATCCATTGCTCATAACACGAATAGAATGCTTGAATGATCTTCAGTTTTTTGGATGGTATAATAATTATTCAAATGGAAGAATCCGCCATCTTGGGTAAAGAAAGGAAAAAATAATACAAAAATATAAAAAAATAACCAGTATCAAACACAAATGCATTGGCCTTCTGTTTCTAGTTTCCTAAAGCAAGTCCAATGTAAATATCGATAAAACTGCCGTTTTATTGGCCAGCTACATACTGTGAATACACACTACAAATGCACACATCTTTGTTAACACCGGCAATCGTGGACTCCCTATTGTCCCTAAGGCTAAAAAAAAAAAAGTCTCCAGTTTCTGGTATGCGCGCGCGTCGCCGTAGCCATGGGCGTCGGCAAAATGAAAAAGGTTTTTTTTCAATGAAAGATGAGGTCTCAAAACCGCCAAACTTACTGGTTTGACTGGAATCCTGCTGCTGCACAATTTTAACGTGTTTTTAGATGGGGTTATGATCGAGAATAAGCTTTATGTGGCCACTCTGGTCTCCCATAATAGTTGCACTAAGTTTAGTCGGGCACCATTTGCAGTCATCAGCCGACATTTGAAGCAAAAAAAAACAGGTAAAAAAAAAAAAAAAGCCGCGTCACCGCACCACTTGGGGGGCAAGCTCCATACCAGAAACCGTAAACTTTTTTTTTTGGCCTAATCCTCATTCCTTTGTTTGTACTATATTTTTTTAGCAACAGCTCTCATTGGTTTTGTGCACGAATTTCAATCGTGGACGTCCTGTCAATCATGGACCCTTTGTTTTTTTGCCCTAACCCTTTTGTCATAGGTCCGCGATTGCCAGTGTTTACATACTCATACTAAGACATGTACACACGTTTGTTTATGGTGTAAATCAAGGATTTTCTTTTGTTCCTCTTCCCTTTTCCTTTGTTTGTACTTTTTCGCAACAGCTCTCATTGGTTTTGTACACGTTTTCTAATCGGGGTCATCCTCGATTTGGTTCCTGTCCTCAAATCATCGATGATGTTGCATGTGCGTGTCCTCGATTTACACCACAAAAAAATGCATACGCATGTACATAACAGTAAAGCATCTGTGTTTTCTTCCAATATTGCACAATTCCAAGTAAACCAAAATATATCAATTTGTTTGAATTAATAACACATTACAAAAAACTATATGACTGATCCTTTTTTTTTTTTTCACATACTATAAAATAATTGTTTCTTTTATTTACAAAGCTTACATTACGGCCGGTTGCACTGCATCAAGAAAAATAAGTTGTGCATTTTCTAGATTGAACATTGATGATAAGAGACTGTTGCTATGTAATTGCCATAAATGTTGACATTTGGATTAATTCTAGACATATACCATGTAAATAAATTTGATTGACAGTACATACTGTAGAACCGGCAAGAAGTTATTTTGTATTTTCATTTTAAATATCTTGGGTTTGCTTAAAAAAACAAACACAAAAGAAGCCAGGAACACACGAAATGTCTGTTAAAAATAGAAGAAATGAGTAAAACTTGATATTGTTTTCACCAATGAGCAACCTATACCAGCCAGATTAATCACAGTTTAAATAGTTTTTAAAATTAAGAAAATATGTAATTTGTCCTCCAGTACACTTGCGGAGAATTCACACAAAGCTATCAGCACTCCCATGTTTTTTTTTATGGAAACATTTTCCATCCAATCAAAATTTTAATTTTTCAAGGATTTTAAAGGCCGCTATAAAAATAGTGACACATGTATACTGGGCGCCACTAATTTTGACGACAGTTTTTCAATGACATCGTTCCATTTGAGGTTGGCAAATTCGCCGGGCCTATTTAACGGCATATGATGGACATTTTTGTCATGTGCCCAAACTCGGGTGCATTCCTGTCAAGAAGCTGTGTATGTCCACACTCAGTTGAAAGTTGGCCACATTTGTTGAGTGTGTAAAGCAAAATGTCCTTCCCTTGCCTTCCTCAGGAGGCTGCACACTGCCATTTATAGTTCCTGTTTCAAATAATTTTAAAAAAGAAGTTAAAAGAGTTCAATCTAAAATTGCATCATTTCTAGTGACCCCAAAACTTGCCCAGACGTTGCAAAGACGAAAAGCTGGGGGGGGGGGGCCTGGTCACTATTTGATAATAGATAGCACTGTTCATTACACTGCTCAGAGCTGTACTCTTGTGTATGTCAAGAATGCTGCGACAAACTTTTAGGGGTACTGTTTTTTCTCTAATCAAATAGTCCTGGACGCCATTTTGGGACCCATTTACGGGGCCTGCACCTGATTTCATGAAACTAATCGTAACTTACGATGCATCGCAGCACTGTGATGCGTCGTATCCCTACGATGCATCGCAGCGGCGACGCGTCGTGCAATCCATTTCACTAAACACGTCGTAAGTGCCACGCGTCGTAGGTGTATTTATAGCACGACTCGGTAACTGTTTTATGTAATTATTCCGCGTACAGTAAATAGTCGTCTGATATTCAACAAAGAGTCGTCAGATCTCTTCTCTAAAATTATTAAAACGTAAAAAACAATGGCGGTGATGTGATGCAATTTTGAAGGGAAACACTTTGACACTTTGAAGGGAAACACTTTGACACTTTGAAGGGAAACACTACTTTGACATTTCAACTGCAATATTCCAGGCTAATTCTAATTATTCAATGCATTTTCTATTTACAAATTTACACACATTGTCTAGGTATTATAGTCTCGTTTAGGTGTTTTTTTATGGCATAGAACCAGCTAAGAAAAGGACGCTTCTTATTTTGCGATGACCACATCGTAACTTGCGACGTGTTTTAAGCCATTGTTAAGGACGTTACGATGCATTCAACATAACACGTTTCGTGAAATGGATCATACGACGCAACGCAAGTTGTGACGTGTTACACGTCGTAACTCGGGTTGCGCGCGTCACAGCGCTTCCTGAAATCAGGTGCTGGTCACAGATCTTTATTTCCAATTATCAGTCAACAAGCTCACCTCAGCAATGAGTGACCTTCAGGTTGTAGAAACTTCCGTCGGTACTTTCCCCTCCCTGTTGCCCTCCCCCCTCTGCGCCAAGTGGAAGCTCTTCTGTACTCTGATTGGCCAGTGTGCTGGAGGAGCCCGAGCGCAGTTGGTTGACTCTCATGGGTATCATCTGGGCTGAGGTGGCTGGGCTCATGGAGGGTGTCGTGGATCGGGAGGCCGAGACGTAAGAGTGGCCTAGAAGGCGGATTAGCTCTTCCTCTGATGGTCCTCCAGGCAGGTTGGGATCGACTATAACAAAGGTAAACACATCCTCAATTAATATTGTGTTTTGCCAAGTAAGCTTTCCAACTGTCTCTCAGTTGAACGCCCGAAATAGAAGTGAGTAATAGCTGAATGTCAACGATGATTCTTCTTTGTAGTATTCATATTTGACTGTAAAAAACACTTACCGTTCTCCCCTTTGTTGACCTTGACTAGGTTGTCCAGTCCTGTACTCAGATCCCACATCTGTGAGAAAGTCACAGAGAGAGTGTGTAAACATTATTTTTTTTTATGCCTGATTTTTTTTTGGGGGGGGGCCCAAGAAGTAAATCTAAAAACTAAACGACATGCAACAGGTTGGGCCAAAAAAAAAAAAGTCTCCGGTTTCTGGTATGCGCGCGCGTCGCCGTAGCCATGCGCGTCGGCAAAATGAAAAAGTTTTTTTTTTCAATGAAAGATGATGTCTCAAAACCGCCAAACTCACTGCTTTGACTGGAATCCTGCTGCTGCACAATTTTAACGTGCTTTTAGATGGGGTTATGATCGAGAATAAGCTTTATGTGGCCTCTCTGGACTCCCATATATTTGCACTAAGTTTAGTCGGGCACCATTTGCAGTCATCAGTCGACATTTGAAGCAAAAAAGTCAGGTAAAAAAAAAAAAAAAGCCGCGTCGCCGCACCACTTTTTGGACAAGCTCCATACCAGAAACCAGAGACTTTTTTTGTTTGGCCTTGTCAACGTCATTTCATGTTCGACCAGGGTGTGACTGGCTCCCGTTCCGCACATTATCAATACAGAATGTGGGGCAGGAACCAGCCTACCTTGCAAAAAAACGAATTATTGTCTGACAGCTAATAAAACAAAACTGTAAAGTAATAATTCAATAACAAACCATGGGCCAGGTTTTTTTGGTCTCTTGGGCCAGTCGATGTCTCATTCAAAAGCGAATAATTTTTGTACTGCTAGAAAAATAGCAATATGAGTGCCGTAACTGAACAAGAGAGGGCGTTTTTTTTACCACTTTTGACAGGCCCTTGGACACACTGCATGCCGTTACTTGTTTGTCTTCGTAGAGCGTGAAGTATGTACAACTTATTTTTTCCGAATGTGCACAAACCCATGGCGTCTCTGGGTCAGCGTCAGACGTCTTTGGCGAAGCGTTCAAATGTCACTCCAAAAAGGTCTCCCCCAACTCTCCCTTTCTTACAACTGAGGGGGTACTTGTGCACGGAACGGATAGAAAAGGGATCTCTTTTTCAGGATGAAACTTGAAAATAGCATGGGGAACGCAACTTTAGCCCCATACTTTCATATGGGACTCTTCTGAATTCTCCAAAATCCTCTTCTGTGCAGGAAACCAATGGCATTCTTTGTTCTTTAACCCAACTCCCCACTGTCTTTTATGAAGTACTGGACCAAGTCCGCCAAAATCCATCAATCACACTGCTTCCAATGCATGCTTTGCTTTAGGCCTCCAGGCACAAGTCCATCATACTCCATCAATATTTAGTCAAGCTAGGCCTGCAGGACCAAGTCCACCAAAATCCACCAAAATGGGGGGAAGGATTTTGATGGAGTTGGGGAGATTAGGGTTAACTTTAAAGTGAAATCTGCACAATGTTACCTAATAGTGGCTAGGTTCTGCCTGTCCTCAGTCTTGCAGAATCTTCCGAAACCTATCATATTTGGACTTGATTATTACAACTGTTGTTTCTACTGACCTGTATGGACCCGTTGGAGTGGCCGGTAAACAGATACCTGCGTGGGGGCGACCCCATACGACTTGAGCCCTCGCATTCGTGGACACAGAAGGACGTAATGTTGCTACCGTCCACGGAACGGATCAAACAAACTCTGCAACAAATAACAACGAAATAAGAGAAAAGCCAGTTCATATGCATGAGTTAACCTTTTGTGCCTTCGTTGTTACTGAACTAAATCCATCATTGACAGGCACAACGCGGGCACTGAACCACCATATCTATCAACGTCAGTCAAGGCATGGTACCCTCAGTTTAACAAAACTACCACAGCCTGTCAATTGTACCAATATGAGCCCGACTAGAACTGTTAAAACCTGTCATCTGATAGATTTTGACAGATAAGTTATCTCTCTCCGTTGTTGTCACTGAGAGAGAGGGACGGCTAACGCCAATTTTCGTGAAGCCGCCAAGCTCGCAAATTCACTAAGCAATGAAAGGTTCAACATCCAAAATGTAACGCGATATATGTTGCTCCGTCTGGTTCCAAGGGGACCTTTACTGTTTTTTTGAGCAAAGGTTTCTCAGGTCAATTGTCCTGCTAAGCAGCTCCCAGTTGTTTTACCTTTGTCCAGTGGACGCTAAGCGGACATACAGCTGATCGGTCTCTGGTACCACCTTCTGGACAAAGACTTGCTGGTCATCTCGATCACCGTATGGCCCTGGAACAGAAAAAAACAACTTATGTTTATCTCACAGAATTTGATTTAACAGATAAAAATCAGACACTCTGATAAACAGGAATGGTTTAACAAAGAGATCAGCAAAAAAATAATTGGAAACACAGGATCGGTGCCAAAAAGTCAGCCTTTCTCTTTCTTTTGTTCTTACTCAGTATCCTTTCTAAATATTACAAGTATTTGAATATGCATTATTCAATTATATTTAATAATTCACCCTAAAACACCTAAACCCCTCAACATTAATCTGCATGTTTTGTTTGATTCTGATGGAGTGAGAACTGCACTAGTAAACTGATAATGCTTTAGATAGGGTCAGGCATACCACCATAATCCGAGTCAAGTTTGGGTGTTGCGTTTACCATATGGTGTTTGATTTTGCAAGAGTGAGGAAGAAGAGTGAAGAAGGATCCTAGTAAATCACTCCAGGGGGTAAGGATTAATCAATAATTATTCAATTAATCAAACATTTGGCCAGCCTTAGCACCTGTCACAATACGTCTCCTGTGCGCAAGCAAAAGGATAAGACTAACATTAACCCTAACTCCCTAGGCATTTTGGCTAGGATGTAACCTCAATCCTGCAAAATCCTCCAACTGCCTCCATGTAAAAATAGCATACAGCCTCAATCCTATATTTCTTGAATGTGGTCCTTGGAGGGATGACCACTGCCTCAACCCTGCAAAATCCTCCAGCAGTCACTGTCAGAATGTCGAGGCAGAGCCAGTGACATCCTGGAACACTGCGGAGGATTTCAAGTATAATCTAAGCCTAAATTTATGCACGGCTGAGCATAAACAACACAAGGTCCGGCCCAAGACCTTGACACAGTGCATCCTCCAAAATCAGCCACACATTTTTGCCATGTACAGTTGACTCTCGTTAGTACAAACACCGTTAATAAGTTCTGGTTATAGCAAACACAAAGCCTTGGTCCCGACGGTGCATTTATGTGCACAATGAATGGGACTGATGTTCCTCTTAATACAAAAGTCTGATATAACAAACAATTTGGCTAGGTCCGAATGAGTTTGTATTAACGAGAGTCAACTGTAGCCTCAATCCTACAAAATCCTTCATTTTACAAAGAGGATTTTGAAGGATTTGGGAAGATAAGGGTTAAAATAATGATGCTAAATCAAATGGCTGCAATGACACTATAAAAAAAGAAATATACACTTCTTATTTTGATCTCACCGAAGTTGTTTCCGGCGGCATAGGTCAGGTGAAGGTCGGCTTCCTCCAGGGAGAGAATCTTGAATGAATTGAGGGGAGTGGAGCCAGGCTGGGTGGAGATCATGCCACGGAATCGGGTCACGTTCCACGTCCGGACATGGTTGGACTCTTGGCATACTGCCAAACAAGAAAACAATCAATTGTTTCAGACGAGAACAAAGAAGAATGTAAGTTGAAAATGAAGAAACTTGAGGCATTTGATCCCCTCAAACCATCAAACATCAAAAAATGACAAAATACTATAGCAAAAAGGGCAACTCATACAGCAGTAGTAATTAAGTGTTAACTTTATTTGGACGTATTAAGTGACAAAAATGAAAGAGGAAGAAGCAGAGATATACATATTCACAGTGGGACAAATTGACAGAATGGTGACAATGTGACAAGTGGACAGACTAACAGGGTGACAGAGTCACAGACTGACACAGTGACAGAGTCACAGACTGACACAGTGACAGAGCAACAGAGTGACACAGTGACAGAGTCACAGACTAACAGAGTGACAGAGTCACAGACTGACACAGTGACAGAGTCACAGACTGACACAGTGACAGAGTCACAGACTGACACAGTGACAGAGTCACAGACTGACACAGTGACAGAGTCACAGACTGACACAGTGACAGAGTCACAGACTGACACAGTGACAGAGCAACATAGTGACACAGTGACAGAGTCACAGACTAACAGAGTGACAGAGTCACAGACTGACACAGTGACAGAGTCACAGACTGACACAGTGACAGAGTCACAGACTGACACAGTGACAGAGTCACAGACTGACACAGTGACAGAGTCACAGACTGACACAGTGACAGAGTCACAGACTGACACAGTGACAGAGTCACAGACTGACACAGTGACAGAGTCACAGACTGACACAGTGACCAGAGTCACAGACTGACACAGTGATAGAGCAACAGAGTGACAGAATCACAGACTGACACAGTGACAGAGTCACAGACTGACACAGTGACAGAACAACAGAGTGACACAATGGTGACAAAGTGACAAATGGACAGAGTAACAGAATATCACAGTCACAGACTGACAACATTCCAGTGCAATAGAATGAACGGCGACAAAGTGACAAAGACTAACATGACAACAGGGTGACAGCAGGTGACAGAGGTGACAAATTGACAGAGTAACAGATCAACTGAGTGTCAGAGAAACAGAGTGACAGAATGGTGACAAGGTAAAAAAAAAATCACAGAGTGACAAGAGTCCACAGGGTGACAGGGTGACACAGTGACAGAGTCCATCAGAGAGCCTGATGAGTACCTGAGATGAGGTGCTTCTCAGACAGCATGACTTTGGAGATAGGATTGCAGTGGACGGTGAACGTCTGGAAGAGTTGTGGACCCTGGCCGACAGTCTCTGGATGCTGGACAATCACACGAACCTTGCCGGCGATAGTACCATAGGCGATCTCAATCCAGTTGCCTGTCAGGCCTGAGGGGAAGAATGTACAACATCAAATCCATTAACATCGTGCTATTAAAGCTACAGTCCATCATTTGTAATGTGTGCATTTTGTTCGTTTGAAGCAACAAAAGTGTTCAAAATCTAATGAAGGATACTGAACAGCTAACCTGATGAAATTTCAGCTCTGCTTCAGCTGTATATTCCGAGAAAAACAGCATTCTAAGATCTCAATTTCAAATCAAAAGTTGCTGCATCATGTTTTGAATTGTTTTGAATTGCAGCTATAAGCGATGTCGCGCACTGATCCGACCAATTATAGCAACCGCGCGCGCCTGTGCGTCGTGCCAATGCTTGCGCGCGCTGCGCCGAATAACAAAACGAACTACTAATTTAAATTTTCGAACGGTGCGTCTTTTTTGGAAAGGCCTTCTTTTGTTGATTACTTCAAAATGACAGCTTGCCAGAAAGAATAATTTCACAGGGAGTTTAGTCCACTTACTATCTTTCAACCAAGTATGTTTTTCAACAATAATATGCCAGTTACTTTTTTGGATGGCTGCAAATGATGGACTATAACTTTAACACAGCTGTCAGCAGCCATTTGCACAAAAGTTTCTTGTCAAGTATATAACGGATGCCATGCGAGGGGTTTACACGATACAATTATTGTACAGCTGTGAAAGACACTATCAAGTTTAACGAGACTTAGCATTGCTGTGAAATGCCATAAATTCTAGGCAACTCAGACAGGAATGATCATACTTTTTATGCTAAAATGTCACATTGCAGTCATTGAATTGGCATGGCCTGCCTTTACAAAAAGGTTTACGTTTTCTACGTGAGAGTGGCGTTCAATATCCTTCAAACACAAAGCTGTGAATTCCTGGCACCAACTGAGCAAAGTCAGACAATTACAGAATAAGCGAGTTCGGTACTCCAACTGCGCATGTGCACATCACGACTTGCCGATTTTTCTTTCAGGATAACAATTCCATCGTATGCGTGCAAAAGCACAGCAGGGTATCAGCCAAATTGAAGAGATCATCGTGTTCTGTAAGTATAACATTTTGCAAAAAACTTCTGGACAGCGACGTGTTTTTAGGTGTCTTGTGTGTCAAAACTTTTGTGCGAACGAAAGTTCCATCTCCTTTCGACTGCACGAAAAATTGCACAGAATGCAGATTTGGTTACCATGTCCCCCATAGCCTTGTGTGCATTTATCTGCCGCGATTATCCCGAAAAAATAATCGTCAAATCTTGCTGTGCACCAGCCTATTTTGGAATACCGAACTCCCTTATTGATATGCAACAATCGTGATAAGTCAGTTTAATAATCCGTTTGTGATACGTAAACCGTAACTTCGCAGACTTGGGCGTTAATTTCAGGCAACACTTTCATGAGCGAAGTAACAAGTAAACAGTGTTTACAACCATGGAGCCTGGACTTACTTGTCTTTGGGGTGGGGTAAACGCTGAGAGCGGTGACGGCATCGTTGCTGGGGTCGTGGTAAAGTTCAGTCACCAGAAGGTCGTTGTCCTTCATTCTCAGAGGAAACTTCTGCATATCTGGCCACAAGAAACAAACAAGAACTCTTGAGTCCAGTCTAATCAGATCTTGATCTTAATTTAAACCTAACCCTGCTAAATGCAACAGAGAGCAACTATGGTATAAAGTTGTTGCACACTGTTGCATTTTCAGGCCACTTACAGTCCCCATGCTTTGTTGCATCTTGTTGCATTTAGCAGGGTCACTGCTTATATACACTGTTGCATTTTCAGGCCACTTACAGTCCCCATGCTTTGTTGCATCTTGTTGCATTTAGCAGGGTCACTGCTCATATACACTGTTGCATTTTCAGGCCACTTACAGTCCCTATGCTTTGTTGCATCTTGTTGCATTTAGCAGGGTCACTGCTCATATACACTGTTGCATTTTCAGGCCACTTACAGTCCCCATGCTTTGTTGCATCTTGTTGCATTTAGCAGGGTCACTGCTCATATACACTGTTGCATTTTCAGGCCACTTACAGTCCCCATGCTTTGTTGCATCTTGTTGCATTTAGCAGGGTGACTGCTCATGGCGCCACGGCTGATATCATCCATAGCTCAGTTGAGTTGGTGTTGAAGAGGTTACAGGATCAAATCGGCCCCAAATGAACCTTGATAATATCAATTCCCCTTTACGTCAGACTAAATCAAAGGCAGCTCAGACTAAATTGAGTTACTTACCGATGTAATAGATGGAGCCATTCGTACATCCCAGGAGTAGGAATGAGCCTGCTGTGTCATGGCTGGCAATACCGCACATCTCTTGGGTCTAAATCCAACAGAAACAAAAATACAAGAGGATTTATTTATTCACTGTTGTTTTTTAACCCATCACCATCACGTTTAAAAAAAATAAAAACACAGTAAACTCGTGTTGTTCGAGGGCTTGCGAGAAAAAAAACAAATCTCAAGCCTACTCAGGTTGGGACTCGAACCGACGACCTCCTGCTTACCAGCGCAGACGTCTTACCACTCGACCACTGAGCTTGCCGGGGTCTGCTGGCTGGTTTGAAACTGATACAGCAGTGGGTACGGCAACCAAACTATTCACAGGATGTACTTTGCGTCGGGGAGATGTAAATTCAATATTTTTTCTTGGCCCTTCATCAGAGATTTTTTTTAAGTTGGACAACACCGAGTATAGAGTGTTTTGGAAAAAAAAATACGTTGGTAAAGTGCCAAAAACCAATATTGAACTTATATCTCCCCAACGCAAAATTCATCCTGTAAATAAGATTAATTTTAAAGGTAGAGTATATCATTTGTGATTTGTTCATTTTTTTCGTTTGAAGCAACAAAAGTGCTCAAAATCTAAAGAAGGGTGCTTACCAATTAGCCTGATGAAATTTTAGCTCAGTGAATGCTGTATATTTTAAGAAAACAATATTCAATTCAGACACTAATTCCCACTCATTTAAACTATAAGAGTCAGACACAATCTGTCACAGCTTCTCATTGGTCAGAAGTTTCAGTTGGTTCCCTACCTGCCAATGTTGTGTCACAGCGTGCCAGACCCCAACTTTGCCCGTATGGCTGGTAGCCACCAGTTGACTACCAATGAAGAATAACGAGTCCACATGTACAGCAAGATCAAAGGTACCTGAAATAGAGACAACAACATCTCTCATTATGGGCCAAGTTCGGGCAAGGACCATTAGTCGACTAGTAGTTGATTTGAGACGTACCTTACGCCTGCGCAGTAATAGCAACGTGCGAACGTCTCTAGTCAAACGCTGGTCAAAATGTCATCGCAAAACGTCTGGATCCTGGCTCTCTGCTAGCGTTATGAATGCGCGCGGCTATTGGTTACCAGCGAAGCAACCAACCCCAGTAGGCTGGTTCCAAATAGTCGACTAGCGTAGTCAACCACCGTCGACTAGACAGAGTTCGGGCAAACGTTAGTTAACCATTGGTCAACTATAGTCCTTGCGCGAACTTGGCCATGGCCTTGCCCCACCTACTAAGCAGGGAAGTCAGCTTAGGCGCTTGTTGCCTGCTTTTCCGGGCATGTCAGCCACTTCACAAGTGAGTCCCCGCTTTGAAGGGGATCATTCACTATGTGGGCTTTCAACTGTAGCAGCCTGATTTGCAAGAACAACTGGTTTACACACACACACACACCCTTTGCACTTTCAAGTATGGTGAGGATATCAAATTCTTATCCAGAGAGTATTCACTTATGCAGATGCAAGCTTTCTCAGATTCTCTTCCTGGAACTGTCACAAAATTAATAATAATAATAATAAAACAGCATTTATATAGCGCAATATGAATCAAAGATTCCTCAAAGCACTTAACAATAGTATGAGAAACAATAAAAAAAAAATTTGAAATGCAATGGAAATGTCAATGTCAGTTTCAAAATAATACGTACATTTTTGTGTACGTATGCAATGTACATCTGCAATGTCGGCAATGACAACATGGCCATTTGAGAAAATGAATATACACTTTATGTAAATGTAGCAATGCATTTAAAATCTGTAATAAAAATGTACATATTATTTTGAAACTGACATTGACATTTGCATTTAAAAAAAATGCCATTACATTTCAAAAAAGCATATGCATATATTATTCAAATTAACTGCAATTAAGTTTTGTAGGCTAAGGGCTATATTTTTTTTATTTGTTGGGGTAAAAAGCAAACCAAAAACCCCAAGTATTTACCAACTTGACTGCGACTGCTCTCATCCTGACAGCTCCAGAGCCGAATCTGGCTGCCGTAGGACACCGCCACCATCTTCTCCTTGCCCTCTGATTGGCTGAGAGGGACCCGAGAGTTAAGAGCCACTCGCTCGATGGTCCTCTCCAGGTACGGAGAGGTGAAGACCAACTGCCAGCCCGTGGACTCCTTGATGCGATAGCAGCAGACGAAGTGAGCGTAGGCCAGGACGATCCAGTTGTGATGGCCAGAGACGATCAGAACTCTGTGTGGATCTGTGCCGGCTTCTGCGAAGTTAACCATCATGAAACGATTATGTTTAAAAATTGTAGATGTGCATCAATAATCTGCTCAATGCCCTACATCATTATTACCCCTGATCATCGTGCTGATAAAACATTCCACAGATACTCACAGCTCCTGGGCCGCGGAGTATGAAGCTTTATGCTGCAATTTTAGCACTAAGGGCAGATTCACGCGCGTCTGCGTGGATAACAGAAGAAAAGTCAGAAACCTTACATCCTTGCCTGTTACCTAGTGTATTACCTTACAAGCAAAGTCAACCTCTTTAAGATAGAATACAAGTAGATGAAATACATTTTGGTTCATTTCAATACTATCTGATTTGGACTTTTTGCATAAGCTTCACAAGGTGCATGAGCTTCAGAACGTAGTCAAATACTTGAACATTCCTTCCTCAATCCTCTAAAATATCCCAATGTGCAAAAACCCGTTGGTCCATTCTTTGTACTCTAACTTTCAAGAGGCATGAAGAGAACAGGCTATAGACTAGCTCTGCGACGGCCATTTTCCAAGGTGGAACCATGCTCACTCGAGTCACGCTCAGGTAGTACGCATGCACTCTGGGCTCTTTCGACCAATAGCGTTACAGACATTTGTGCATGCCTTGTCTTCAAGAACTTGTGAGGCATGCGCATGAACGTGGTTCCACCTCAAAACAGGCTTCCATTTTCATTCGCTGGATAAGTCTATGCCTTTCTCAATCCTGTAAGATCCTTCAAACTTTCCAGTGGATATTGAAGGAACTTTCAGGGGTAAGGGTGAACAAATAAACTCCTCACTGACCAAATCTCATGTCTAGGTCTGTGCTGGCTATTAACCTGATGTAAAGTAAAAGTGGCTGGGCTCATATCATCCTGATTTCTGCAACATTTTTGATGGATTTTAAAGGAGTTGGGAGGGATATGTTTAACAAATACAAATGTAAACTCTTTACTGACCACATGAAATGTCTAGGTCTGCACTGACTAACCCCGGCTCTTTGGTACATCAAGAATAATGTGAAGTGAAAGTGGCTGGGCTTTATATTATCCTCATTCCTGCAAAAAACACTTTGATGGAATTTGAAGGATCTAGAAGGGTTAAGGGTTAACAAATGTGAGACGTTCTGGCAAAATGAGACGGAACTGGGCACAGGCCATGGAGGAGAAAAACGCAACAACTAAAACCAAATGGGGGTGATTTTTTTTTTGATTTTCAAATAATATTTGTAATCTAATCTGTGATATGTTTACTACACATATTTTAAAGAAAAGTATCAAAATTACAATTTTCCAGACTACAAAACAGTTGAAACTTAAAGGCCTTTTTCTAAGTATGTTACTTTTTGACATGTTGATAAATACAAACTTTAGGCCAAAAAAAAGTCTCCGGTTTCTGGTATGGAGCTTGTCCAAAAAGTGGTGCAGCGACGCGGCTTTTTTTTTTTTTACCTGACTTTTTTGCTTCAAATGTCGGCTGATGACTGCAAATGGTGCCCGACTAAACTTAGTGCAAATATTATGGGAGTCCAGAGAGGCCACATAAAGCTTATTCTCGATCATAACCCCATCTAAAAACACGTTAAAATTGTGCAGCAGCAGGATTCCAGTCAAACCAGTGAGTTTGGTGGTTTTGAGGCATCATCTTTTATTGAAAAAAAAACTTTTTCATTTTGCCGACGCGCATGGTTACGGCGACGCACGTGCATACCAGAAACCGGAGACTTTTTTTTTGGGCCTTAAGCAAAGTTAGCTTGTAAACGAAACGTCTGACTGAAGTGCAACAAACACTTTAGAAGGGAATTTTTTTTTCTTTCTTTCCTAATACCCGGAAGCCCTCATTTCAACCTCTGCCCAGCTCTGTCTCATTTAGCCTGAATCCCTCATAAAATAACATATCACTGACCAAGAGGCATGTCGAGATCGGCCCTGGCTAGCCTGGGCTCGATGGCAGACACTGGTCTCTGGCTGGCTTCCCTGAGTGAGGTCCCTCTGGCTAGCGTTGGTCTCGGTCTCATCTCGGCATCCACGGACAAGCTATGGCGGTGGTCACTCCTCTCTAACCTCGGCGGTAAAGCTGCCATCACAAATTCATTTCAAAAAAAGTTAACGTGAGTATTATACAAATACAGCATGGTATGAGGGGAAGTAGTGGGAATTACTGGTCCCGAGTCAGCTTGACTACCTCCCGACGCGAGGCGGAGGGAGGTAGTCAAGCTGACCTACACCGAGGGACCAGTAATTCCAACTATTTTCCAGAAATAAACCATGCAGTATTTGTTTTACTACACCTCATAAATATTTAGTAGCCTCACTGTCTTTTTAGTAGCCTCACTGTCTTTTTAGTAGCCTCACTGCCTTGTCGATAACGGCCTTCCTAGATTTTGCATATTTATTCAGCACAATTCAAGTTCTTCGTCACAGTTTGAAAAAGTCTGGCGCTAACACAAAGTGTTTTTACTGCAGTTGTAACAAGGATTACAACAACAGACTGGTTCCATAAAGATTACATGTCATAGTCTACATGTCTACGAGGCGGGTTCCAGAGGGAATTTTTGGTGCTACCAGAAAAACTACCGCACGGCAGCGAGCTGGATACTCACCGGGATGACGTCACCGGGATGACGTCACCTGGGTGCATATCATTTTTACTTCCCGGACGGGCGGCGGAATTGGCCAATGACGCGCTCCAATTTGATCATGAATATTTATGAGGTGTAGTAACATCAACTCCTCCCCCAGGTTTTTTTGTGAACTCAGATATGTCTCATCAACAATGATCCTGATGGAATTTCCGAATTAATATCGATTTCTTTAAGCTATTTGCCGTTTGGCTAACATTCTCTGCCAAATAGACACAATCCTGAACTTTTGACTAAATCGGTTAAAATTCTGAATAAACACGTAATGAAATATATGCTGCAATGCTTAATGATCAGAATGAGCCATAACTTTAAAAAGTGCACTTAATAATTGGGAAAATTGTATGTAGGATCTGTCAAGCAGTATTCTTTTTACAGTAAGCCACAAGAACTTGGCATACATGAAAGTTTTTTGTGAATACATGCAACAAGACCTTCAAGTGCAATTATGTTTTGAGTAGAATGACATGTAAACAATAAACGACAGATTAACAATTGTATACATTAACATTTTATAAATGCAGGAATTTGACTGTAAGGCCAAAAAAAATAGTTGGTCTCTGGTCAGACCGAAGTTCCAGAATTGATGCGGCGACGCGTTTTTTGTTGTTTTTGGGGTGGCTTTTTTTTTTGCAAGCTTGTATTGTACAGACAAGGTGGGTACTATTTTGCTTTTTTGTGTCCTCATTATACATTGGTGTCCTCCATAATTTGCCTTGGTGCCCTTTATCATTTGCCTTGGTGCAATTTCCCCATTCCTTGGTGCTCCTTGGTACAAAAATTTGAGGAGGCGCGGCAAATCGACGCGCGCGCTGACCAGAGACCGAGTATTTTTTTTTGGCTTTATATTGACAAAAAAATTATTGTACTGGTACTAAACGTCCCGTGAAATTATTTCATCTGGCTTGCTGTCATTTAGGAGAAATCAGGAAATGAACATGATTTCCAACGATCGGTCAATTGACTGATTTTCGGAAACAAAGAGTGCTATGGACGAAATCGTGTATTGTGATCAAAAATGTGTGTTTTCACTGTTTTCTCAATAAGTGCAATATCCACTGAGCTGAAACAGGCTAGGTTTTGAATATTCTTCTTTGGATTTTGAGTGGTGTTATTATTGGAAACAAACACAATATATGAAAAGTAACTGATCCCATATGACTTTAAGACCGTCAGGTACTCAAGGGGCTTTAAGATGATGGTGGAAATCGCTTACAGGGTGGAGGAAGTATGCCATGGAAGAGAACATTGCCGCAGGACGATCTCTCCAAATCCTCGCACAGTGACAGATTCTTGACTGTCAAAACACACAAACATACCAAATAAAAATAATGCGTTTATTGAAAAGGCAATCCCAATTAAAAAAAGATACAAATAAAAAATAAACAAATGAAATTGTGTTTCTTAAAGTGAGCATCCAATTCAAAACAAAGAATTGAAAAAAAAAAAAAAAGGACCTTAATTAAAATATGTGTACAACAAAATTATAAATATTTTTTTTATGAAGTCTAAGCATTTTTCATGTTTGTTAAAATTAATTTTATCTTAATAACCTGACAAACTCCAAAATAAGATCTTCCCTCGTTTTGGGGGATTTTGGCAGATAAGCCATGTGCACCAAGTCCATCAAAATCCACCAGCGCCAGTGGTGGACTTCAACCGATCTGGTCCTGAAGCATTATGTGAAGCAGAGTGGGTGATGGATTTTGATGGACATGGTCTTCTACTGAGTGAAACTAAGTAGGGAGCATGGGTTCATTGATTATTCACAGAGGCCTGACCAAGCTATAAAAAAAAATGGAACATCCCCAAAATTTGATCCATGGTCTCTGATTGTAACCGCATTCTCTCCCTACCCGTCTTCTTGCTTCGTGAATAGCCTGCCCATTTGACTTATCACAGAGTGCCAGCATATTTTTTCAGGGGTGTGAGTGACCACTGATCAAAATAGCTGAAAACAGCTGAAAAAGGTATAAAAAAGCTGAACTTTGGAAATCTCCTATACTTTTGTACACAGCAAGAGAGGGAAAAAAGCTGAAATCCAAAACAAAAAAAGCTGAAATCAGCTTTAAAGGGAATGTACAACATTTGCTTTTGCTTCAATTTTCAGAAACAAATGGATTTGGAGGATTAGTATGTTGTAGCAAATATTGTTAAAATGACTTGTTTCACGTTTTGGGCTTGCAGATGCTGGAAAAACCAAGAAAATCATTCATTTTCTTGTAGTCTGGTTCCCTGACCCCACTTAAGATGAAACGGAGAATTTATAAACTTTGGGGGAATTGTAAGCTCAGAGAATCAGTCTAGCAGGCTTGTACCCCTTCACAGGTGTGTAATCAATTGCAAATAGTTTTTGCAGTTTTTGCAGCAAAGAGTTTGCAAGCAGTTTTTGAAAAAAAGCCAGTTTTCTCCAACGCTGATCGGCCGACCAGCGTTGGAAAAATACAATTTTTCTTGAAAATGTTGGCACACCAGGAGCCATGATTTTACAGGATGCTTTTAGACTGTCATTCCCTAACAATCCAGTAAGGTATTTTGTGATAATTTGATCATTTCGTTTTGAGATGTTTGCAAATGTTGTATCTTCCCTTTAAAGCTGAGATTTCACACCCCTGATTTTTCCAACAGTACAGCTCTGGAGTCTTTTTGTAAAGGCCAGTTGTCACTGAATCCTGCAAACTATCCCCAATTTTGTAATTTTTTTGGCTTGACTACAAGCTCAGTAAATGGGAGCTTCTGGAGAAATCAGATAACCATTACTCAGTTAGAAAAACAAGTGGTCCGCAGACCGCAAGTGTGTCTCCTTTTTCTGTGGTTGATCCCTGTATGTGGTGGGTTCTAAGAAGAAGTCATATTTTGTGCATTTTTCAACAATGACCTCAAATGACCCCTACATGACCTTTGACCTCCAATTTCAAAAGAGTTGTCATGAACCCCCACCCAAGGATCACTCCATCCAAGATACATTCAAATCCATCAAATTCTGTAGACAAAGAAACATTGGAAGCATATTTGAACAATGACCTCTAATGAACCCTACATGACCTTTGACCTCGGTAATAAAGAATTGCGTCTTCCCACCCAAGGGTCACTGCCTCCAAGTTTCGCCAAAAATCCATGAAAGCATGTAGAAGTTATACATTGCTTTCAAAAACTGAACCGAAACGTTAACATACATATGGGGCTACAGACATACGTCATACGGGTCTACGGTCATATAGTATTTAACCCTAACCGCCCTGAATCCTTCAAAATCCTTTTTGCCAAAGTGGAGGAATTTGGAGGATTGAGGTTAAATGGCAAAAGTGCGTTACTGATTTCGTAGGATGCACTTTGTCAAGGTCTTGGGCCAAAACCTTGTGTTGTTTTTGCTCAGTCATGCATAAATATAGGCCTGGATTATGCTTGACATCCTCCGTACTGCTCCAGGATGTCACTGGCCAAGCCTCAACATCTGGACAGTCACTGCCGCAGGATTTTGCAGGATTCAGGCAGTGGTCACCCCTCCACGGACCATTTTCAAGAAATAATGGAGGAATTTGCAGGATTGAGGCTATATGCTATTTTTTTTCCATGAGGCCAATTGGAGGATTTTGCAGGATTGAGGCTACATCCTAGCAAAAAGGCCTAGGGAGTTAGGGTTAAGACTGGTTTGTGTCTCCCAAAACTTTTAGGCCAGACACAAATAAGGATAATCAGATTTTGAAATCACCGATATCTCCCACCACTATTAAACAGGCATGTCCAATCTATAGAATGTAAGCTCTTGCATGCGTGCTTACCGAGTGGTGATATGCCGTAGAACTCTGCTTCATGCCGCAGCGTCTGTATATCCACCCCTTTGAGGTTGAGCTCCTTGGTGCGAAGGTAGTTCAGAATGGGTGCAAACACGGTCGGATCTCGATCAATGAAAATCTGCAGGGAAAGGCAACTCCCAGGCATCAGACGGCAGGCAACTTATTAAAATTGTCTACTTCAATCCAAACACTCACAGAATCTTTAACTGCTTTTTGAATCCTGTTAACCAAATACTCTGGGGAATTTATGGGTAAAATGCAATATCCTGACATCATTTTAAATCCATTATAGTATCAGTAAGGCAAAAAAAAAAAAGTCTCCGGTTTCTGGTAACTCTCGGTGGGTAACTCTATCAAAAACATCCTGATGGAATTTCCGAATTAATAAGCTATATGCCGTTTGGCTAACATTCTCTACAATTGTATACATTAGGCCAAAAAAAAAAGTCTCCGGTTTCTGGTATGGAGCTTGTCCAAAAAGTGGTGCGGCGACGCGGCTTTTTTTTTTTTTACCTGACTTTTTTGCCTCAAATGTCGACTGGATGACTGCAAATGGTGCCCGACTAAACTTAGTGCAAATATATGGGAGTCCAGAGAGGCCACATAAATCTTATTCTCAATCATAACCCCATCTAAAAACACGTTAAAAATTGTGCAGCAGCAGAATTCCAGTCAAACCAGTGAGTTTGGCAGTTTTGAGACATCATCTTTCATTGAAAAAAAAACCTTTTTCATTTTGCCGACGCGCATGGCTACGGCGACGCGCGCACATACCAGAAACCGGAGACTTTTTTTTTTTGGCCTAACAGTCAGTCATTGAAAATATGTTGAAAAAAAAATGAATACTGGACTTAATAAATTTTGTTAATTTCTTTTTCATTACTTTCAACAGACTTTGTACACAGCAACCAACGGGGCGTCGTGAAAACTAACGCATGCCCAATTGGCGACAGCTCAGGACTACGCATGAGATGTGTGACTACTTAAATACAACAAAAAAGAGAAATTCATGAATTTTGTATATGGCTTTTTCAATTTGTGCTCAGATTTGGAGTTTGATTAGGACACTTACTGCTCCTTCTTCATCTCTTACTGAAGGAATGCGACCGCTCATCAAGCTGAGGAAACAAGACCAGTAAGAACTTTCAGTTTTCGGAGCATTTAGAGGCAAATAAGCTCAACAGAAGTGCAAGAATTTCTATTGTTTCAGGCATGAATAGTTTCAAATATATTAATAATTATATTGATTTTTTTTAGAAACAGGTTAAACAGGAAAAGCGACAGCAGAGAAGAGATTCTAAACGAAGAATTCTTACCTGGAGAAAAAGGAGTCAGGAATGCATGTCAATGTTTGCTTGGATGTCGAAAACCTAGAATCAACGTAAAAAAATTAAATACTTTAAAATCGCTTGTTTGGTTTCAAGTATACAAAATCACCCTTGCAAAGAAGTAGGAGTTATTGTGTATATTAGGAGCCCCTCTTTTATTTTAGTCCTTAACCCTAACTCCCCAGCCTAATTTACTAGGAACCATACCAATTCAGGCAAATTCCAACACCCACATGGGAAATTGCACACACACACACTGTTGGACTTAGTTTCTGGAGGTATGCCAACCCCAGTGTAAAAGACCATCAGTTTAGGGGAACTGTACCTATCCCAACAGATTTAAACACAAACCTGCCCTGTTGAACTTTGATGGGTTGTGTTCGGTTAGGGTTAATTAAAGTGTTTTTATCATTCATTTTCCAAATTTTCAATTTCCAAGATAAACTTTTGCAACCCATAGGCACATTCCTCAAGGCGTGTATTAAGACGAATGAACGCGGTATTCCGCCCATTTGCATCGCCCACAAACTTTACGTATGCTCTGATAGACATACACAACACACAGTACATTGTACATGTGTGGTACGGTACTACCGGCTAAAAGCTAACAAATTGGAATGCAGGTAGTTGAATTAGCAAGTCAAAAGAACTTTTATCTTATTTTTTCTCTGTTTTTAATTGAAAAAGTAATTTCGAAATTCACTAATTTAACTTGACCCACTCACCCACATTTTCGAAAAAATATCAAAAATTAAAAGCGTAGAAATTTTTTTAATGGCCCCTAATTTTAATTCCGAAATTATTTGGGCGATCGTATAGTGTAGGACCCGGTTCCTAGTCTAAGGGAACAAAAAACACTTTAAAATTATTAGACCCACATGTACCAAACTAGTTGGCGACATTCTCAACAAACAGGTATGTCATAGATAGAGGGCAGGGTTTTGATTTTATTAGGGAAATCTGGGGGTAAAATGACGATGACAGCGCGGCGACAACACACAAGGAAAATAAAGTTGGCGATCACCACGCGATCACCGTGAGCACGCACGGCGCGCTGAATCGCAAGGCAAAAACTGCGCAGCAAAATCGTAATTTCTAACCAAAGAAAGTGTTCAAAATTGCAAAACGGGTGTCATTAGAATTGAGAAAAGTCTGCTTTTTATTGTAAAGGTGATTTTTGAGCAATAAAATTAAAAAACATTTTTGACTCTAATTTGTTCAAAAGTGTTCCCTAACGTGGCGCACTTCGAAGCTTACCCAACTTTCCTCATGTAGTGTTGCCAAACCTCTTTGTTGATAAACCTCAAATTCATGCAGTGAAATGCTGGTACTTTTACCTTTTTAATGCTTGCTATTTAACCTCTGTGAACAATTTCGGTTTCATAAAATTTAATCCGAAATGCAAAAACGGTCGCGTCCGGAAATTGGGCACAAATTGGCGGAGTGTTCCCTAACGTGCGCACTTGAATAAATCTCAGAAAATTCCAAATTTAACATTTAAGAATTTCTGTAAACTTGATAAATTCTGATAAATCATTATTATCTTTACTTACAAACCCAGACAGATGTTTGTCAGAAAATTATTTTCTTATTTTTCAGGGCATTTTCAAAGGGTTCACATTGCACTTGAAAATAAAATCGGAAAATCACGCCAAAATAATTTTTTCTTTTAACTTGATAACTTGGTAAATATACTCGCGATTTATGAACGGGAGTGTTAAGAACTTGATGAAATTTCACTTTCTGTGAAATTTCAGTTAAAACTTTTGCTCTAGCTAGGCGCTACAGGCGAAAAATAAAGGCAGTGTATATTTTGCCGGAGACGGCAAACCTTTAGTAAACGTTAGTTTGCCGGATATGCACTGAACATGTGCAGTTACTGTTTTTTTGTACTCGAACATGTTCAGGTGACAAGTTTTAGTCTGGCTCCATGCCATTATCGTTGTTACCTTGTATTCACAAGATGGGATTCAGTCCATTTTATAATTTCGGACTTTTTTTCCCTTTTAAAAAAAATCCTCCAGAGCCACAAATCTGAAAAAGAAAATGTAATACTCTGCAAAAAATGTTTGAGACATGTTAAAATAATAAAAGAAGAATATTCTTATTTATTTGGGGATGAGAAAAAAAAACTTAAAAATGTGGTCGGAATCGAACGCGAGTCCTTCCGTTTTCTAAAGCCTTTACTTAACCACTACACCAAACGTGCTACACAACTTTTGGTGGGAATTTAATACATCTTATAATTCAGCCCTATTTTAAAGAGTACAGCGCCCTCTGTTGATATGGATTGCCGCCGGCAAACCTTTAGTAATCGTTAGTTTGCCGTCATTACCTCCGGCAAAATATCCACTATCAAAAATAAAAGTGCGCCACGTTAGGGGCCGCGCTACTCCTAGAACTATGAGGCTCCACGTAGTGGAGCCTCATAGTTCTAGGAGTAGGGCCGCGCCACGTTAGGGTACATCAACAATACACGATCGCCACTATTTCTGCCATATTTAAGTAAAATATTTCCACAAAATTAACACACACACAATCCGACCTCATGAAAAAGATAAGGAGCAACTATAGAATGCAGGGCCACGCCGAAGCAAGGTTTTTTAATTTGCTTGGAGGCGTGGATGGATAGGAGTAATAGATATGCAAACCTGCAAAAAGTGCGAAGTACAGCGAATGCACTTGTCTTCTAAGCTTCTCATGAAGGATCGGAAGGGAGGGCGTGCTTGTAAACGTGTTGGGGGCACGGTACGGATCGGAGTGGCGGAGGCGCGGAGTCGGGGAGTCGGGGAGTCGCGGAGACGCGGGGCACTGGAGTGGCGGAGGCGCAGAGTCGCGGAGTCGCAGAGACTCGCACCGATAGAGGGCGCAATTCTCGGCGGAATTATTTTGAGAACGAAGCATCCGTATCCACTTTAAATGGGCTCGCAAATTAGGAAGGGAGGAGGGCGACGGGGCACTGTCTGGAGTGGCGGAGGCGCGGAGTCTGGGAGTCGCAGAGTCTAGTCGCGGAGACGCGGGGCACTGGAGTGGCGGAGGCGCAGAGTCGCGGAGTCGCAGAGACTCGCGCCGATAGAGGGCGCAATTCTCGGAGATATCGACTGCGGCCGCGCTCCACGACTCCACGATCGATTTTCGGAGGTAGGTCGACTGCGGCTCCACGCCTCCACGCAGCCGTACGGAGGCGTGGATGTAGAGTAAAGTGGCCCTGCATTCTATAGTTGTGCCAAAGATAATTGCACTTCTACCATCGGGAAATTGAGGATACGTTTTGTTCAAGAGTACAGCACTTCGCCATGTTGGCGGCGCATGCATGATTTACCTGTCCGGAAACTGGGCGCAAGACAATCCATGATTTCCTCAAACTTACCTCGCTCCTCCAACGTTCAATTTGATGATCTCCCCGGAAAACCCCGGTGCTCCAAACAGCCCATACATGTTTCTGAAATTACAATACTTTCCCTTTTGCTGTTATCAATATATGTTCTTCTGAAGGGAAAAATTGGTTCATTAACTTTTTGTGCTAATTCGATTCGTGCGCACGAATGTTTTCCTTCGTAGCTCGTAATACGTACGCGCGTAGGTATGACGTATATGTACCAGACGTGTATTATGAGCACCAGACTATAGTTAATATGCGATTATTTTTAGCGCATGCATATTAGTGGTTAACGCCCTCCTGGTCAGACATCTATCTATAGGCCTTATGCAATTTCCTGTGCAATCTTTGAACATTTCAAAGATTATTTACTGATTCACTAAACAACTACATTTCTACTTGATGCCATTTCTTCACCCAAAAGAGTGTTTATGAAAATAAATACAAGTAACAATAGAATAAAAACGAACTTTTTGCACCTGATAAGGTATTCATAACATTGTGCAATCCATGAGAGTTTGAATCACGTACTTGTACGAATATTCCTTGCATGTGCCTAAGCCCCTCCTAACAGATGGGCGTCGCGAGGGAGGAGGGAGGAGGACAAGGGGGCGCTCCCCCCTCCCCCCACCTCTGGAAAAGCCAAAAAAAGAGGGGAAAGAAGAAAAAACAAAGAAAGAAAAAGAGGCACGAAGTCATTGCTCTTAATTTTATGGGTTGACGGGGGGGGGGGGGGATGTCCCTACCCACCCTCAAAAATGATAAATCAGGAATATGCTTGAAAAGTAGAGGGATTTCGGGGGAAATGTGCTCCCCCCCCCCCCCCCCCCCGTCTAAAAAAAATCCTGGCGACGTTCTGTTTTCCAATTTCACAACCTCTGGATGGGAGGGGCGACTGATGCAATTAACCCCTGATATCTAAGCCGTAAACATCTTGGACAGAATTTATATTGAAATTATTAATATGCATATTGTCTCATCAATAATTAGTATTTGCATCACTGTCAATTAAAAAAAGGCTTTGCAATTGTCAATTTCAGTTCTTCCTAAACGGTGTTTTGTTCCTGTTGGAGAAAGCAATTTAGAAAGATTCCCATATCTGGCCATCACTTGTCTTGTCTTTCTTAGAGTTTAGGCACTCTCCTGAAGACGGTCAGAGCATACTGACCGGAACGTCGAGTTTATACCTCTGGTTCTTTTCAGAACCATTCTCTTAGTTGAGAAATTATTCGCACATGGTGTCTCCGCAAACCTTTCATTATTAATATCTCCACCATGCAAAGCCTCAAATCTTACTTGTCTTGTCAACCTGTGCACAAACCCTGAAAATTTTAAAGTGTTTTCTCAGTAAAAACTTCAATATTTTCCATGCTAAATTTGACTTTTTAGGACATATTATCACTTTCTGATGGCTGATAGGTCACTGAGGGGAAAAAGTAGTGATGGCCAGATATGGGAATCTTTCCAGGAATTTTTATACAAATCGTGGGTATGGCTCATGCTGTACTAAACACCGAAGCTGCCTCGCCGCGTAGCCACGCCTCCCTCAACAGTTATTTCCTTCTGACAGAACACGACAAAGCCTCATTGTTTACAAGAACAAAACAAGCGAAACTATTTCAGCCGATTAAGTCGGGCGTAGCGATGGCATTATTTTGCGCTGAATGGTGATTATCCCCATAAGGCCCTACTCTTAATCTTTTGACCAATTCCAAAAATGTAGCATATGCAAGATCCTCTCCCTATAGCTGACATATTGGAGCCAACGCTACGTTACAGTTTCTTGACGAGATTCGCTAGATACTTCGCCCATATTTCACTGATTATTAGTGGAATCTCTCATAAGGTAAGATATTTCACATTTAGTAAGAACACTTGACTACTTTAAGATGCCGCCCACCCCTACACACGCCACACAGGACCACCGCGGGAAGGGATGACGTGTAGGCCATCTGAAGCCCCTCGTTCGTCGGTCATGCGTTGCAAAAATTGGGCCTGCAAAAACCTTCTCAATTTACAATTCACGTCAAAATATTAGCGACAACTTTTCATTTCAAGATTATGACACTTCCTTTTAGCTCGAAGGTAGGGGTTTTTGTCATAACATTTCACGACATCTTCCTAGTTTTATTGTAATTTCCAGAGAGAAATTATGCTAGGCCCAGGCCTAATTGGAAACTCGGACACTATGAGAATGCAGTGTTTCCACAAAGATATAGTAACCAGGTAATTATGCATCCAAAGCAAAAATATGCCTACATAGATACAACATACTTATTTCATGGCCAGAAAAAAAGGTGAAGTTTTTATTCGTTTTTTGGAAGGTGGCGCTGTGACTAAAGTTTCAGAGGCAGTCTGGATCCTAGCCCCATAAATGTGGCCTATTTACTGGACTGCCTCCGTAAACGTAGGCCACACATCCACGTGTACAAAAACGTCTCGCACTTTGCCAAATTTTGATTTTCACATTTAGGCTTTGTTTGTAGGATTTTTTTTTGCTTTAGAAGCATACTCACCCTCTTTATAGGCTAGTCAGAAAGTGCTGCCTTTTTCAGACGTCTAATTTTTGTGAAATTTCATGTTGAAATTTTGATACGCAAACGTGTAAAAATGAATCTGGAAATTTCACGAAAAATATACATCTGAAAAAAGGCAGCACTTTCTGATTAGCCTATGAAGAGGGTGAGTATGCTTCTAAAGCAAAAATAAACTATAAACTAAGCCTAAATGTGAAAATCAAAATTTGACAAAGTTCGACATGTTTTTGTACATGGTGGAAGTGTGGCCTTTATTTACGGAGGTAGTCCAGTAAATTGGCCACATTTATGGGGCTAGCGCTATGACTCAAGTTTCAGAGGCAGTCTAGATCCAGACGGCATTTATGAATCTAGCACAAACACTCGGCACTGTATAATGGTCTTTTGTTTCTTTCCAGGAGGAATACTGACCATGCATTCATATAGGCTCCCACACCAATGGCCTAGAAATTCACCTAGAAAAACTGCACAGGCTTTGACCAGTCATTCCAAGAAATCGGAACTGGTAAGGAGGCGGGCCCTGAGTTTCGCAATACATGTAGCTCTAAAAACTAAATGCGTGTAGAGAAGCTTGCATACCTGCTTAAAAATGACAGTAAAGCATATAGAGAGGGGCTATTGTGATAGCACGCATTCCTAAAATCACTGGCCCAAGTTCAAGCTGAATTGAATTCGGCACGACAATGGCGCTGGCACTGCATTTAGAACGGTTCCACTGCCGTTTAGAACGGCGCCACTGCCGTTTAGAACGACGATAGCACGGCAGACCCTGTCGTACCCTAAGGACGGTGCCCTGCCGAACTTAATAGGCCTGTTCTCGCCGAATTCACAAAATGTCAAATTAAATAAGTTCGGCACGCCAGTAAGCACGGCTCGTAGAACAGACCTTATCAGGGAAATTAGAGGGAAACATGATAACGAACGAAAAAAAATTAATACCCACATTTTCTAACATTATGTAAATTTTTCTTTATAAAATTAGTCGTGTAAAGTGGTCCGTTGACAGCTCAAAATAACAGTAAATCCTTCTTTGTTTTAATCTCCAGAATCATCTGTGCAGTTCCATGAGCAAACTTCTGTCACCAAGGTGCTTCTGCCGTGCCGCTCTTGTAGTATTATTTTCGGTTACGTTTGCCAGTGGTAAGTTTATTAAGAAAAGATATAATATAAGTTGTATTTTTATTCACGTTAAATTTCATCAGATTGCAATGGCCTATCACCACTTAACTTGTGCCGATTTCCCTAACCACTTGTTATTACTTTTTTTTGGCATGCATTATTTCCGCATAGTTGGTTTGTGGCTTCATTTCAAGACGCCAATTGATATGCTTCATGGGATGCCGCAAGAAGACTCAAATGAAGAATTGGCCTTAAGATATGAGACTGAGTTTGAGGAGGAAGAGGAGGGTTTGACGCAAGACGACCAGTTGGGTCCCAACTCACTATCAGTTGCACCTTCTTTTGCTGATGAAGTTCGAGCTCTGGCCAAGGCCTTACCCAAGCGGAAGATTGTCCTGACCACAGCCAATACGGGATTCCTAGATTTCACCCAGAACATGCTGTTGAGCATCCAGCGAGTCGGGATCCATCCGGAAGTGGTTGTGATTTGCGAGGATGAGGCCACTTACAAGTTCCTGCTCAAACATCGTTACGGGCTCCACGTTTTGAAACCCCCCAATGCCATTCCAGAGGCGGCAGGGGTGCTCAACTACGGCGTACCTGACTACGTCACACTGGTCAACAACAGGCCCAAGTATACATATGAGTTCATCAAGCAAGGCTTCGAGGTCTTTTTCGTCGATTCGGACACTTTCTGGTTCCGCGACCCATTTCCGTATTTCAAAGGGGACCAGTACGACGTTGCCTTTATGAGGGACTACCGCAAAGTTTTCAATGCTGGGGTAGGGTTCTACAGACCCACCAACCGCACCGAGTACTTCTTGCGACTCTGGTCCTGGGTCCTGGAGACCCAGCCCAAGATCAGACACGACCAGCACGTCATGAACTACATCCTGTCCTCCAAGATTAGCCCCGATATCAAGATCAGATCTCTGAGCTTCCAAGTTTTCCCGACTTGCAAGATTTTATACGACTGGGATCATGAAGTATGCAGAAACGTCACCAAGAAAACTGCACTCTTTCACGCCGCATTTGTACCTGACCATGACAACAAAAGAAAAGTCTTTGATATCTGTAAGATATGGCTACTAAATTGAATCCCCCCCCCCAAAAAAAGCGGGTCCAACAAAATACGGGTGACACAAATTAAACCGCACACGACAAGTGATCATACACTATTGAATTCGGTATTCCCATTGTTTTAAATTAACACCAATAAAATGATAGGAAAGAATTCAATACCTGGACATCACTTGACGCCCTGTGCACGAACCCTATGAGACTGGTCTGAGAAATTCTTTTAGGACATGTTGTCGCTTTCTGATGGGTGATAGGCCACTGCAGGGGAAACTTAGTGATGTCCATGTATGAAATTCTTTCCAAATGTTGTCTTTTTCCCTTTAGTTTGTATGGAATCTAACGCTCTAATAAAAAGAGGTATTAGGTCTAGAGTACTAATGTATATCCATATGTTCCTTTCTGTTGCAAGCAAAAACATGGAAAACAAAAACGGAAAAGTGTGTTTTCCTTTACATACTTTTTGAAATTCATGTACATTAATAATATGCATAATTTATCCAAATTATGTGGATGTAGGTTATAAGTTACACTGAGTATAAACTTTACTTTACATGTTTATATTACAGTTTATTATAATTCATGTCGTTATAAAGTTTATTGTTTTCGTTTCGTTTGTGAAAGGTCTCTCATATAATTTGAACAGAAAGTGATTTGTGATATTTGTTGACCCCAGATAAAGAAACACACTTAAACTTAGTTGGCGGTTTGTGTTTGCATTTGTTAATTTCCATCAGGAGTTTGCATACTATATGGTTAAAGGGAATGTACAACATTTGCTTGTGCTGCAATTTTCAGAAATAAATGGATTTGGAGGATTAGTATAGGAGCCACAAATTTACAGGATGCTATAGACTGTCATTCCCTAACAATCCAGAAAAGTATTACGTGATAATTTGATCATTTCGTTTTTTTGATGTTTGCAAATATATCAAGAGTATCCTTCATAAGATGGATTTTTTTCTAAGAGTATCCTTAGGCCTACCCCTTTGGAACTAGAACAAACGGTTTGTCAGAATTACAGAGTAAATGAAATAAATGAAACGTAGGAAACATTAAGAAATGGTACTGTTTTAGAAATGAGAGGATAACACACATGGGCGACGCCAGGATTTTTCTAGGGGGGTCAAAGCACACTATTTCCCCAAATCCTTGTACTTTCTCTGGCATATTCTCAATGTATCAATTTTTCGAGGGTGGGCGGGGGGGGGGGGGTATTTGCCCACTGCACCCCCATTGACACCCTTGTGGACGTCCATGTCGTTAAATGTGCACAGCAATATGACTTCGCCCCTCGTCTTATTTTGTTCCCTCTGTTTTTTGGGGAGGCTTTTCCGGGAGGGAGGTGCCCCGTCTCCCCTCCCTTGCGACGCCCATGATAACACAGGATTGACTCTCCAACTAGGGAAACTCACATATTGGCAAACATCATTTTAATGGTGACAAATTATTTGTTTCATCCCCATGAGTGAAAAACAAAACAAATTATGATAGCCTTTTCTGGTGAGTAGCTTAATATGTATTTTTAAAGAAGGTATACCATTATACACGTTAATCTCATGGTCTTCTAACGAGGGGATAGTTGCATGGTGCCCACATCGTAATTTCCATATCCGACACCAGATTTTCCTAAATTTGACAGGAATGCTGGTTGGATATAATCTACGATATGGCATCATTTGATTGCGCTGTATTTAACCAATGAGGGCGCCTTACTGCATTTTCGCCAATTTTTGGTCAAAGACCGTTTTTCAAGTTGGCATAATATCTTCATTTTTCATATTTACAGTAAAAGGAGAAAACTAAGCGGCTATTATGGCGGCCATATTTGATTCTTAGGCACGCATGGGTGTATACCCTCGCTGTAACGTAAAGGGGAAAAACGCGTCCGGGCCCATAGACGAGAATACAAAATGATCACTGAAGCAGAACTAGATTCTAAAGGAAGACGCAACTTTCATGTCTACGGTTCCGAATTCCAACAGTTGACTGCGATTGTTAGCATGGTGAATACATTCGCCAGGTGAACGTGTGGTCGCGGATCGCGGAGTAAACAAGCTGCGTTTCCAATCACTTGTTTGGCTTCTCGCATTGACCGGAGGTCATGCAAAGTTTCGTCCGCCTATAGATCTTTCTATTTACGATCGAACGATCATACCCACGTTGAGGAATATAGTTTCTTGACGAGATTCGCTAGATACTTCGATCACAGTGTACTGATTATAAGCGGAATCTCTCAATAAGGTAAGATATTTGTTTAGTAAAAACACCTCCCACACATACAACGGCGATCGTGTACAAACTGTTAAGTATCGATCAAATAGGCCCTAGAGTCAAGGGTGTTTTTTGTCATTTAAAGAAGACCTTTTCGATCTACAGCAGACTTTTCTCAATCATAACGACATTTTTTGTGTAATTTTGAACAGTTTCTTGGGGTAGAAATTACGATTTTCCAAAGCGGTTTTGGATGGTGCCGTGCGATTCAGCGCGGTGCGCGTTCACGGTGCTTCGCGGTGATCGCCATCTTTATGTTCGTGTTGCGTTTCGTCGTCATCATCGTCAGTTTTACCCCTTAAATTTCCCTTAACAATTCACAGCCAAAAACAAAAATGATATATATGCATGGTCTTCATGTCGCAAACTACACGTAGTTTGGTAAGTCAAATATTGTTCTCTTATACAGGGAACCGTGCCCTCGTGCATGGTTGCAGACCAGTAAATACATTTCCATAGACCCCAATGATAAATGCCCCAACTTCAGAAATTCAGGAAAAATACTCGCAACTCTCCAAGGTGTTCAAGACGCACTTCAAATTAAAGGTTATTTCATTGTCTTTCATTTTCTTTTCAACTTTTTGGGGGTAATCTGATTACTCTTGGGAGAAATTCCCATCCGAAGATGATCACCCCTTAAAATAGTCCTAAAGCCCGTCGCCATGTTGAAAAACGGTGTATACACTCCATTGCAAAATAGAGCGCTTTTAGGGGTGCATACCTGCAAATAAACTCCCATAGACACTAGTGCTAAATGCCCATACTTCAAAATTCTTTTAAAAATACTCAAAACTCTCACAGGTATTCAAGCTGCACAGAAAAATGATGATCAATGTGTCATCTTTCATTTTCTTTTCAATTTATGGTGGGTTGACCATTGACTTTTCGAGATATTTTCACGCAAAGAAGACGACCCCTATTTTCCCCAAAGCGGAAAAGTAGCCATCTTGAAAAACGATCCCTCCACAACATGGCAAAATAGCGCCACTTTCGAGCCCAATAGCATCCAAAATGCTCAGAATTGGAAGCCCCAAGTCCGGGCCAGAGGTTCACTACCATATCTCTTCAATTCCCCAATTTTACGGCGCTCAGAACTCTCTAATATAGAATATTTTGAGGGTATAACTTTTATTCATGAGCTTGGCGGATCGATTTACCGGTATGCACCCTTAGGGCCCCCGATTTCATCCAAATTTCACAGAAATACAAGCTCACGGTCCCGTGCACGGCTTCTACCCTCATTTTATTTTTACAAAGTTCATGGCCCACAATGCATACAAATCGTCATCTGGCCGGCGTAGGCAATTTCGGACCGATTTACTGGTCTGCAACCTTATACATGTACACTACACGATCAAACGTACAAACGCCACTCACAGAAATCACAAGGCCATTTTTAGGGCATCTGGGAACTGGAATACCGGTGCCGTACAATGTAAGCCATATATATTCTGAAATTCTCTTCTTTAAAATTATGACCGCTCAAAAAAAAATGGGACTTAAAAAACGTTAGCAATTTTCGTTTAACAAATTCACTTCAACATATTCAACTTATAGCTTTTCATTTCAAAATTGTGACTTTTGTTTTTTTTGGCATGAAGGCTGGGTCTCCATGCATGTTATGATCAACTCAGCCCTACCAACTCGCTCCCTGACCAACTAGCCCCTATGGCGTATGGCTTTGCTTGAAACTTTCCCTTAGAAATTATTGAAGTTATCATTTTTTTTCTGTGAGAACGTTAGGTAACTCGGTCGCTAAGGTGTCTTTGAAACACGTCGTTAGAAAGAGATGCTTAATCGTACTAATTTAAGCACTTTAATTGATTTACTGTTTTCATTGGCTACTTACCTTTTTAACGTCATTGAATAACTTTTTTTTTTTAAAGTATTAGAACCCTTAAGAATAGCAGTTCAAATAACTGAAAGGGATATCCTGTTGAAATAAAACTAGTACATGGGATATGTTTTTCGGTTCAGTTTTACGCCGTAAGGCCGTTTATACGGATGGGTAAACTGAAGCGTTGGGTTTGCTTTTGAGTTCAACTTTTTGGGAGTTTTGAGGAGCCAATACATGTACATGTATTTATCATTCGTTTGCATAGAGAAGACTAGCCCGAAACTTTGGGGCTCTAAATGCAGTTTATGAGAGTCCCAAAACATAAGGTATTGAAAGCATGCAATATAAAAATCGTAGACTGGCTCATGAAGTACAGTGCATCAGTAACCTACTTCTACACATTCTGTCCAGTCATGCCACCAGATACTGAATGGTCGATCATTTGACAACATTTGACATGCATTCAGTCTAGTCTTTATAGCTTCAAATTAAAATCACCTGGCTTCACTCTCAGTTGCAAAATGTTAAGTCTCCTTTAAAAATTGAATTGAATGAGTACATGCATAGAATGAAAACATTAATCGGACATACATAACACAAAAATAGCTTTGCAAAACTCCCAATAGGGGTAAAAGTATGTTCGTTAAAATTATAACCAAACGAATTGTCGTCATAAGGAAAAGTATTCCCTTCGAAACACGGAAGGTGTATCTTTTAATAACACCATGCAAGTCGCACAGCGTCTGATTACTAATAGGCCTAGTTGAAAGAACACACAAACTTCATGAAGGCCTTTTAACATTTCCCCCATCACTGGTGGCAGACTTTAAATGAAATTATCATCCAGGGGGTCAGCAAGGGCGGATCCAGAACACAATTTTTTTGGGGGGGGGGGCCAAAAAAAAATTTGGTCCCCCAAAACAGTTGGTCTAAAAAATTACGGCGTGGGGTTCGGGGCCCGCTTAAGGGCCCCGAAAAAAAATTTGGATTCTAGATGCTCTGTGGTGCGATCTGAGGCAATTTCTGACCACTTTAACCAATTTATTTTGAGGAAAAGATGGTGGTGTACTCATTGCCTGCCTTTATTGCGATGTCACATTAAAAAAAAAAATTGGTTTCGCTTTTTTTTGGGGGGGGGGGGCCATGGCCCCCTTTGGCCCCCCCTGGATCCGCCCTTGGGGGTCAGTAGGTCAGGGGGCGAGTTGACCAGATATCCGCAGACTGATTTGGAGAGAAATTAATACATGTAGACTGGAAATGAATGACCATGGATATTTATATTTACTCCATGGGCCTTATTCACGCGTTGGCCATTTTTGTCAGTTCCCTGATTGTATTTCATTAATTGTTAACTGTTGAATGGGATGGCGCCAGACTACTTATGCAGGTACATCATGGAGGAATAAGAACACATGCAGCCTTATTTTACTGTAATTTTTTTTTTTTTTTAAATATGGCTTTAAACATATTAGGGAATGTTTAATTACAAATTTTAAATTATTCATTGAAGCAGACTGGAATTTATTATAAATTAAGTTGCTTTCATTTCTCTTCGCATGGAGTTCCAAACTTTAAGATTTTACCTAACTTTCAATTCAATATGGCCGACTGGTGAATAAGGCCCATGGTCTGACCATGAAGGAATAAGAACACATGGTCTGACGTGCCCGTTCAACGTAACGAAAAATGGTGCACGCTATTGTGCAAAGTAACTGCCCGTGACGGATTACGTAATGCTCTGCGCGATTCCTTTTTGGAAGGCATCCTTACTAAAGCCATATGATCCGAGTGACCTCGAGCGATATTTTATTCATGACACTTTGTGTTACAAAAGGTACCCAACACGAACTGAGTCATCCCTGATAATCGATACGTACCCCCAGGCACACACACCCTCGCAAGTGTGTATTTGCCTGCAATGGGGGACCCCCTATTGTCCCTCTTTTGTTTGTATTGAAATTTTTAGGAAGATCCCCCATATGTTTAATTTGTACACGATCGTCAGTCGTGGACCTTCGGGAATTGGGAACCCTATCCACTGTTGTTCAACGTCCCAAAACTCACACACACAGAAGTGTGTATTTGTCTGCAATCGGGGACCCCCCATTGTCCCTCTTACATGTATACTTTAACTTTTTAGGAAGACCTCCCGAATGTTTTGTACACGATCGTAGATTGGGGACCTTCGGGAATTGGGGACCCTATTGTCCTCTACTGTTCAACGTACCTTATTGAATGCAGAAACAAACTCACACACCCACATTAGCGCCCATTGCCTAAACCAATGGTTCCTAACCTCGTTCCCATGTTGTCGAGCGGTACGCTCTCACCACTACCTGTTCTCTCACTTACTATTGGAAACGAGGTCGAAACTAAAGTAAGCCCTGGGGACGAGTTTGCAATGGTTTCCAGTACTACTCCGTGTGCAGTGCTAGTGTCACGTGGTTTAGTTGAAATGACGCCCGTTTACGGACCGGGTACGTTTAAATCAACAGCACAAGGCGATATACACGTATAAAGCAATGCGTCTACAACGGTCGCCATGCTTTTTTTATTTGCCCCTTTCCTATTGGACAAGAGGCTTCAGAAAAAAGACGAATATGATAGCGTGCTCCGATTGGTCTATGCACAATATAATTTCATAATCTGGCTGTGAAAATAAACCATCTAAAATCATGATTAGGATGTATGCTTACCCGGTGAACATTGTGAACAAATCTGCGCATGTCCAGAGAAATAATTTGAATGTTATTTCCAGAGAAACATTATTTTAGTCCCGAGAAATTAGACCTATGGAAAATGCCCAGTTCAGTGCTCCCAAGGAAACAGTAAACAGGTTAAATTACACACGTCATGCAACCAGAAATATACACTTACCAAACTTTTGATTTTCACGCCCCCCCCCCCCCCCAAAAAGAATCATGCTTTTTCGGCAGGTATGGTGCCAGAGTTTTAGAGTTGCCATCCCCAAGAGCATAGTAGCACTCACCACAGTCGACACTATATAATGGTCTGGCAAAGATCATAAAGATATTCTTTTTATTTCTTTCCAGGAGGAATACTGACCATACAGTCATACAGGCTCCCACACCAGAGGCGCGGAACTACGGGAGCTTTTTCCAGTCAGTTTCAAGATGACGGTGAGGATCAAGTCTGTTCTAAACGCCATGTCACTGTCGTACCCTAGCCTACTCAACCGAATACAGTCGACTCTCGGCCGGACCTAGCCGCAAAAATGTTTGTTATACATGTACATGTTTCAGAATTGTGTTTTAAGAAGAACATCAGTCCCATTCATTGTGCACAAAAAATGCACAATCGGGACTTCAAGGCTTTAGGTTTGTTATAACCAGAATGTGTATTAACAGTATTTGTACTCAGAGGAGAGTCGAGTGTAGCCCTAATGGCGTTGTTTACATAATGCGCTTTCCTATGAGAGCGAAGTCGGGACGCCAGACGAAGTACGGACCGTCTACCACATATAGGGTAGCAGACCAGTAAATAAACTTCCATAGACCCCAATGGTAAATGCTCCCACTTCAAAAATTCGGGAAAAATACTCACAACTCTCCAAGGTGTTCGAGACACTCATCAAATTAAAGCTTATTTCATCATCTTTCATTTTCTGTTTTCTTTTCATTTTCGGGGGTCAACTGATGACTTCTAGGAGAAATTTCCGTCTGAAGATGATCACCCCTGAAAATAGTCCTGAAGCCCATCGCCATTTTGAAAAACGATGCCTACACTCCATTGCAAAATAGAGCGCTTTTAGGGTCCAAATTACATCAAAATTACACAGAACTGCAAGCTCCCAGTCCTGTGCACGGCTTCCACCCATTTTTTTTTACAAACCCTCAAGTTCATGGCCCACAGCATGCTCAAATACTGAAGATTTTGAGGGCATGCAAATCTTGATTTGGCCGGCGTAGGCAATTTCGGACCGATTTACTGGTCTGCACCCATAGGAAAGCGCCCATGTAAACAAAGCGTGACGTCATTAGGTCTCAGGCCTATTAAGCTAGTTGGCAAGAGCTCGTCTGTTACTAAAATAAGAAGTGTATTACTAAAAATTTAATATGCCGTGTATAATAGGCCAAAAAAAAAGTCTCCGGTTTCTGGTATGGAGCTTGCCCAAAAAGTGGTGCGGCGACGCGGCTTTTTTTTTTTTTTTACCTGATTTTTTTTGCTTCAAATGTCGGCTGATGACTGCAAATGGTGCCCGACTAATCTTAGTGCAAATATATGGGAGTCCAGAGAGGCCACATAAAGCTTATTCTCGACCATAACCCAATCTAAAAACACGTTAAAATTGTGCAGCAGCAGGATTCCAGTCAAACCAGTGAGTTTGGCGGTTTTGAGACATCATCTTTCATTTAATAAAATACCTTTTTCATTGTGCCGACGCGCATGGCTACGGCGACGCGCGCGCATACCAGAAACCAGAGACTTTTTTGGCCTAATAACTTAAGTCACAAGCACATTAAACAATGCGTCGCCCGAGCTGTTTAGATTGTAACACGTGTTTACATTTGTTATACCTATGTCCATGTACTTTGAAATGTCAGGGGTAAGCATTCCTCTGTGAAATATTGGTCGGTTGACAGCTCAAAATAACAGTTATTCATTTATTTTTAATCTCAAGAATCATCTCTGCTGTTCCATGAGCAAACTTCTGTCAGCAAGGTGCCTCTGCCGTACCGCTCTTGTAGTGTTATTTTCGGTTACGTTTGCTAGTGGTAAGTTTATTTAAAAAAAAAAATACCTGTAAATAAGTTGCCGTCTTTTGTATTATGTTGGAATTCCATCCAAATGCAATTTTACCGCTTATGTCGATTCCCTATGACAAATAGTAATTTGTGTGTTTTTTTGGCATGCATTTTTTTGGTACAGTTGGTTTATGGATGCATTCCAAGACCCTACTTGATGTGACTCGCGGGGTGCCGCCAGAAAGTTTAAATGAAACATCGTTCTTAAGACATGAGGCCGAGTTCGAGAAGCAAGACCACCTGTTGACTGTCAAACCGTCATCACGTGCATCTTCCTTTGCTGACGAAGTCCGAGCTCTGGCCAAGGCCTTACCAGAGCGGAAGATTGTCCTGACCACAACCAATTCGGGATTCCTAGATTTCACCCAGAACATGCTGTTGAGCATCCAGCGAGTCGGGATCCATCCGGAAGTGGTTGTGATTTGCGAGGATACGACAACTTACAAGACCCTGCGGCTCAATGATTCTTACGGAGTCCACGTTTTGAAACCCCCCAATGCCATTCCTGAGGCGGGAGAAGCGCTCAGCTTTGGCGTACATGACTACGTCACATTTATCAACAACAGGCCCAAGTATACACATGAGTTCATCAAGCAAGGCTTCGAGGTCTTTTTCATCGATTCAGACACTTTCTGGTTCAACGACCCGTTTCCGTATTTCAAAGGGGACCAGTACGACGTTGCCTTCATGAGGGATTACCGCAGAGTTTTCAATGCTGGGGTAGGGTTCTACCGACCCACCAACCGCACCGAGTACTTCTTGCGATTCTGGATCTGGATCCTGGAGACCCAGCCCAAGCACAGACAAGACCAGCACGTCTTGAACTACCTCCTCTCCTCCAAGCTTAACGCCGGCATCAAGGTCAGATCTCTGAGCTTCCAAGTTTTCCCGACTGGCAAGATTTTATACGACTGGGATCATGAAGTATGCAGAAACGTCACCAAGAAAACGACATTCTTTCACGCTGCATTTATACCCAACCATGACAACAAAAAGAAAGTCTTTGACATCTGTAAGATATGGCTACTGAATTGAATCACACCCCCCAAAAGGGGGGTCTAACAAAATACGGGTGACACAAATTAAATCGCACACGACAAGTGATCATACACTATTGAATTCGGTATTCCTATTGTTTTAAATTAACACTAATAAAAAGATAGGAAAGAATTCCATAACTTGACACCCTTGCACGAACCCTATGAGACTGGTCTGAAAAATACTTTTAGGACATGTTATCGCTTTCTGATGGGTGATAGGTCACTGCAGGGGAAACTTAGTGATGTCCATGTATGGAATTCTTTCCAAAAGTTGTATTTTTTCCTTTAGTTTGTATGGAATCTAACGCTCCAATAAAAAAAAGAGGTATTAGGTCTAGAGTACTAAATATATCCCTATGTTCCTTTCTGTTTCAAGCAAAAACACGGAAAACAAAAACGGAAAAGTGTGTTTTCCTTTACATACTTTTTGAAATTTATGTACATTAATGTTATGCATAATTTATCCAAATTATGTGGATGAAGGTTATAAGTTACACTGAGTATAAACTTTACTTTACATGTTTATATTACAGTTTATTGGCTTTTTCGCAATTTTGCGAAAAAGCCTTTCTTTTTGTTCTGATTTTTTTTTTTTTTTTGGCTTTTTCGCAATTTTGCGAAAAAGCCTTTCTTTTTGTTCTGATTTTTTTTTTTTTTTTTTGGCTTTTTCGCAATTTTGCGAAAAAGCCTTTCTTTTTGTTCTGATTTTTTTTTTTTTTTTTTTTATTTCTTTTTGTCGCCAAAATCCCATAGACTTTGTACACGTTTTTTCTACACGCCACTTTTGGCATTAATCTTTGTCAGACATCATTCAAAGTTAGCAGAAGCATAGTCCCTATAGCAAAGATGTGCCCCGAAGATTGACGTCATGGTGACGTCATCGACTAATTTATTATAGATTTTTGAATATTTAATTTTTCCTATAGACTTTGTACACGGAAAATAAAAAAAAATTGTCGATTTTCAAAGGGCATTTTTGACTCTTTGCCAGTAATTCATTTACACCAATCTTTGTCCAAGCAAAGACCCTAATTCAAACAACATTGTGTAATGATGACGTCATGATGACGTCATCCGGTGTTTATTTATGGGCAATTAAATTGTGACACTTTTAATATTTAAAAATGCATAAGAAATCAACAGTACGCGTCCGCAGCATTCTTTTGCTGGCAAGTGGTAGAATAGGTTGAGGTCTTTATTTCATTCAGTGTGCGTGCAATCACGCGACCCTTGCTTCCGGTCGAAAAAGGCCAAAACCGGAAGTGGCTTATTATTTGAAAGTGGTAATAGATATGAACTTGCTTTCAACGGTGTTAGTGTCTTGGCCGATAGTATTCTTCAAATCATCTACCGATGACGTCACGCAATCTTCGAGCGCCCTCTAGCGACAGGTTGCACATTTTCAAAAATGTATTTGGAATAGATGTCTGTGGCGAAGTTTGTCAGAATCGCCTAAATATTGGTGTATATGACGACCTTGACCCACTTAAGACTTTTACAAAGTTTTAGGCGTATGACGTCATCAGACCGGAAGTTATAAGGAAAAGACTCTTTTTCTTTTGAAAATTCCTGAAAAATCAACCATGGCAGTTTTTATATTTGTTTTTACTTTAATTGTCGATTTAAGGGTAGGTCTAAAACATTTCAAAGTTTTGAGGCAATAAGCGAACTCGGACATACCCTGCGCACGCTTAAAACTTCAGGTTGACAATACCTCTGCTTTAAAACATGCACAGGACGTCCACAATGTACATGTACATGCACGTACGTGGTACATACGCACATACATCGTATGTCAGTCAGCCTGCAGCGCACGTGTGGCTGAGGTCAAATCCTGTCCACAGTCACCGTTTTAGCCGATTTCGGCTAACTTTGAGAGATTTTATGTTCATTCATGCGCATAGTCAGGGATGTATTATTGATAAAAAAAATCATAATGCGGAAAAGCCCTGTGTTCTGTTGCAAACAGACATACAGCTCTAGTTTTTATTTCTTTTTGTCGCCAAAATCCCATAGACTTTGTACACGTTTTTTCTACACGCCACTTTTGGCATTAATCTTTTCCAGACATCATTCAAAGTTAGCATAAGCATAGTCCCTATAGCAAAGATGTGCCCCGAAGATTGACGTCATGGTGACCTCATCGACTAATTTATTATAGATTTTTGAATATTTAATTTTTCCCATAGACTTTGTACACGGAAAATAAAAAAAATTGTCGATTTTCAAAGGGCATTTTTGACTCTTTGCCAGAAATTCATTTAAACCAATCTTTGTCCAATCAAAGACTCTAATTCAAACAACATTGTGTAATGATGACGTCATGATGACGTCATCCGGTGTTTATTTATGGGCAATTAAATTGTGACACTTTTAGTTTTTAAAAAAGCATAAGAAATCAACAGTACGCGTCCGCAGCATTCTTTTGCTGGCAAGTGGTAGAATAGGTTGAGGTCTTTATTTCATTCAGTGTGCGTGCAATCACGTGACCCTTGCTTCCGGTCGAAAAAGGCCAAAACCGGAAGTGGCTTATTATTTAATAGTGGTAATAGATATGAACTTGCTTTCAACGGTGTTAGTGTCTTGGCCAATAGTATTCTTCAAATCATCTACCGATGACGTCATGCAATCTTCGATCGCCCTCTAGCGACAGGTTGAAAATTTCCAAAAATGTATTTTAAATAGATGTCTGTGGCGAAGTTTGTCGGAATCGCCTAAATATTGGTTTATATGATGACCTTGACTCCTTTAAGACGTGTGCGAAGTTTTAGGCAAATGACGTCATCAAAGCGGAAGTTATAATGAAAAGACCCTTTTTCCTTTGAAATTTCCAAAAAAATCAACCATGGCAGTTTTTATCTTAGTTTTTACTTTAATTGTCGATTTAAGGGTAGGTCTAAAACATTTCAAAGCTTCGAGGCAATAAGCAAACTCGGACATGCCCTGCCCACGCTTAAAAACTTCAGGTTGACAATACCTCTGCTTTAAAACATGCACAGGACGTCCACATAGTACATTTACATGCACGTACGTTGTACATCTCGTATGTCAGTCAGCGCGCGGCGCACGTGTTGCTGAGGTCAAATCCTGTCCACAGTGACCGTTTTACCCGATTTTCGGCTAACTTTGACAGATTTTATGTTCATGCATAGTCAGGGACGTATTATTGATAAAACAAAATCATAATGCGGAAAAGCCCTATGTTCTGTTGCAAACAGACATAGATCTCTAGTTTTTCTTTCTTCTTCTTCTTCTTCTTCTTCTTTTTTTCCCAAAACCCCATAGACTTTGTACACGTTTATTCTACACGCCACTTTTGGCATTAATCTTTGTCATACATCATTCTAAGTTAGCATAAGCATAGCCCCTATAGCAAAGATGTGTCCTGAAGATTGACGTCATGGTGACGTCATCGACTAATTTATTATAGATTTTTGAATATTTAATTTTTCCCATAGACTTTGTACACAGAAATTAAAAAATAATTGTCGATTTTCAAAGGGCATTTTTGACTCTTTGCCAGTAATTCATTTACACCAATCTTTGTCCAAGCAAAGACCCTACTTCAAACAACGTTGTGGAATGATGATGTCATGATGACGTCATCCTGTGTTTATTTATAGGCAATTAAATTGTGACACTTTTAATATTTAAAAATGCATAAGAAATCAACCGTACGCGTCCGCAGCATTCTGTTGCCGGCAAGTGGTAGAGTAGGTTGAGGTCTTCATTTCATTTAGTGTGCGTGCAATCACCTGACCCTTGCTTCCGGTCGAAAAGGGCCCAAACCGGAAGTGGCTTATTATTTGAAAGTGGTAATAGAAATGAACTTGCTTTTAACGGTGTTAGTCTCTTGGCCAATAGTATTCTTCAAATCATCTACCGATGATGTCATGCAATATTCGAGCGCCCTCTAGCGACAGGTTGAAAATTAACAAAAATGTATTTTGAATAGATGTCTGTGGCGAAGTTTGTCGGAATCGCCTAAATATTGGTGTATATGATGACCTTGACCCACTTAAGACGTGTGCGAAGTTTTAGGCGAATGACGTCATCAGACCGGAAGTTATAATGAAAAGACCCTTTTTCGTTTGAAAATTCCTGAAAAATCAACCATGGCAGTTTTTATATTTATTTTAACTTTAATTGTCGATTGAATGGTAGGTCTAAAACATTTCAAAGTTTCGAGGCGATAAGCGAACTCGAACATACCTTACGCACGCTTAAAACTTCACGTTGACAATACCTCTGCTTCAAAACATGCACAGGACAGGACGTCCACAATGTACATGTACATGCACGTACGTTGTACATAGGCACATACATCGTATGTCAGTCAGCCTGCAGCGCACGTGTTGCTGAGGTTAAATCCTGTCCACAGTGACCGTTTTAGCCGATTTTCGGCTAACTTTGACAGATTTTATGTTCATGCATGCGCATAGACAGGGACGTATTATAGCACTTTTGGCATTAATCTTTGTCAGATATCATTGAAAGTTGGCATAAGCATAGTCCCTATAGCCAAGATGTGTCCCGAAGAGTGACGTCATGGTGACGTCATCAAGTGATTTATTATGGCTTTATGAATAATTAATTTTTCTCATAGACTTTGTACACAACTTTCTCCACAAGTCTTTCCCTATACAACACTGATATATCTTACTGAGTAGTTCTGAACTTCGGCCGAGAATTACTATGAGAAGGAAAAAGAAATCGTATTTTTTGACGTTTACCAATTGATTGAAAATATTCCCAAGAGTCAGAATATCAAGTAATATTTTATAAAAATGTTTCAGTTTAAAGGAAAATCACGCATTTGAAGGTGCAGTTTTTCTGCTGTGGGATTTTTAACCCATTGACTTTGTACACGTTTTTAAGCCACCATTTTTATAACTTGGCGATCTGGAATCGTCATCAAAGTTACAGCCAAGGTAGACCCTCATACAAAAATTATGCCAAGACTATGACGTCACGATGACGTCATCACCTATTTTTTTTATTGATTTTTGAAAATTTACGTAAATATTGTGAAGTCTTATATCTACAGAAATGTAAGTCCGATTGGGTTGAAACTTGGTATGTACCTAAACCAGGATGTGTTATAGATTAAAAATGAGGTGACGTCATGATGACGTCATCCTGAGATTTTATATGAATATTAATTTTATTGGACCTTTTAGCCATATCTCCTGAACGCAACATGCAAAATGCAAAATTCTTTTTTGCATTTGGTCTGTTATGTAATAGCTAGTCGCACAAAACTTGAAAAATGTGTGACGTCATCATGACGTCATCAAAATGCGATTTTTCAAAACTCATTTAAGGAAAGGTCCGATTGTCATGAAACTTGGTGGGTAGGTAGTTAATCATACTAGTATGCAAAGTTCGAAGTGATGTCAGGTGACGCCATCAAAAAATTTAAAAATATTTGTCAATTTTCAAAGTGCGTTTTTGACTCTTTGCCAGTAATTTATTTAGATCACTCTTTGTCCAAGCAAAGACCTTGTACACACGCACATACATCGTATTGCCG